GTACTGCAGGCCTTAATTCGTTGTCCTATTTGTACCTACAGCCTATACCCGTGGTAGTGAACTTATGGCACGCATGCCAGACTGGGCATGGAGAGCCCTTTCTGTCGGTGCATGCGCCAGAGGGACGCTCCCCTCCCTCTCTCTACATGCGCCTGACTAGTGGGAACTGTCCACGGCCACCTTCCTCCTCCATCCTCCTCGGTGACGTGCGACCCCCGGCGCTGTGACGACGGCTTCCCTGCCGTTGTTGGCCCATCCATGACCCCCACCTGCCAGGTGGGGAATTGGCAGGTCATCCCGCCGCGCGGCCCCATGCTGCCCACTCTGGGGTCCTTTCCTCCTTTTGCGGCCTCTGCCCGGCGGCCAACATGCCACCTGGCTGAAGCCAGGGACAAAGGCTTCCCTGCTCTCAGCCAGTCTGTGATCCCACCTGCCAGGCGGGGAATCGGCCCCACACTGTCCGCTCCAGGGTCCTCTCCTCTCACGACCTCTGCCTGGCAGCTCCCACCCCTTTTGCTTTTGGGTGCGTTGGGCCGATAGGGAAACTTCCGCAGCTGCGAAGGGGGAAGGCGGATTGCTGCCACGGCCATTCTCTCTGGGCATCCCGAGCGTGGCTGGCGCACCGCTAGGCCGGAGCAAGCATCGGTGCAGTTGCCACACCTAAGGGTCGGCCTCTTTCCACACCACCAGTTTCCCTCCCCAACATGTGGGCCAGGTACCCGAGACGTCCTCCAGGATGGCGGTTCAAGGCCTCGAGCTGCCTCGCATGGCGAGGCCCAGTATTTACAGCGGGCTATGGAGTCCCAGAGTCTGCTGGTCGAGGGGCTGGCAGGCTGTGGCTGCTGACGGACACCATGCACTCACTGGCCTCTGTGCGCGGGGGCTGATAGTATTAGGCAGCACCACTCTGGCCTCTGCCTCACCTTGCCTTGCCCCGTGGCAATGGCGCCCCCGCCCTGCCCCCTGCCTTGCCTCACCCCACAGGACGAGCCTCCTGCCCACTGCCCCACCCACCAGAAACCCCTTGGAACTCCCCCTGCCCAGCTCTCACAAGCGTCCCTCCCCACAAGCAACATCGAGGTGGCCACGCCCACCCTGGCCATATTGATCCAGTCTGCTGTGACCACCGCAGCCACGCCCACGTCCAATAGGACATGCCCACCCGGCACTCAGCGATAAATAAGTGGGTTTTGGGTTGCAGTTTCGGCACTCGGTCTCTAAAAGGTTTGCCATCCCTGGCCTATTCCATATTAAAAGGTTAGGTGTAGGTTATATCCTGCCCCACCCAGCAAAATATAATCCTTCTCATTGATTATGTTTGGATGGCAAGTTAACCCACAACTTTGCTTAGTATTTATCCTCCTCAATATCAAACCCTACTAACTCCTTTAGCAAATAGTAGCAAATTGCTACTTACCGGTTGCAGTGTACACAGTACCCAGAACTCTTATTTGTATCTGTCAGGGAAAGCTGGAGAGGAATGTTAAATCCAAACCCTTGGTTGTTCTTGCTTATCTTGAGAGGAGTAGGCAATAACAATGTGCACTAACATTATGTTTGGTCAACATTAAACAAATTATTGTTTGGTAAAGCTAATACCAAGTTAATATCATGTATGTATGTGTGGCACATTTCAGCCCAAGTAGATTTTATGGTGCTGCTTAAGAATGACTCGGGCTTCAATATTAAAGTCAATTGCTTCTTCAAATATAAATAGGGAGCCATCATTTATTAGTAACTTTGCAACAGTTGTTTTTCTTTTGGAACAAAAGAAATATATATTAGTTCATTTTAAATTGGATTTCTTTCAATTAAAAGTAATATTTTGCAAGCAATATGTATTCTATTAAATCTGGAAATGTTAGTATACTATCCTTACTATTAACACTATATAAAATAAGTGTTTTTGTTAAATACGTTGAATTATAAGGGTCTTCTATGACCAGCTTAATTGTTCTTCAGATAGCAACATTTTTATGAGGATTGTGAGCCTGTGATTTTGTGATTACATAATAAATCCCATGTTATTTACCATTAGTCATATTGTCAGTGACTGTTTTTACAGTTGACCAGCAAATTCGCTGTCCTTGATTTGCTTCCAAGCTGTCATTTTTTAAAACTACACTAATGAGTTTAAATAATTCAGACCTTATTTAGACTATCAGCGTTGCTCATTGAGTTTTGTCCGTTCTGCGTGAGAGAATGAGGATGGGCCAAGATAGAACTGAACAAAAGAAAGCAAATATTGGAAAACCAAAGAAAACTAGTATGCTTGCAGATTCTGTATTATTTCTGTAGGCCAAGAAAGAATCTATAGCTACATATGCAAATAATGCTAAACTATAATTCTTTGAAATGCTGGCTTGTGCTGGTGATTGCTGTTCAATCACCCCAGCTTCTATTCTTCTGCCTTTAGCCATGATGACTGAAGATTAAGGAACTATATGAAGTATCAATGGGAAACTTAGAGTTAATCTTATTTAAAGCAACGTTCTTTAGGCAGATTTAAATCCAGTCTATTTTGCAGTGGGAAAATATAATTTTCTTAAAACTTCAACTTTTCTGGTCAGCTTCAGTGGGCAGCCATTTGACCTTCCACCATTCGTAACTGTGGTGCTTCCCAGCCAAATGGATGTGTAGCAGTTGCATCGTTACTTAATGGACACGTGCCTGCCAAATTCCAGACAGAATGGAGAAAATACTTCTGGTTTACAGGTTGCTAAAAGGAGGACATCCATTATATTATTCATTACTTGTTGTAGAAGGTTTTACAAATCTTATGCTGATTGTAAATTTGATATTTTGCATCTAAATTGTATAAATCTTACAGACATTATATTAAAACATCAAAGCTGAAAGGTTTCTGTTTGCAAAATGGACAGAAACCATGACTTTGGTGGAGATTCGTAATAAAAAATGCATACTTACAATATAATAAGTAGTGCTGTAAAACATGGCAATATTATAATGAGATGTAATTATTGACCAGGAGAAAGTTTAAGCAGCTGGCAATCAAAACTAGGAATTTTATCAAACCTAGTATGGCAAAAAATAATATCATCTGCTCTTTATTTTTAAGATTAGTGCTATATTTTAAAAAATAAAATTAATTGAAGTACGTTTAGTTAGAATTTAGATTTCTAAAGCAAATTTATGCTCATCAGATAAGATTTTGATCTTCAAAATAATTTCTGTCATCTGAGAACAGATCTCAGTACTTTAGTGAAAGTTGAGCCCTTTGTGCTTGAACTTATTGCTCAGATGCAGATGATTATGCATTTTAAGTTTAATTTTAAAAGTTGTTTTGATAATATAAGAATCTTTTTATCATTTATGTATATGTAATTTTAGGATTATAGATTTTTATCTGTGCATTAATTGGAATTGGAATTGTCACCTCTATACCATTGCTGAATAAACAGTCTGATTTTATCCCAAAGCCTCTCTAAATTTATTGAGATCAAAATAGATAAATCACTACCAAATCTTTTGAAAGTATATTGATGCTAATACATGATTAGACATAACTCTGTTTGGCTTCTTTGTAGTGCTGTTATTCAGTTGTTCTTGTGGGAAAACCTCGAATAAGCCACTCCTTTAATCTATAACAAATGAAGCTGGATTCTTCCTCTTTAAGTTTAATGGCATCTTCCAAGAGCAAATCTGTTATGACCTTAATTTTCTCTGAAATGTTAAGCAGTGCCTATAATTTTTATTTAATAATAATAGAAAATCAATTCATAATTTTCATACAGGCACCATAGGTATCATGTATTGTGGTTTGTTGCTACTTAATTTGGTGAATTTGGGATATGGTAATTTTAGTTTCAGGCATTGAACCTTTCCATATGACGACTTATTGAAATACCTGTCTTCTATTTTATTAATATTCACAGCAGTAAGAATTAAAGATGACTTATGACATTATAAGTAGGTACAGTAGCAGCTGAATTGACAAAGTAATTCTCTTGTGCTGATTTTCCTTTCTCTTAGCATATGAAGTTAGATTTTATTATTGTATAATAGATTTCATCACCTGGCATGCTACATGATATATTGTTTCTGTTTCCCTAAAGAGTTGCAAATAAAAGACTTTTTTTTTAATTCAGAAGATTTGTTTTGAATTTTGATGCATCAAGATATTGAAGGAATGTTTTCTTATAGAAAATGTAATTGTGTCATAAAATGATAGCTACATCTCAGTCTACTTGATATTGATCAACAATTTGTACTTCATAGTAATGTTTTGTCTTGCTATATCAAGTGAATATGCATATTTCTGTGGAATATCCAGTTTTATAGGATAGGCAGTTCCCATAAGTTATATACTGCTAGTAGTACGTATACTGTACCAGATAGTTGCTTGTAAAAATAGTAAACCAAATGAGTCAGTATTGCACCATACCTCTATATATCTTGCTTTTTTTTAAATGAAGTGTTGTCCATATGGTTTGTCAGTAATGGTACTGAGATCCCTTTGAGCTTGTCTCCTAATCAGATGTATTGGTAAAAAATGGCAAAAATAGTAGGTTCTCAGGATTTAGAAAATAATTTTGAAATATAAATAGTTATAGAATATTTTGACTTACTTAATCATGTATAGAAGTTGGACAATGGGAACAATGAAAAGAGAACGTGGTATCAGATATGTAGGTGGGGCAGCCAGCTTGTTTGAAAATATAAACCAATGATCAGTTATTTTGAACCAGGAAATAGGAAAAATATATGAATATGGAATCTATTTAGCAAGTACTGTTCCTAAAGTATTTGCTTTTACCTATTGTTCATATAATGTATTGTATTCTTCACCTCAGCATCCTATTTAACTTATAATGCAACACATAATGGAATAAAAATAGATTTTCCATTTATGTTAAATTGCTTTTAATGTCTTTTTAAATTGCATTTCCAACAAAAATGTCTATGCATTAACTTTTGGTAAAAAATATATTCTGTAAATACAGAATGAGTATCAAATATATTTACAATTTTCTTTACAGCGTGGATCTGATGAGCTTCTTCCTTCTGGTATCACATACGGGACTCTTACGATGAGCAATCCTACTCCTACTACTGGTATGATTAAGAATGCATTTTGTGTATGCTCCTATAAATGTTTTCTCAACGACTTAATGTAGGGACAGATAAGGATGGTTGCAACCATTCCAATCTATTTTTTTTTAAAAAAGCAGATGGGTTAGAACTATGGGAAAAATGTCTTACCTGCAAGAGCCGAGGTGGCGCAGCAGTTAGAATGCAGTACTGCAGGCCACTTTAGCTGACTGTGTTCAGCAGGTCAGCGGTTCAAATCTCACAGGCTCAAGGTTAACTCAGTCTTCCATCCTTCCGGGGTAGGTAAAATGAGGACCCAGATTGTTGGGGGCAATGTAAATATATATATATATACATTGCTTACTGGTGTACACCGCTTAGAGAGTGCTTGCACTTAAAGCGGTATATAAGTCTCATAAATAAATAAATAAGAATAAATCAGTGACCATGTTTGTATGTACGGTATCCATTGTTTGCTTATTCCATTATATGAACTGAAAACTCTGGCAAAATATGAGACTGTAGCTTGTTCTTATGTTTTACAAGAGGAACATATCACAATTCTTTATTTTATGAGATGTTAATCATGGATTGAACTAGCTGGGCTAGTGTAGCAGACAGCTGATCCCATAGAATGGAAGCCTAGAAGTCTCAAGATCCACTCCCAGAAGCCTCTGAGTCTTCACATCCTGTTTATGTCTCCTGTTTGTGATAGCAGCTTAGTAGTTCCTGCTTTCCCCATCTGCTTTCCAGGGAGCACTTATCTGGCATCTTCTCCCTAACCTCAGTGTATATGAGTCAGAGGACTACCACAGCCTTTAGTGCTTTTCTGGCTATTAGAAGGTAAACAAAGCAAAATTACTTTAATAGTGTAATCTGTGGTCATGTTACATGGAGATATTTGCCTAGAAACTTCAGTTCACATTTCTTTCCTGGGAAGACAGAGCAATGGAGATATTTTTTTAAAGAAGTAAAATGTAATCCTCCCATTTTCAACTTTAAATACGAAAATACAAATAATTAATGTTGGTAGATATAAATGACATAGCTGTTTATATCCCAGTGATCCAATTATCAGCTTGAAAGAAAAATTATAAAAGTGAATACAGTGTTCTCCAGTACAGGAGATGGATAATCCACGGATGGGTTTTCTCTGTCTGCCTGCTCTTGAGACCAAGTAGCCAAAGCTTGACACGCCCCCACTTCCTGTGGAGTCCATTCTTAACTTGGTCTCTGCTCGGAGAAGACTCGTTTTGGCGTGGCTCTCAGCTTATCAGGTTAGACAAGAAATCCATTGATTGATTATCCCTTGATAATTGGCTTCCCCTTCCCAAAAAATTTCCACCTATAGGAATTTAACCACAAAATTTTCTGGGGATCAGTCCTGATCTCAAACCTAAAATTAAAAAGGGGATTGGTGGGGAGGGAAATTTCCCCACAGATATCAGCCAGCCCCAGGGCTCTGGGGGGTGAAAAGGGGGGGAAGAAGGCATCAGCAGAGACTACTTGCTGAACCTTTTCCCCAACCACTAAGTTTTCCTTGGGATCATCCCTGATCCTATATTAAAATTGAAAAAGGGGGTGTGGGGGGGGAAAACTCCCCACGGATCCCAGTCAGCCCCAGGGCTCTGGAGGTGAAAAAGGGGGGGGGAACAAAGGCATCAGCAGAGACCACTTGCTGAGCTTTTCTCCCCAACCTTCCAAGGGATTTTTTCCTCAAATTGGGGGAAAAAATAACAATCTCCAGGTCCGGATTCAAACTTGAATTCGGATCATCGGAGATTCCCTAGCAGCCCAGGGCAACCGCGGGCGCCATTTTAGTTGCCGTTTTCAGACAACAAAGGCAATCCCTGGCTGGGATTCCCTTAAAACGTCACAGCGCGCCAAATTTAAATCCCCGGGCACAAGCAGCTTCTGGGAGGCTGCGGAGCTTATCTTCAGAGGGAAACGAAGCACAGGAAGGGAGTAAGCCAACCAAGAAACGGAGGCTAGAGAACCCTCCTGGGATCTGCAAAGCCCTTTTTCAGGGAGAAACGAGCTGTGGCTGCCATCTCTTGCCAGAGAAAGGCAAACCGAGCTTAAGGAAGCTCTACATCATATCTGGAATCACTGATAGAGGCGGAATAGGAGCACACAACCAGCGCTCCACCCCCGATACACACATATAATAATAGGACAAAATATAATAATAATAAAAATAGATACATAAATTTTAAAAATAATAATAATAATAATTAAAAAAAAAATTTTTTTTTAAAGCTAAAAATTAAGCGACTGCAGGGCCAACAGGCCTAAAGACAGAACACACAATATTATCATCATCACCATTATTGTTGTTGTTGTTATTATTATTATTATTTTATTATTATTGTTGTTCCTATTATTAGTATAATAGTAATAGTATTAATAAGAATAAATTCCGCTCTAGGTGACCGCCATTTGATACCTGCTGTGTATTAAGTCAGGCCTACAGACCCTTTTGAGGTCGCCACTGATATTTTTTGCCTCCCTTTTCCTTTTTCTACTGGTGCACGTTGCCTGGTCACCTAAGGCCTCCGGGCGGAACCCAAAGAGTGGTTCCAAACGTGCCTTCGGTACCTCCCTCAGCTACCGTGACCTTAGCCCAGAGAGAATATTTTTGTTGTGGTCGGGTGATCAGGGGAACAGTCCTGGTACTTGTTCCAATTTCGCTCCCGCCAATACTTGCCTGCCTGAGCGTCTTCTCAGTTTTTCTGGGACTGCTCAAGCGGAATGGAGGGACCCTCGTTGCCTCAATCCATGAGCACGACCCCTCCACCTCCCAATTACGGCTGCAACACACCTTCTGACCAGAAGGCGGCAGGCAAGTGCAAAGCGAAGACAAAACACTCACTCAAGAGGCCCTCCAAGTTGGCGGAAAAGCAAGCCAGCCGTAGGCACCAGGCCCTGGAGAAGGAGTTCTCCAGAGCGCAGAGGCAGGCCCAATTGGAATTGGTTCAAATAGCGGCCACCGAGATGGAATTACCATTGGGTCCATCCACATCAACCCAGAGCGCGTGGTCCATTCCAGGAACACCGCAACCACTGGATCCGCCATCTACATCAGCCCAACAGACAAACACGGCGGCAGGCACAACCACTGAGTCCAACTCTCCACCTGCGGTCACCACACCCAAAGGTAATGACATAGGGGACATCTGGGCAGATGGACGGCTAGAGGCCCTATTAACCAAAGTGGTGGACCGAGCCCTAGCACAGCGCTCCGCCCACCACGACCAGGGGCCCTCCATCTCAGCCATGCCACACTCGGAACTCCCCTCAGAGTCCTCAGGCATTCAGGAACCCGTCTCCCCGGCCCAGTCCTCCATGAGTGGTTATTCTTCACCACAAGAGGAGGATCAACCTGGGATCTCTATGTCAGAGGATGAGGAACTTCCCCCTGAGCCCCCCTCAGGGGGATTATTTAATCCCAACCGCTTCCTCACGATACTACGCAAGGCCACAGCCATTGCGGACATGGGGACGGATCAGTTTTCTCAGCCGCAAGCGACACCGGCCACCACATCCAGACCCGTATTCGTAGAAAAGGTGACAACGCAACACCATATACCTTGCCCCGCCATTTTCCTGAAAGGGATCAAGAAGCCATGGGACTCTCCCGCTTCCTTCCCATCAGTGAGTGGTACGGACAAAAAATTATACAGCACTGCCACAGACCTCAATGAGGCCTTAGAAATTCCTAAAGTAGATGAAGCCTGGACCCCCTTGGTCTCCCAGACAGCCATGGCTGGGGACCTAGTGGAGGCCCTTAAGGCAGATGACAAAAAGTGGGAACAAGCCTTTCGCAAAACCCACCAGACAGCGGCATGGGCCATCAAAGCAGCCACCTCGGCCTCCTTTTTTGTCCGGGCCACCCTCATCTGGTTGCAACAACTACAAACCATAGTTCCTATGGAGGACATACGAACACACCAGGACCTGGCTAAGATGGTAGCAGCCACGGAATACGCTGCAGACGCAACGTTCCAATCGGCCATTTTTTCATCCAGATCCATAGCATCCAACATAATTGCCAGGAGAATGCTATGGCTAAAACACTGGCAAGCTGACACCAAGGCTAAGTGGCGGCTAGCGACCGCCCCTTACTCAAGCAACGGTCTGTTTGGGGAGGCCTTGGACCCCTATCTTGTAGAGAACAAAGACAAGCGGAAGGTCATGGCACACTTGAACAAAAGGTCAGACAAACGTACCACACCTTACTTTCGTAGGCAGTCCTTTCGCCAACCGACAACCACGCCTATCAGTCAGGCACCCAAGCCATTCACTCCCAGGCAGAACAAACCGTACGGCCGCCCCTACGACAGACCGGGGTTCCAGCCCAGACAACAAAACCAGTCGAGACGACCCTTTCGTGGAACGGGTCGTCCGTACCGGAAGACAAAATGACTCCTACATAGACCTACCCATTGGAGGAAGACTAGCTCACTTCTTCCACCAGTGGGAGCAGACCTCCACGGACAACTGGGTACTACAAACCATCCAGTCCGGGCTGTCCCTGGAGTTCCTGGTCACACCCCCAGACCGACTCATCAACTGCTCGGTCTCCAGGAACCCCACCAAACGCAAACTCATGCAGGAGGCCATCCAACACCTGTTGGACATTCAAGCAATAGAACCGGTCCCAGCGGAATACAGAGGCAGAGGATTTTACTCCATCCTCTTCGTGGTTCCAAAGACTTCAGGAGGATGGAGGGCAATCCTGGACCTAAAAAACCTCAACCGCTACATCACATACAAAAAATTCAAGATGCAATCCCTTCAGTCCATCCTGGGAAGCATCAGAGAAGGAGACTTCCTGGCATCGATAGACCTCACGGAAGCCTACCTTCACATCCCCATCCACCCAAACCACCGCTGGTTCCTACGTTTCTGTTACGGGGGAAAACACTTCCAATACAGAGCTCTCCCCTTCGGTCTATCTTCGGCACCCAGGGTATTTACCAAGATACTAGCAGCGGTAGCCGCCAAACTGAGAAAAATCCCAATACGCGTCCAATGTTACCTAGACGACATACTAATCCAAGCAACATCCCTACAGCTCAGGCGGACGTAAGGACCGTCATTCGCGTCCTCCAATTACACGGATTCTCAGTAAACTTTCAGAAGAGCCAGACAGTTCCCTCGTCCAGGCTGCTGCATCTGGGGGCCATGATAGACACAACCAACTGTATGGTCTATCTCTCCCAAGACCGGGTGGCCGGCATCAGGGAACTGGCTCGCTGGGTTCACAGGCAACGTTCAGTTCCGATACTAACACTTTCCCAATTATTGGGCAAGATGGTGTCGGCCATAGCCATTGTACCCTGGGCCAGGCTCCACCTACGGGAACTACAGTGGTTTCTGCTCCCGTACCAACGGCAGAACACCAGCGCATCCAACCACCTAGTCAGGGTCACGGCACAAATCCGCAGGGCGCTACGCTGGTGGTGCTCTCGGGCCGTGACCAAGGGGTCACCCTTCAAGGAACCAGTCAGAGTTACCATCACTACAGACGCCAGTCTGTATGGTTGGGGAGCCCATCTGGACTCCCAGTTTGTACAGGGACGTTGGTCCGCCACGGATCTGAGAAACAACATCAACTGGCTAGAACTCAGGGCTATCCACCTAGCCTTGCAACAATTCAAAGACAGAATCAGAGGCCACCACGTTCTAGTCCTAACAGACAACGTAGCAGCCAAGGCGCACATCAATCGGCAGGGGGGGACCAGATCAAAAACCCTGATGACAGAGTCACGACTCCTATTCAGCTGGGTAGAGCCCAATCTGAAGTCACTAAAAGCGGAACACATATCGGGGGTCAACAACCAGCAAGCGGACTTCCTAAGCCGCACCACAGTGGACCCTTCGGAGTGGGGGCTACACCCGAACTTGTTCCTAGACATCTCCCGCAAGTTCGGGTACCCGATCCTCGATCTGTTCGCATCATCAGACAATGCCCAGCTCCCCAGATTTTACTCTCGTTACTTCAACCCGCGAGCAGAGGGGACGGACGCTCTGAGAACTCAGTGGCCTCAGGGTCTGCTTTATGCCTTTCCCCCACTACCACTCATACCGGCGGTCATCCGAAAGCTGATTCAGGAGCGGGCAGAAGTGATCCTAGTAGCACCATATTGGCCACAGAGACCGTGGTTCGCCGACCTGATGAACCTGTCTCAGTCGCCCCCATGGAACATTCCCCCTCATCAAGTGTCCCTACACCAGGGAACCATCAGTCACCCGGAACCCCAATGGTTACAACTGACCGCCTGGCACTTGAGCGCCAGATAATGGCACAGGAACTATTCTCTCCCGGGGCCATTACCATAATTCAAGCTTCACGCCGTCCGGCAACAAACCGCATTTATGACTCCACTTGGAAAAATTTTTGCCTTTGGTGCAGGGAACGGCAGTTTGACTTACACAAACTCTACATCCCTCAGATAGTAGATTACCTCTTGGAGGGACTAGACAGAGGCCTCGCCCCCGCGACCATCCGCAGGCAAGTGGCGGCCTTGTCCACCCTCCTCACCTGCACGGATTCGGTTCCCTTAGCTCACCACCCCAGGATCCGCGCCTTTATCAAGGGCGCCTATAACACCAGACCTCCAGTAATTCACAGGTACCCGTCCTGGGAACTACCGCGAGTCCTTCACGCACTCACTCGGTCACCATTTGAACCATTGGCGACCGTTTCCTTGCGACACCTGTCGCTAAAGGTGGCGTTCCTGATTGCCATCACATCGGCCAGACGAATTTCGGAACTGGCCGCACTGTCAGTCAGAAACGACCTATGCATTTTCCACAAGGACAGGGTGGTCCTTAGGTTAGATCCTGCCTTCATACCGAAGGTGAATTCACTCTTTCACAGGACACAGGAAGTAATTCTCCCAAACTTCTGTCCAAATCCAACACATGACCGGGAGCGGCAGTGGCATACATTGGACGTCTGCAGAGCCTTGCGGCGTTATATAAAGCGTACAGAACCCTTCCGCAAATCGGAGGCCCTATTTGTGTCCTTCCAAGCGGGCACCTTGGGGCGGAAAGTTTCCGCGGGCACCATTGGAAGGTGGATCCGAAGCTGTATCGCAGAAGCTTACAATGTATCATCCCTGCCGCCCCCAAGTCATCTCACAGCCCATTCCACCCGAAGCGCTGCAACTTCGGCGGCATGGGCTACCCAGGCGTCAATCGAGGAAGTTTGCAGGGCCGCGACATGGTCCTCGCCTTCCCCGTTTATACGACACTACAAGATAGACCGCTTTGCATCGGCGGACGCCTCCTTTGGTAGGAGGGTCCTTCAGCAAGTTGTCTCAGAGATCAATCTACCGGCCTTGATCTGTTTCCCACCCCTTGGGACAGTGAGGCTTTGGTACGTCCCATCCGTGGATTATCCATCTCCTGTACTGGAGAAGGGGCGTTGGTCTTACCTGAACGCCTTTTCTCAGTACGGAGATGGATAATCCACACCCACCCCAAGGCCAGCAGGCCGCTAGTAGGGAGCTGAGAGCCAATACCTCGTCAATCATCAGCCAATTCGCCCTCGTTAAGAATGGACTCCACAGGAAGTGGGGGCGTGTCAAGCTTTGGCTACTTGGTCTCAAGAGCAGGCAGACAGAGAAAACCCATCCGTGGAGTATCCATCTCCGTACTGAGAAAAGGCGTTCAGGTAAGACCAACGCCCCGTCTCAGCAGACCCCCATATAGCAATGGTTGCATACAAATGGCATGTTCACTCTTGAGAGAAGAGATACTGCAGTTTAATATTACAGGGAACAGAAAGATTGTAAATAAAACAATTATCTTCATGCTCACCCTGAAGAATGGGAAGAGGTGAGGATGTATACAGAGAAATATAAACACCCAACTTGACTTAATATCACAAAAGTAAAGAATCTAATTGAAATTCCTGGTTAGATCACGGCCAAAATAGCAATTTGCTGAAGCAAAAGTTCATCTTGCTTCATTATTTGAATGTACTGCAGCTTTTGAGGGAGATTCCTCTTTAAGCAGGAGCTGTGAAAAAGATGATGTATCCCAGTTAAATTCAACTTCAGTCCACGGATTCATGACAAAGTGTTTACCTTCAGGTCTGCTCCTGGTTTAGTAAAAGGACAAGTCTATTTTTTTCCAACAGAAAAGCAGAAGTAACCAGACTCTATACAGGACCCTGAGCGTGCATCTCTCCCAAAAGGGAATGTCTATTGTACATATGAGCCTAGGAAAATGAATATAGGTTTCTGTACCCACAGCTTGTGCAGGCTACAATCACAAATTACTGGAAGATGGAATGTTGTTTTGAGAATTCTATATACTGAAGTAGTCAGAATTTTGAAGGCACTCTATTTGGGAAAAGAGGCTGTGTTTAACCTTGCAAATTAAATGAGAGAACCTTGTTATAATAAAAAATAAGTCTCGGAAAGCATCTTCACATGTAGCAAATACTACATTTTGAATCCTCTCTGTTAACCATTTGGAACGTTAAAATTTGACACAAAATGGTTTCTAAAGTTCCTGGTCTGATCCCAGGACAGATTAGTCTGATACCGTCAGACACATGTATAAACCACTTCCAATTATTGTATTTTCTCCTCGGTAATTTGCTAGCCAGTTTTCTAGGCAGGTTGAGCAGCAAATGGAGTCATTTTCATTTAAATTGGAGACCTTAGTAATGGCAAGCTATTTCCTGCAAAGGCAACCTGTGATTACTGTGCATGTGCCAAGTATGCATTTCTGGCAAAAACTGACAATGCTTGCTATTGTATTCTTTTTCAAGATGCACAAAACCTTATCTGTTGGTGTAGCCATACTACTGTATATTTTAGCAAATGACCATAATATTGCTTAATCGCAGTTAATTATTTTTTGATTTTCTCATTCTTAATCATTTAATCACTTTGATTTTTTCCAGCACTGTTATTCCTATACCTATGTTTAAGTCCCCAGAAGACAATCAAATCACTACATCCTATACTTGTAAATATTTCTGTAGAAGAAGACTACTAGTAGCTGATTCTGCTTTCATAAATCTTCTGACTGTTGGTTCAGTCTGTTTGCAAACATGCCAAAACAAAACAAAGTTCAGTGAAATATGCTGTGCTGCTTAACTAATCATAACTAGAATTGTAAATTTCTTGTGTTAATTTTTTTCCTATACTAAAGCAAAAAAAAAAAAGGTGAACAAATTAACAAACAAGGTACAAGTTACTATTATTGATTCTAGTTAATCTGAACCAATTTTAAATTTTGGAGTTTACACAGCAATCACCCTTTGTACTAGGTATACTTTATATGCTGAAGCACTTTGTGTATATGTTTTAGCTAATGGGAATGACAACAAGAAATTTAAAGGAGACAGATCTCCCTGCTCACCTTCTCGAGTTCTTCATCTGCGTAAAATTCCAAATGATGTCACTGAAGCAGAAGTAATTTCTCTAGGTGTACCTTTTGGCAAAGTTACTAATCTCTTGATGTTGAAAGGAAAAAGCCAGGTATGTGCAATGTTTCGCATCATATAAGCAACCACAGAAAATAAAGTGATGAATTTGGCTGATACCTTTGGAATTATTAGTTTTCACTATCACATCAGCAGTGGCACGTAGGTTTTGGCTCAGATAATAAGTTAAATATCCTTACTTGAAACTCGGAAATAACTTCTAAATGAAACTTTATTTTTTTAAAAAAATATCTATTTTACTTTATTTTATTCAATTTGTTGTTGTTAGTTGCGAAGTCGTGTCCGATCCATTGCAACCCCATGGACAACGTTCCTCCAGGATTCAATTTGTAGGGCTACTCATCTCAAACAAGTGACTCTGGGCCACGAACGATCATAAAATAAAAATCTGAATTATAACTACAATCCTAAAAAATAAATACATACAGTGGCCAAGAAAAATATTTCAATCTGTAGATATTAACATAAACAGGAAACGGGGCCTTTCACATACATGGGACCCCACACTTGGGCACATTAGTGGTTTTTAAGACATTGCAAAAGGCCAAAGGGATCAGGGCCATCCTAATAACTCAGAGAATGTTTCCGAGGGCAGGTACCACAGCAGAAAAGCATGCCTCCTGGTCCCTGCCAGCTGACATTCCTTGGCTGACGGGACTTGAAGCATGCCCATCTTGCCAGACTGGATTGGGCGGATAGAAATAATTGAGAGAAGACAGTCCTCAGGTAACTTGGTTCCTGTCTACAGGTAGTCCTTGACTTACAGTCATAATTGAGACCAAAATTTTGGTTGTAAGTTGTAAGGCACTCACACATCCATTTTGCTGAACCACTGCAATCCTGATTCTCCTCATTGCAGTCATTAAGCAACTGTAAGGCTATTATGTGGAGTGCATAGTGCCAGAGTGGTGGAGGTGCTTTGCAAATGAAAAGGTGCTTTACAAATCATGTTTATGCAGGGATGTCAAACTCGCAACGTCACGTGACGTGTCGCAACATATCGTGATTTTTTTGCCATTACCGGCAATGTGGGCGCGATTTCGCTATGATGTATCTGGCCCGCAGGCTGGCAGTTTGACACCCTGTATTAATGTGAATAAAGATCCTTTTTCAAAGCATTGAAGAAGTTGCATCTTTTGGAAAGCTCTTTGGTACCTTAAAGTTTCTTATTGGTTCTTAGTACGTGCAGTATCTGTGGAGTGCCCAGCTTCTTCAATTTGATGATAATCTCAGGCAACCCAATAAAATATCCATGCAAATCTGCTAAAAGATTTAGCTCCTTTAATGTTTGAAAGGGGCAACTTCACCAATGCCTAGACAACTAAATCTTTCATATGTTTCAGACTCCCTTATTTATTTGGAGGAGACTGGATCCAGATTTACACCCAAACATTTGTTTTGATTTTGTGAAAAGGTATCAGTTTCAGCATAGTTATTTGATTTTGAAAATGATGCTATATATTCTAGCCCAATGTTTCTCAACTTTGGCAACTTTGTAAAACTTGTGGATTTCAACTTCCAGAATTTTCCATTGGCATGCTGGGGAAATTCTGGAGTTGAAGTCGATATGTTTTAAAGTTGCCAAGGTTGAAAAACACTGCTATACCCAATCAAATAGGTGGCAAGAACTTTAAATCTAATTCAAAATTAGGCCAAAAGCTATCCTAAGAAGGGAATCGGAATTCAGCAGTTGCTTCAAATATTCCCATAAAGTTTATTCTTCTGGAATATAGTTCCATTAAAACTATTAACTGCTTGTTACGTCTAATTTGTGAACATTTTTATTGTTGCTAAAAGTTAACAGCTACCAGCTTCATGAATTATTTAATTGTATTTAAAATATTCAGTGTCTCAACTAAAAAAAACACATAATTCATGATTTGAAGCATTCCACTGGAATAATTGCAAACTGCATTTTGTTTTCTAGTTATGAAAGATGTTAATTAGAATGTACAAAATACTGGGTAGATTTCATACAAAATGAGAAAATGTGGTTTCATATAATTCATGTGTTCCAAAGCTTAGTATTGAACAACATATCACTCTTTCTTCCTGTCTACAGTAGATGACAACCATGAAGTTCAGTATTAGTTATAAGATACCATCTTATAAAATAAAGCACCATCCCTTCAGTATTTCTTACAAGAAAAAAACTAGGTTTTTTGTTCTATTGCAGCAAATTAAAATTTTTTTTGCAAAATCATTCCTGCTGTTGTTTTACCATTTAGAATTGATTAAAAAAAACCTTCATTAGTTTTTAGTAATGCCCTTTTGCAGCATAATATTATGCATTTAGGATTGAGATGTGAAAGTAAATTGGATTTAGTTATATATTTATAAATGTGTATTTCCATAAAAGCAGCCTATGTGGCCACGTCAGTTTGCTAGATGTCTACTTGGCATAATCAAATACTGGCTTGGCCAAGTTTTACAGCTTTGCTTTTTTATTTTTTAAAGAAAATTTTATTGATTTTCTAGTTTTACATTTAAATATTTGAAAAGCAACGTGCAGCTGAATTGATCAATAATCCAATAACATTCAAATATCTTTAGTACAGATCACAAACTATTACATTAAATATTTCCTCTCTTTTGCCCTTGGTATTTACTATCTCATATTTAAATTAATACAATTCTTATTATATCAAATAAATAATAAATTAAATAAAAATAACTTTCTTACATTTATCAATAATTTTTGGTTTGTACATATCCTAGTTATTTTAACATTCAATCTTTTTAGACAATCAATGTCCTGGTTAGTTTTTCCCAATTTTAGTTTCCCATTAATATTTAAATTTAACGTTTACTATTTATAATTTCCAAGTTTTAAATAACCCCAATTCCCTTTATTCATCAAAGATCTAATGTTCACCATCTTACATCAACTGATTAATAATACAATATAATATTCTTATTTTCTGGTAATTTCCAAATATCTTAAATTTAGTAACCAAAATTTATCTTATTTCAATATTTAATACTTCCTCTCCTTTTCTCTTAATATCTACTATCTCATATTTAATTTTTATTATTACCACTAAGTAAAAAGATATTTATAACATTCATCGATAGATTTTTAGCTTATATATATCTTAATTACCTTTACATTTAAACTTTATAAGCAAATCAATGTTCAAATTTAACTGTTAATATTTATACTTCCAAGTTTTAAATGACCGAAATTTTCTTTATCTCAACTCATAACAATATCTAATATTCAAAGTACACATCTTATCTATTTGAGTATATTCTATTTTAATTCTCACTAATAAGTCAAAACCCCAATTTTCTTCAGTCTTATTCTAGCTTTCTTTCTTTGCCAAATCGTCTTCCATGTCCGTGCTTTTGAGTCATCAAATAAATCTCCCTGTGTTGTTACGTATATTGTTTGACATAGAAAAAAACATCCAGCAGCCATTTTTTTGAGAGGACTAACAAATCGTCTCTCTATTTTTTCATCTCGACATAGTTGTCTTGAACTGTTTATCTTCTCTTCAGTCTGTTCTTCTTGATCCTCAGGTTTCTTCTGATTTATGTAGGAAGTCTTTTCCCCTTTCCATATTGTCAGTCCCTTTTCTGAATTTTCCATTGACTGTATTTGTTGATCCAGTTGAATCCTCTGTCATAATATTTAATTGTTTCACATTTTCTGTTATATTCTGTGTAGTTGATTTTTTAGTTGTAATCAAAGTTTTGAGTTCATGTATCTGGGCTGACATCTTGTTCTTTTCTGTAACCTCTTATTTCATCAGTAGCAGTAAGAATAGTTTGGTAAATTGCTTTCAACATAACAGGTTTTACAGCTTTATTATTTATATCGCTAATAAAGAATTGAGAGCCAGTTTAGTGTAGTGATTAAGCTAGAAATTTGGAAACTGTAAGTTCTAGTTCTGCCTCAGGCAGGAAACCAGCTGTATGACTTTGGGCCAGCCCTAGGAAGGAAGCAGTGGCAAACTACCTCTGAAAAGTAACTATTTGAGGTAGTCACCACAAATCAACACTGACTCAAAATCAGACTCACAGCTCCAACAATCCCCCCCCCCGCCCCCGAAACTTTCTTTTAGGCAACTACATTTTTAAGTGAGAAAAAAATAGAATTAACTTTGGGGAGGGCTTGATGGTAATACTAGTGCAGTTTTTGCTACTTTATTTCTATCCTTTATGAACTGCTGTAATTTGTATTGACTTATGGTACCTTAGAGCAAAACAGTGTCATACATGACAGTACTGCAGATGACACCTGTATGTATTGCATACTTCCCCAATTAGGGTAGTGGTTTTTCAGTCAAGATATTTCTCTTGTCTTTCAGGCTTTTCTAGAAATGGCTTCAGAAGAAGCTGCTGTTACTATGGTGAACTACTACACTCCTGTTACACCTCACCTTCGCAGTCAGCCTGTTTATATTCAGTATTCCAATCATAGAGAACTTAAGACTGACAATCTACCCAACCATGCTGTAAGTATGCTACTTCTGAGTAAAGTATATGACAGTGATGGCGAACCTTTTAGAGACCGATTGCCCCAAAACATGATACTATCATACAAATGTTGGCATTGTATACTTGCATTCTAATTTCTGATGCAAGTAATAATTTATGCTATTAGTGTGATAATAAAGTCATGCATTTTGCATCATTTCTACCACCCCAGCAGATGCCTTTGATTGTATATTACTAAGAATGACCCACTTCATTATCATCATCATTATTATTGCCACTTCATCTTCTTTTTGGATCTGTGTGTGTGTAGGGTCTCAGTTTACCAAAAGGGTCATGAATTATCAAGAAGTGGTAATTCTGTTGCTCTAATTCAGTGGTTCTCAACCTGTGGGTCGGGACCCCATTTGGGGTCGAATGACCATTTCACGGGGGTCGCCAAACCACGCTGTCCGCCATTTTTTCCCCTTTTCCCTAGCTGTCCTACTCCCTCTTATTGGTGGCCACACCCACTTGGGGGTCACCACAACATGGGGAACTGTATTATGGGGTCACGGCATTAGAAAGGTTGAGAACCACTGCTCTAATTGCTTGTGGAACTGAGAAATTTTACTATTTGGTATTTCATGTAATTATTTTTGCTTCCTGTTCCAAATACCTTATTTGATGTAACAGTAATATTTCATTATGGAATTCAAGATATCTAGTCTTTCTTGTCCTTTTTTCTTCTCAAATTATCTGTTCAATATATATTCAGTTTTGTTCAATCCAAATTCTGGCAGATTACATAAAAGAGAAATATACTTTGCCCTCTCAGATGGATGAAAATTGAAGAAAAAAGACTTAGCTACTTGAACCTGGAACTGAACATCTTTGTGAAAGTATGCATTTGGGAATATACCTGCACCAGGAGAAGTTCCATTTTAGCTTGTCTGAGAATAATATGTTAACCAAATGCCTATAAGAAATTTATGTATGTGATCTGGAGCATCCCATAGTATCCAGTTCCTATATGTGGATGATCATCTTTGCCCTCAAAATAGCTTTACTCCAATTACCTCAGCCACATATTAAAAGCAAACTGCATGGACATATCTATTCAACACGGCAAACAGACAAAACTGTAAAGACTTTGAAGACTTAAAGTAGTAAGCAGTGAATTAATCAGGAAGACAATTTTCTTTCAATTCAAGTGTGAAGGTTCTAATAGCATTCTTAGGAATTCTGTCCTTTTCACTTTATAGATCTTTTATGTATATGTTTTGTTCATTTGTTAGCATACTCTCCCACCTTTCATTCTGGAGCTTAAGGTGGCATGTGAATTGCTTCCTCCTATTAATTTCCCACAACAACTTTATTATGGGGTAATACGTTGGGCTGAGAGAGAATGACTGACCCACCCAATGAGCTTCCATGACTGTATGGACTTGATGTGGATCTCACTGACAGTCACCCCAACACCTTAAATACTGGTAGTTCTTGATTTACAACCATTTCTTTAGTGACCAAAGTCACAACGGCACTGAAAAATGTGACTTATGACCAGTTTTCCCACTTGCGACCATTGTGGCATCCCATGGTCATGTGATCAAAATTTGGGCACTTGGCAACTGGCATGTATTTACGAGACTTCCATTGTTCTGTGGTCATGTGATCATCATTTGTAACCTTCCCAGCTGGTTTCTGACAAGCAAAGTCAATGTAGGGGAGGCCAGATTCGCCTCATGACGGTATGATTCACTTAACAACTGCAGTGATTCACTTAACAATTGTGGCAAAAAAAGTTGTAAAATGGAGCAAAACTCAGTTACCTGCCTTACTTGGCAACAGAAATCTTGAGCTCAATTGTGGTTATGTTGAGGACTACCTGTATTACACCTATTAGGCCTCTGTTATATTAGACTTTGAGAAACAAAAATATTGCATAATTGGTATTGGGAAATGCCAAGAGGAACAGTGACAGAATAAGTGTGGAATTTGAGCAGGGAGCTTTGCGTATGTTTCTGTTCAGGAACAATTTATTCTTATTAAACTTTAGATAAAATTTGTGCCTTGGCTATGGTGAAAAAAATCTGATGAACAATGAAGTTCCATATTTTTGGGAACTAAGGTGAAGCAAAGTTAACTATTCTGCTGGAGGAAATTTTGTTATTTGTACTTTTATCCCACCAATTCAGGAGAAAATGGAATTTGCAGATCAGTTTGAAATAGCCTTAAAATTCATATTCTGCTGGAGTAATTGTCTTATAGCAGCAAGTGCTTTTGGCAAGAAACCACTTGAAGATGGTGGATCATAGCAGTCTCTAAGATTCATTGAACATAGCATTTCAAGATGATATTTGGAACTCAACATGGAAATAGAACAGGCTGTAGCAGGCCTCTGATAAGTCTATTTCTTTGCTAGAGCAGTAACTCTATCATCTGTAGCCATATTTCTTACAACTTACTTCCTTGTGTTTTGCTGATGAAGTTGATGTAGGAGAATGGTGCTGATAGGGCACAGTTGAATAAACTTTTGAGCAAATCTTACTTTACCTTATATAGATATTCAATTATTCCAAAAGCTTAGAACATGTTTGAGATGTTTCCATAAACGTGAGATGCAGCAGAATGAAAAATTAGTAATGTACTATGACTGAGGTAGATGCAAAAAAAAGGAAGCATAAAACCATCTCCTGGAGTCCTACTGATTCCTGTAGGATTTTGTTCTGACCATAATCTGTATTTAATGTTCTTAGCATATATAATAGATAAACTTTTATCTCCCTCTCAGAGAACTCAAGCTGCATTGCAAGCAGTGAACGCTGTGCAGTCTGGAGGCATGGCCCTCACAGGTGCTCCAATGACTGAAAGTGGTCTGCCTCCTGGTCAGAGTTCAGTTCTTCGAATTATTGTGGAAAATCTCTTCTATCCTGTTACTCTAGAAGTGCTATATCAGGTATAAACAAATGTTCTTCTTGTTGTAATTACTTATTTGGATATATTTGGCATTAAGATATGGCTATTTAATTGTGTTTTCCCCTTACCAAATATCTTAAGCCCAGAATGAGTGTCCTTCCTCTAATTCAAATGAAAAAGTAATAAAAACCAATTATTTACTAGAGAATAACTTGCATACTGTAACAAATATCACAGACAGCACTAGTGATTCAACCAGCAGGATCATGTATATCTATTTCCTTCTCTGTTTCTTGTACACTCCATATTAAGTATTTGCTCATGAATTGAATTCAAATCAGGGAGCACAATGAATACATAATAATGCGATTCTGTAGAATTGAAAGGAGAAACTGGAATGAATAAATTTTGTTAGATCATAGCTTTAGGGTACATTTAATCCCAATACTATATTATTGTGGGTTATTATGGTGGTGGAAAGCTTTTGAATGGCCAGGTTGCAAATATAATACCTCTCTTTGGATTATTATAGCAGCCATGACCAAGAGTTGCATAGCAGCTTTGAAAACCATTTCTGACAATCTCTGCCTGTTTGTTTTGTTTGCTTTACAAAATGGAAAGCTGCTTTTTTCCCCAATGAAGCCAAGCAGATGTTCACACACATGCATATGGAAACAGCTAGGAATAACTTCCAAAACACCTGCATGAGGCTTGCAAAGGACACAGCTGCTTTAGCTATTCAAAGAGAGATTCTGTGTTTTGTGTTGCAAAGCAAATCCTTTCAAACGTAGCCTTGTTTTGTCATTTGTACATATTGTCAGAACTGCGCTACTCTTTAGTCTTTAATGTGATTATTTACCTTATTTACATTAAATATTGGGGGGGGGGGAGCCTTTCAAGCTTAAACAGTAATGTAACTGGCCAGTTTAACTAAATTATGTTTAATTATAATTTGTATATATTGAAGAAAAATCAGTCTTTATTATTTTTGTTTTTATTGAGAGAACTGTTTCACTTATGAAATTTGTTATAACACCCATTAATACCATGTTCAGAGTGCTACACTTTCAAATTACAATAAAAATCCTCATGCCTATAAATTTAGATTGTTTGAAATAATCATTATATCTCAAACTCCCAAGAAAGTATTAATGCATGAAATGACTGTTTGAACTTTTTATTTAGATCTTCTCCAAGTTTGGAACAGTTTTGAAGATCATAACCTTTACAAAGAATAATCAGTTCCAGGCCTTGCTTCAATATGCTGATCCTTTGAATGCACAGTATGCCAAAATGGTAACTTTGCGAATAGACTCCTAATATGCTTGCATTGTAACCGTTTACTGCATGTGAAATGCCTTATTTTTCTGGTGCTATGTCACAGAAGTATTATGCTGCAATTTTACAGTACAAAAATACTGTGCAATCATCATTTCATATAGCTATTTCTTTGCATTACAGTATAATATATTTCTTTGAAATTCAGAGACTGCATAAACATTATAAACCATTTAAATGTTGGTAGAGTAATGTGTGGAATGCAGCTTTCCAAAGGCCTATTTCACTGTCTGTCAGAGGTGCCTACAATTTTCTCCCATCCTTTTTTCCCCTTTACCACTGCTGCAAAAAGAAGCAGATGCTAACATGATTGTTCCAGTTTTGAAAGATTACTCTGGCAAGCCTTTAGGACTGATAGTAAAAACTTTTCAGAACAGCTCTGCAAGTTCTAAACAGGTGCTCCACGAAGGCTATTTGATTAATTATTCAAATCTTTCAAATTTTCTAATAGAGCCGTGTACCATCTAATAGCTATATTTTACTAACTTGATAGCCTCAGTGATGCAACATAAACATGATGGTGCGTAGTCTCAAAGAAATGTAATTTCAAAATGATACTTTGTGTATAATTTAAGTATAACAGAGTTACAAACTTCTGGCAATATGGTCCCTTTAGTTTACAAAGCACATAAAACAATGGGCCAAAGCAACATTGAGAATATGAACTCATTTGCCCTTTGCTTCAACCAGAATGTATGTTCACACTGCAACTGTGCATGTATTTATGTGATCTAAATTCCAAAAAATCCTGGAAGCATTTCACAACCTCAACTTTTTTTATATCCCCATAGGCTCTGGATGGTCAGAATATCTATAATGCCTGCTGCACTCTTCGCATTGATTTCTCCAAGCTAACAAGCCTTAATGTAAAATATAACAATGATAAGAGCAGAGACTTCACACGTCTGGACCTTCCTTCAGGGGATGGGCAGCCTTCACTTGACCCTAATATGGCTGCTGCTTTTGGTAAGAACTCTTCCTTTGTCGTTGGAGATAGAACAAATTGCTCCTGCCTTTTACCATGGGCTACTGAGGTTTTTCTTTACACAAAGAGACATACTGTTATAGATAACAGCAAAATGTGCTTCCCGTCATTTGGAAGAAGTGGCTTTGAAAAATATTGATTATTAATATAGGTTAACTGTATTAGATAGGAGTAAAATGAGCCGTCATTTGGAAGTGGCTGAAAAATATTGATTATTAATATAGGTTATGATGTTAGATTAATAATTATATTTTTTTAATTGTAGCACTACTGCTTATGAATGGTATCTCAGTTATGAAATTGTTAAGAGCCAAAATTGAGATTCTCTTTTTGTACTTTTTGTGTCCTATGCATCACTGAGGATATGAAAGAGAGTTTGTCAAATTTGGGCCTTAAAAAAAAGTGGGGGGACATTTTCCCCTGTGTATTGGAAGTAATGGGCAAAAATTCATTTTTACAATTTTGCTTTGTTCATTCTTGCATAACCTTTTGCCAGCATCTGTTGGAAAACACCACCAAACTTTTCTTCCTTAACTAACCCAGAAAAACAACGAAGATAAATTTTGCTTCCTCTTATTTCAGGGGAAATTTTATTTGTAAAAAAGTGAAGGACACTGACTCTTTACACAGTTCTGATGAGGCTATAATCTTACAATAATGTTACTGTACTCTAGAAGGTAATTATTATTGTTGTAGAATTTGGAACGGAAGCACTGATGGCTTCTTGCTGTCCCGTCCATTTCCAATTGATAAAGGTGTTGAGTCCAGCATTGAACTCATAAACATTTGGAACTGTATCAAACTTTATCTTTATCCATACATTCTCAGTGTTAAGCAATAATCACTGTCAGCCTTGCCCAGAAAGAGTACTTTTGAAAATAATCGATATACTGTATTTTAATTATATTTAATATATTGGGGTTTAACGTATTGATCTCAAGATAGCTCATAATAAAAACATTTTTTAAAAAAGTCTATTTCTAAAGTAGGCAGAGAAAAAACTCTTAACCCTTTCTTCTGAAAGGGCAGTGAAAACCATTCCCCCTTGCAGAAAGGTATTCTTAGTTCTTTTATATGGAGGTATTCTGTAGAAAGATATTCTTAGTTCTTTCTCTTCTGGTTAGCCATGGTATTCTCTAAGGATAGCCCATTAGGAATTGAGCTCAGGAACTAAAACAGGAGCTTTAGGAATTTAATCTTCAGAACTAGAACAGAACCAGATTATTGAGAATGATATTTATCTTAAATTTAGCCTGGGCTTTGTAGTTTTCTCCGTATTCATCCAGGCAGGTGATTGATTGCTACAGACTTACTCAGTTGGGAGCACCAGATGAGCAATGTTCAGGCAGAAATTTGTCCTGGAAAGAATTTCCCAAACCTTGCATTTGTATTTTTGTGAGCAAGGTGCACTCTGATCCCAGACATTTTTGCTCACAATAGATGAATGCAGGATTTTGTGAATTTTCTTTCCTCCTGTTCATCTGTTTCTATGATTAAGTATCTAAATACACAAAACAGCTTCAGTAAACTCTGAACCTAAGCTTAAAGAATTAGAAGAACAGGTAAATAGCAATATTAAGACGAGAAAACATACTCACATTTTCTCTCAAGCAGCCATATGTTGACCCAGTGTCAAGTGAATTAATTAATTTGTTAAGCTATCCATTTGTGTGATACTGCAAAGAGAGTTTACATGCTGTATGCAAAAACTCTCTTCTGTTCTTGGGTAGAAATACAAGGTATTGTATGTATTTGATATCAGTATTCACGCAGGCCCTATCTGGCTGAATAAGCTCTTTGTTATTGAATGTTTGCATAATGAATTATAATGGAGAGCAGAAGTGTAAATTAAATGATGAATGCCTATATTGCCAAATACAAGTCACAATACCAATGCATGCTGTATTATAACTATAAAATATATAGTGTTTTGCAGTATTTGTGTAATTGCCATATTGTGACTAAAGATAAGAGGTTTAGGAAGCTATTGAGTTCAGACAACATGAAAGGTTGTAGTCCTGAATGTGGCAATTTCCTGCTGTTTCCAAAGCATCATAGCTGTAGCATGTGAATTGGCCTCATGAAATAGAGCCTACTTGATTTCTTTGCTCAGTGCTTATTTCCACAAATCATATTCTATGTTTTGTATAAGTTGCTGTAGTTAAAAAGGGTACTTTCAATCAGTTAAGTAATCTTCAGAGAGTAAGCAATTGATAGCATGAAACAGCTGCTATATTTTTCCTGCTATTCATTGGAGGTGGGGGAAAAATGAATAGTATTATCTAATTGTCTGATTTAACACAAAAAGAAAAATGAAGCACTTGGCCCTTGTTAATAAACTACAGACAACATTTTACATGTGAACATGCTATTTGCACTTGGGTTTTGGTTCTTAAGTGTCCTCTCAGAGAAGCAGATCCTAAAAGGCCTATTGGAATTACACCAATATTGAGGAAGAAGGTTGTACAGCTATTATTCATCACTTAATTGCCAATATAAGCTTCAATTAGAAGCAGAGCAGAGAATCACACAAACTGAATTGAACAGGGGATATATTCATCCCATGCAATAAGTCTAAGACAAAAATCTGTTCCTTAGGAGTTGAATAACTTTTTACTTTCTCTAGAAATCAACCTCCTGCAATCTGGGCTAATTTGTTTTCTTTTTTCAGGCACTCCAAGTATCATCTCCTCACCATATGCAGGGGCAGCTGGCTTTGCTCCTGCCATTGGCTTCTCCCAAGCAGGTAAAGTCTTTCTTAGTATCGTAAATATCTGATTTTCTTTCTTTAATATTTCATTTAGGTTTGTTAAATATTTATATATGTATTAAGAACCAAAAGCTGACAAATGTGTTGGCAGCTTTTTAATGGTGTGGATCACGTGTTGTTATTTTATTTAACAGCACATTAATGAAGCACTAAAAATAAAGCTTTTAATATTGCTTGACTATTTTCCCATTCCTGATGTTTTGAATTCCAGTTAGAAAATTAAGTTATTCGATTGTAATTGGGCAGGACGATATAAGAGAATGTTTTATCCATATCTAACTACTAGCAGGAAACACGAGAATCAAAGTCTTGAGTAATATGGCATTTTGAAGGAATCCTTCTTCCATAAAACACGGGGAGAAGTTTAAAAGATTGGGATGAGAGTTTGATTTGATTCAGTTTGCTGTTTCGAAATGGAATTTAGACATAAGCTATGATATTTAATCCAGTGAGGAGAAATAGATTGCCATGCCTTTCCAGATTAGATTTACTTTTAACATGAGAAATAAAAATGAAGTTACCTTTGTGTTTACTGAAATGCTTTTTGGGACTCTTGGCTGTTCCAGGTTTATCGGTCCCGGCTGGCGCACTTGGTCCTCTTGCAATTTCCACCTCTGCAATGACTGGGCGGATGGCTCTCCCAGGAGTTACAGGATTACCTGGAAATTCTGTGTTACTTGTTAGCAATCTTAATCCTGATGTAAGGCTAACACATGTGCATATGCCACAACTCAAACATAGCTTTTGTTTTAATCGTTTTTATTCTTTTGAAAAAGAAAAAAAGTCATAAACCCACAAAAGAATATATATCTTAACATTGTAAACAAAAAACCTGATATGTATATGCTAATGTGACATTCATGTCCTTAATTAACATCTGCCAGGGCACTTGAAAACAAGGAAAGGGGGTAATTAAACATAGAAACTAATATATACAAATATTAAGTAATCCTCCGAGTTGGACTCCTACTGAAGTATTTGCTCAAATAAAGAAAAAGAGGTAAGCTCTTCACATCATTGGATAATGCACTGAACATGAGAGTCATTCCAACCCTGTAGTTATCAAGGTTTGTATATGTATGTGCGTGTGTTTATAAAAGCAGTGACATTTTCCATTGTCTTCCTATCACTTTCTGAATAGCTGGTAAAAGACTGTAAGCTTCCTCAAAAACCACTGATTCTTTCAGAACAAACTCAGTATATTAAGTAACTTATTTTCAAAAGGGAATATGATAATGCGTATCCTCATTGTTAACAACCCATTATACTTTTACTATTAACTGAACTTGCCACTTTTTTTCCTAAAAAGTTGTGACATGCAATAGTATTTTTTAATTAATTGTAAATGTATAATAACGTGACATATAGCCAGAATGGCCTTTATTACATTGCTTTACCAGACATTCCAGTTTCTTGTGCTGTACTCTTTTCCCAATAAAAATGCATTTAAATTCAGCCATAGATATATAACAAAGCTAATTTTAATAACATTGCAGCCCCCAGTATCTCATTTTAAACTTAGTTGAACTGCCACCTATTATAATTAAATTTATATTATTTGTTAAAATCTAAATAATCACATGGCCTTACCAATGAAAAACATGGATAAATGATGTGAATTATATACAGTACTACAGTATAGAACAGTGATGGTGAACCTTTTTGAGACCGAGTGCCCAAACTGCAACCTAAAACCCACTTATTTATTAAAAAGTGCCAGGGCCGCATCAGTATTGTGGTGCCCTCAGGGGGTGGGGGCGTGGCCCACTGGGTGGGTGTGGCTGTGGCGGTCATGGCAGACTGGGCGTGGCCGGAGTGGCCACCTTGATGTTGCTCATGGGGGGGACGCTTGGGGCTGGGCAGGATTGGGGGAGATCCAGTGGATCTCTGGTGGGTGGGGCAGTGGGCAGGAGGCTCGTCCTGCAGGGTGAGGCAGGGGGTAGGGCGGGGGTGCCATTGCTGCGGAGCGAGACAGGGGCAGCTGCTGCCTGACACCATCAGCCCCTGCACACAGAGGCCAGCGAGCACATGGAGGCGTACTCTGCCACCTCGAGCTTGGTAGCCAGCTGCTTCACCTCCTTTATGCTGGGTGAGGCTGCTGCTCCAGGTGCCAGCGGCGGCCTAATGGACCTGCGTGAGCTGGTGGCGGCAGGTGTGCCCAGAGAGAGGGCTCACGCGTGCCATAGGTTCGCCACCACTGGTATAGAATATGTTAAAACAAACATACACAGTAACTATAAGATAATTCCAGATTTACGAATTACACAGTACAAAATTATTGTCTTGTTATTCTGTGCAGGCAATCACACCAGATGGGCTTTTTATCTTGTTTGGTAAGTTTAGTTTCTATATACAGAAAATACATAACATTGTTTGAGAAGCTAATATTTCATGTTGAAATACAAATTGTAATTGGTTTGTATTCTTAAAAATACTGGGTGACATCTATATATTTGTTGGTCTATGTATAGGAACCTGATTCTTTTGTAAATAATTAGAATCTATCTGACTTGTAGATTTTCATATCTATGTTGTTTTGTATATATGAATTCAAATGCATTTTACTTTGCAGGTGTTTATGGTGATGTCCACCGTGTAAAAATCATGTTTAATAAGAAGGAAAATGCCTTAGTTCAGATGGCAGATGCAACTCAAGCCCAACTAGGTATGAACAGTGCTAATCAAATATAGTGTGATTGCATTGTACAAACTGCTTATTTCATTTACTTTATAGGAAACATCTATGATTTTCCTTTTTTAAAAAACATACAGCAAAACTCTTAAGAATTGAAGTTAAATGTTACTGCTACTTTTACCTCTACAACAAGATATTGATTTTCATTTGATTAAAAATTCATTTGATTATTTTTTTCAACTGAAGATTCTTTAATGGGAAGTTAATGCACGCTTCATTTTCTATACTTTATTAATTGTGCATAGTGATCTGCTTCTCTCATAAATAATAATTAGAGTACACCTGATCCTAATTCAGAAACATTATAAAATGAAACAGCCATGGTGGTGCAGTGGTTAGAATGCAGCATAGCAGGCTGACTCTGCCCACTGCCAGGAGTTTGATCTTGACCGGCTGAAGGTTGACTCATCCTTCCATCCTTCCAAGGCCGGTAAAACGAGGATCCAGATTTTGGGGGGCATTATGAAATGATATATAAACCTAAGTGCTATTGCTATTTTTGCTATAAGCGTAGTTGAGAATTAGCAAAAAGTGAATCTAATATAATAACTGATTATTGGAACAGATCTTTTAAAAGTACCCCTTGGTACAGTATCTTTTTATTTACTTTCCCCCAATCTTAACTTCATTGTCTTAAATACTTCAGCCATGAATCATTTAAATGGACAAAGACTATATGGGAAAACACTCCGTATTACACTCTCAAAGCATCAAACAGTACAGCTCCCTCGTGAGGGTCAAGAGGACCAGGGTCTAACTAAGGACTATGGCAATAGCCCTCTGCATCGCTTTAAGAAGCCCGGCTCCAAAAACTTCCAAAATATCTTCCCTCCATCGGCCACTCTTCACCTCTCCAACATTCCGTAAGTACATCCAGATATAAGGAAGGGCTTGCTCAAGAGGGCTGTTGTTTTCTCCCTCCTTTCCATTCAGCCTAAAAATGTGATTTGTTGCCCTCTTCATCAGATGTTTGACGGAATCTGCTGCATCATAGGCCAGTTCAGGATATGAGTAGCTGATTTGAGAGGTTGGTAATGGTAACACGCTTCTGAGTTTATGATAGGGGCAAAAACTCACACTTCTGAGTTTTAAGAGAGCATTTCAAAAAAGGTGTTTCTCATTATATTTGGAGCATCCAGAGACCATTGTATTATTGTCCTGCCAATTTTATTACCAGGATATGATAATATTGCAAAAAAAAAAAAAAACACCCTGAATTTAAACATTTGCACATGGGGTTGTTTCATCTGAAGTTTCTTTTTGCCAGTAGCAGTTTGTGCTATATGAGAGGAAAGCTTATTTGGAAAGCTACAGGTATCTGAATCACAGAATTCTTGTGCCTGTTTATAAGTTGTAGTTTCATGTGCATAAATTAAATAATTTCTATAGTAGATTGGAAACATCAGAGTGGTGAAATCATTAATGCCAAGAACCTTTTTTTATTTTTTGCCCTAAATACGACTCAGCGCTGTCTCATTGCAGTGTTTACCATAAAATGTATTTATAATGCCACAAGCCTATAAAAAGCTTTAATTATCTGTGAGACAATAAATAAAATTTCAAAGGAGTTTATTTGTTTACAGTCAGGGACCAAAAGGAAAGCAGTAAAACTTAGCTAATAAAACTAGATGAGAAATTAGCATATTAAAGATGGTAGACTAGTGACAATCATAAATATTGACAATCTTCTGTGCAAGGCATATTTAGCCAGAACATCCAAGCTTGAGCATAATTCAAATCCAGCATCTTCTAACAGCAATTGCACTTGAACAAAATTTGACAAGTTTTGAGAATAGAAATATCTCACTAGATTGATTTCTGAGGAAAAGGTGTGCAACTTAAGATCAGGCTAACCTGTACATTTAATAAGTAGGGAAATATTAACTTGGAGTGTCAAGTGCTCCTAGGGTATAAAGGGAAGCACAATAAGACATTTAACATTGTTGCAGTGATCTCATTCAAACATGGCCAGTTGCACACTCTGAGTGTGTGATGCCTTTTATACTATAAATGTAATGGCAAAAACTTAAGCCTTGTTGTAAATATTAAATAGGAGAGACTAGTGGAGAAAATGTTAGGAATAGCAAGAAGTCTACTATATTATAGGCCCCATTTGTAATCTGAGACTTCATCATTCTACATATCCAAATCAAATTTAATTTGACCTGTTTCCCTGGTCTAAATATTAGCAGGGATTGAGTTGAAAGTCTGGAGGCAAATCTGGGGTTATACATTTTTCCAGGAGGCAAATGTACCTACAAGCATTAACCGAATAAGGGACCTATAGCAGAAAATCCATGTTAGTCTATATTGCATTTTCATGCTGGTTTACCCAGAGACACAGCCCAGTTCCAGCCAAAGAAGTACTGTATATGCCGGCGTATAAGACGACTTCCGGAAGCGCTAAACTCGGCACCAAAGACGGGGGTCGTCTTATACGCCAGAAATACTGGTAGTTTCCGGCATATAAGACAACGTTCTAGGAATGCGGCTCGGCGACAAAGACGGGGGTCGTCTTATACGCCGAGTCGCCTAATATGCCGGCATATACGGTACATTTGGCATCGAATGAGGAACATAAGGCATGGTTCTGATACATTACATAGTGCCTTAGCTCAAGGGAATTTGACTCCTACAGGAATAAAGTTGTTTCTATTCTTGGCCTTCATAATCTAAAAACTATTGTTATATTTTCAGAGGGAAATGTATTCATTTGATGCAGTGACAAAAAATCCCCTTGGCAACTTTAATACTAACCCTCTATTACAGGGGTCTTCAGACTTGGCCCTTTTATGACTTATGGACTTCAACACCCAGAATTCCTCAGCCAGCGTGCCTGGCTGAGGAATTCTGGGAGTTGAAGTCCACAAGTCATAAAAGGGCCATGTTTGAAGACTGCTGCTCTATTGTGTCATAAACAGTCATGGATTGGTGTCACTTGATGCATCTGATACTGTAATGGACCTTTGAATTAAAGTGCTATCTACTCATCCTTCAGTTGGCCCAAAACAATGCTGATAGAACATACGCTGTTCCCCAGACCAGCATTTTCCAAACATGGCAATTTCCAGATGTAAGGACTTGCAACTCCACAGTGAATATGGCCACTTATGAGAATGCTGAGAGTTGAAATCTATACATCTGGAAGTTGCCATGGTTGGCAAACACTGGCTCAGGAATTCTGGGAGTTGAAGTCCATGAGTCATAAAAGAGCCAAGGTTGCCTAGCCCTGCCCTAGACAATCCCTATCACTATGCTGAACTTTTCTGAGTTAGTGCTGGAGGTTGTTTTGAACTATGAACAGGCCAATTCTTATAGGCAAGATGATTCTCCTTTCAGTACCTCACAAATCAGTAGGGAAAATATCCACTAATCTGCAGCAAAATTGGACAGAGTCTTGCTGGGTTTCACTGAATTCACTTCTCCGCTGTTCAGAGTAGCTTCTGGGAGAAAAGAGTCAGATTCTGCCTTGATTGTGCAACAAGCTAAATTCTGTCAAAGCAGAAAAATGAACTAGCTGTGTAAAAATCTCCCTGCCTCTGTTTGCATGTGAGTAATTGAAACTGACAAATGGAGGGAACAACAAAATAAGCACACACACAAAAAAAGCCCAATTCAAATTTCTTATTTATGTTCTGGATACTGCAAGGAGAAAAAGTGGATCTGCTCCTTCTAAAAGTAAAAATGCTAAAGGGAAATAATGGGGGGAAAAATCCCTTCTTTCCCCAAATCAAATAGTTGTCCCTGTTCTTTACTTGCTGAAAGCCTGGAGAGGAGTTTTCAAAAATGGAGGTGGGGTGAAAGATATGAAAAGCATTCGGGAAGCAAAAGCACCATAGCCAGAGCAAGAGCTGCGAGAGAAATAGCTGCAGTGCAGGCTGATTAGAGACCTGAGCAGATGGGCCATGCCAGCACATCCCATCACACCCGACTCCATGATAATTGGTAATGATTTTATGTATCTTGAAACTGTATTTAGATAATGCCAAACAAGGAGGCTAAAAATAGAATTTTTATACTGGTCCTGCTCACACTTGCCTTACTTATGGGTTTGCTTATCTAATGAGATAAGAATATCCTGAGGAAAAGTGGGAGATTGATGTCATCAGTACACGGTTATCTTATTAAGTACAAATGGGAAGAATATTTTTCTTTTTAGATTCCATGAATATTTGCTAACAGTTGGGCACTTAATTCTATGTTACAGGCCTTCTGTCACAGTGGATGACCTGAAGGATCTTTTTGCTGGTACTGGGTGTACTGTGAAAGCCTTCAAATTCTTTCCGTAAGTTTCTGTACATTGTGTAAAGAATGCATTCTTGTCATCCATAAGAATAGGAAAAGATCATATGATATTGAATTAATATTGGTTGACCTCTTTGAGGGAGGGAAAGGAACATAGTTACATAAACTTAAAAGCTTGGTTGTATCTTTGAATTTCTTTTTCTGAAATTAAAAACATAGAACTGGGAAGCTGAAAAGTGTTTGCTTTAACAGAATTAACCGTAGCATGCTTTAGCACAGGGGTCATCAACTTGTGATCCACGGCCCACTACTGGGCCATTGGCTGTTGGCCACTGGGCCACGTGAGTGGCTGGCCAGTGCACACGCATGTGCACGCGTGCAACCTCCCCACTCACACTAGCACTAGAAATGCCGTGAGCATCGGGTGGGCGCTAGCGTTGCCATGGGTGCACTCCCCTCATGCTAGTGTCATGGCGTTGTGCAGGCATTAGCAATGGTGTGAGCGTCAGGCGGGTGCTAGCATCCACCAGCACCCCCCCACTTGAGCTAGCGACGTGGCATGCCGGTGCTATTGTCACTGCAAGCACAACATCCCCACTCACGCTATCATCGCAGTATTCACGGGCGCTAGCATCGCCTGAGCATCGCATGGGCACTCATGGTTCCATTTGCATTGCGTACACAATCACGGCCCCATTTGTGCGTGCACAGCCTCGTTTGCACAGGCGTGTGCTCGCATGCATAAAGGTGCCTCCACCTCACCCATCCCCCCGGGCCACCAATCCTGAAAGGTTGGGGACCCCTGTTTTAGCACACTGAAATAGAAGGGGGGGGGGAAATCAGAAATAGTCTAAATAACAACCAAGATTTTTAGCATTGTTTTTCTCTTGCAATGTAAGCAGAATGAAGAACCTTTGAAGATTTTTAGAAATAAGTACTATACAGGCAGAATGGTGCATTATAAATATATGAACTTATTTGTTACCCTTTTTGCCTTCAGAAAAGACCGCAAAATGGCTCTTATCCAATTGGGCACTGTGGAAGAAGCAATCCAAGCCCTCACTGAGCTTCATAATCATGATCTTGGAGAAAATCATCACCTCAGAGTTTCCTTTTCTAAATCTACAATCTGAATCTTATGCATTGAGGAGTTCAACGCGTTGCCGTTAGTTCCAGTAAAAACTTTCAGGCAGAGACCATAATAGGCCAAACCAAGGCGGCATCCTTGAACAATGAAACTTGTGTGCGTCATGTGTAATTCTGTACATTGTAACAAATCGTAGGTTTATCTTTTGCTATAATGGCAAATGGTCCTACACAAAGTTTTCTGTTAATAATCTTACCTTCTTTAGCAGAACCCTTTTTTGGGGTGGGGGGTGATTTCAGGAACATGGTCTAAGCTTTTATTCCCAGACAATATTTGTGTTCCATGTCAAACAATGTGCTTGATCGAATGTTTTAAAAATATTTTTGGCAAATTACTTTATTCATCAGTTACATCCAAAATATTTTGGTGGGAATAGTTTTTTTTTACCAATTAATGTTTTAATCATTCTCTATTGAAAATATTGGAGGAAAGGCAGTGCCTTATTTCTCCTTGGAGTAATGTAATGATATCCAATAAATTCTGTAACTTACACAGATAAATTGTCCTAAGGTGACCCCGTTGACAGTTCTAACTAGGCATTAAATCACGTTTGAGAGATAACTGTTGTTACTATGAGATGAAGTGTAATGAGATATTGGAGAAAATGAAAGAAGAAATATGTCCTGATTTCAAGTTTTGTACATTTTTTTCAGAAAAATAATTGTTTACACTCCTAAAAAAAAATCAGGTCTGTCATATGGTTTGACAAATTTTTAGAAAGGTTATTTTTTTGGTAAGGTCTTGTTTAAACTTATAAAACTAAACCTCAAGGGTTTTTTGTACCACTATAATCTCTAATACTTAAATCAGAATTACTATGTATTTACTTAATTTCTTATGTGCCTTATTATGTGCTTATAAATGATATAATAGTTTAGAGTTTTATCTGAAGTATCTTTAACTATATTGTGGCTTTGTGAAATTTTTTCCCTTTGTCTTAGTTTTTAAACATTTGGTGATTTTAAAGATGTTTTTAATAAGTAATAGTCAAACCAGATTTTGGTGCTTTGGTATAGGGATGGGTAGGTTGGGAATGAAGATAACTCAGTGCACCTGCTTCTAGGCCTCTTCACAACATTTTAGGGGTTGCAGTTGAGAGATGTCCTTGTTGGGCTTTAGAGAATGTTCTCAGTTTCTGGTTGATATCTAACAGTTGATTTATTGACTCTGAGAATATTTTGTCTCAGGATTCTTTTCACCCAACAGTAATGGGCTTGTTGTGCTCAGTGCAGATGGGCTTACATTCATAAATGTCAAAACTTCAGGACTGAACGTTCACTCCTTTTTGGAGAGAAAGATGCAATCTTAACTATTTTTTGTGAAATATAGGTATACTCAAGTTATTTCTATGATTGTAATACAATGTTTTTAGAGGGGGTCTCAAGATGTTACGTCTACTGAAAAAAAATGCATTGTTTTATAAAATATTCCTCTCGTCAATAAGGATGGTTAATCCTTTCCATGGATTTGAAAATGGAGACAAAGATTTAAAAAAAAGAAATGGCATGTGACAATATGAAGCGTGCTCATTGTCTTTGGAATGTTTAGTAGGTCAGATCGTTCTGTGAATACCAGCTTTTGCTTGGCAAAAAGAATTTCACAGCTTTAGATCAATCTCTAAACTCCTTTAAACTGATAAAATTATAAGTTACTTTTGAAATGCGAGTTCCTTACTAACATTGCTGTAGCATGAAAGGATACGCAGTGAGACACTGGCTGCCTTAAATTTATATAGTTGTGCGTGGAAGATAGTTTGTTGATAATCACAGTTTGGACACTTGATTAGCATGTGTATGTTTTGTTTTGTCAACATGTATGTTTCTTCATGTAAAGCTACATTAGTGTCCAGTAAGATCTGAACCCATTTTAGCTATGACTTGCAGCTGTTTGAAAATAATAAGTCTATTAAAACAAGCCAACTCTACAGTAGCAACACATTTTCTTAGTTTAGCAAAGTGATTGAAAGGAGTGTCTGATTCGGGTATGGCACATGAGCCTTAGTATTTCCCTTCCATGCTATCAATTTTAACGAACCATGGCTCAAAATAAGTATGTTCAGGATGACAGCCCCTTAAGCCATTAAATAGCTTCTTGGATTAGAGAAACAGTAAATTTGCCTTGTATTGTAACTTGCTAAATTATTTTTAGGCTTGGTCACCATGTGTTTAATGCTGCTACAGAGAGGGGTGTAGTTGGACTTAATGAATGTAACTGAAGCAGGAAAAAATGAGAGTGAGCATTAACATGTATAATATCAAGAGTGTTTTGTGTGTGTGCGCGTGCGCGCATGTTGTATGTGAAATACCTTATTTTTTATGCTGATAAACATTGCAAGCATTTAATTTATTGATTTTACTAATCTTAAAAACAATTTTGTAGTGTTAAGGGAAATAAATGGTCAATTTAAGATTTAAAAAAATACCATAGTTCCTATAAAACTTCCTACTTTCAGTCTTGAGTTTTAGACCTACAATTATAGTTACATGCTGGCAAATGTTTTGGATTTTATTTTGGATATATTCTTTTAGTGAGGTCTCTTCATAATTCCATTATATTCTGTATAAATCGTGGTTGTAGTGTATGTGTGTTTAACATTTTGAGTTTGATTTTATTTGTTTTTTTCCATCAGTTGCAAATATAAGAAAAGGCAGTACAAACTTTGCGTTTAAAACAGGAATTCCATTTATAGCAATAGTTAGCTTAATTTTCTCCTTCTGTGGAATGTTTTAGAAGGCAACCTCTTGAATTTGGATTAAGATAAAAACAGATACTACTATTTTCTTGTCATTTTATTCGTTTGCTGCAGAACATTAGCAACAAATGTTATCATAGAATAGCAAGTGACTTAATTAAGGATGTGGTTATTGGGTAACATATTTTTTGCAGATATTGCCTTATCAAGCACCTGAGTATAGGAAATTAATTTTCCAAATTATTTGATCATTCTCATCACTTTTTGTTGTCAGGCATTTTTTTTGACCTCTAGAATTTGGGTTGAAGAATTGAAGGTAATTGTTTTTTATCAATGTATAGAACATATTTATACATAACAGCAGTAGCAAAGGTGCCCTTTTAGTAAACTGATTAGTGCCTTTTATGAAGGGGGATTTGCAGTTCCATAAATCAACATTTGTGATGGAAATGCTTTCTAAATAGGGAATTGTGGCACGTTCTTCATCTGATAGCAATGCATCAAAGCTAAAATGCCTTCAGAAACAACCAAGTTCAAACCTCAGGACCATAGAGGGACTAATTTGAAACAGTATTGGCTCAGGTTTTCAATCAAATAATTACCCACAGTCCTTAGGATTCTTATTCCCAGAGGTAAAGCCATAATAGTTTAACAATGAAATGCAAACTGGATATCTTAGACCAGAGGTCCCCAACCTTTTGAGCACCAGGGACCGGTTCTGTGGAGATAGGTTTTTCCGCGGACCAGAGGGTGCATGGTTTTGTGTGCTGCCTGCATTCTGCGGATAGGGCTTTGTGCGGACTGGATGCTGGCATGCCGCAACCCAGTACTGGTCCATGGATCAGGGGTTGGGGACCCTTGTCTTAAACTATGAACTAGGGGAAAAAATAGACTATTTGTTTCTTTCAAAACTGTCTCGAGAATGATAACTGCAGTATGTCAGCAGAGCTGCAATCTCTTACAGTGTCTTCATACCATGCATTCTGCCTTTAGTAATAATTGGTATATAGGTGCCCAAGTTTTAATATGGTTTAATTTCAGTATTGCCCTACAATTTTCTATCCAACGTATTTGCAGGTTTCTGAATGTCAAAACAACATTAATTTGAAGCCTTGCCCCAAGTTGGTTGCCTGTCCTGTTTTTCACCTTCTGTACTCTGACTGTGCTTGAAGGATACTCTGTAGGCTCTGTGTGCCTATATTTTCAAAAGTAGCCTTGAGTTGTCTGTGTAGCACCTTTTCTTTCAGACTAAAAGGCTCCACTTGCAATGGATACTTACTCTAAAGTTTAGCATGGAGGGGAATTTTGTGAACCAAATCCATTGCTGCCTATTTAAGTATGTCCAAGTAAGACCATAGTGGTACTTCTGGGAATAGCAAATCTGAGCTGTGCCATTGCAGTCTTCATCTTGTCACAAATATAATATAATATTATATTATATTATATATATATATATATATATATATATATATATATATATATATATATATATATATATATATATATATATTTTGCTATTTTCAAAGGAGCAGACCTGAGTAGATAACTCTATTAAAGCCATTTTGTTTGCCTTGACACTTTTGTGGACTGGTAATTTTAATTACAACTGCCAGATTTGAATTATTATGCTGAAAACTGTTGAAGTTTGCACAAATACGTTTTTGAAGCAAACTCCTAATTGTCTTTGCAAAAATATGTATGTAGTATATGAAACTGTTCTTAATTTTTAAAGCAAATCTTAACAATTAGGAATTATTTTTTAAAAATCTTAATTTCAGGGTTTTACAAAGAAGAAAACAAAATGGGACCAAAGTTTATGTGCCTTCAGTAGATTCTGTATTTTTTTTCTTTGCTATCTCTCTCAGTCTTTAAAATCAGTACTCTTGTGTTCAAGGAAATGTGTATTTATATAGACTAAAATACCAAATGACCCATGAACATATAATGTCCTTATGTGCAGTTGATTGCTTACTGTTTAAGTTTATAACTCGTTTGCTGTCTACCATTGTAACATGAACCATGCTGCACCATATAGGAGTTCAAGACATCTGGCTTTACAGTTCTCACAATAAGTTTTAACCTGGAAAATAATAAATTAGTGAGGAGGATACTTCATCCTCTTTTGTAAGTGAGCTCTTGCAAAAATTCCCATTCTTGGATTAATGTGCATTATTAGTGAGGATAGGAAGAAAAATCGCTTATGCTTTTAAATTCATCTCTTTGATTGTGTTTTCATTCTTCCCCCCAATTCATTCTCCAGTTTCTGGAGAAACAATCCTCCCACTTTCTCAAGATACGGTTGCTGACCAAACAAAATGTTGCATTAGATTGTCACCTCATTTGCAATGACCAAAGATTGCTTGCTCTGGTTTTACTGAAACATCTTGCCAGTTCTGTCCTTGAGGTATTTTTCTTGAAAGACTCCATGTAAAGTGGCCTTTTATGTGATTGTATGTGGTGAACACACTAATCAATGAAACGAGAGACAAGATTTTCTAAAAATGTGAACCAAATAACATGGTCTAAGGGAAGGGGGTATATTCAGACAAATAAAGGCACATAATTACAGGAGCCAGACATTCCCTAATTTTTCATGTGTTCACAAATCCCTTTTTAAGTTTGTAAAAATATTCATCTAACAAGAAAATGCTGTAAATATTTGTAACAACATTTTTTTACCTGGCAAAAAAAAAGGTTTTTGGGAACAAGTATAAAATGGTTTTATATTATTAATAAAAAGAACATCAATTGTCTTGTATATTTTGATAAGCAACAGTACCAGCTTTTGTTTGTTAAGCAGCTTGTGGCATTGGAAGGGAGAAAGGATTCCGTGTTGTTGAGATGACTTGATGTTATAAATGCAAAGAAGTTGAAATATTAAAGAAACCTATTTTCTAACTGTGTAGTGCATGGTTAATTTGAATTTCTGTACACTGCCGTTTTATTCCATTTCTTTTAATTTTTGTGTACTTGCTGATTATTACTTGAGTATCTACCTAACTCTTTTTCTAAAACTCTAGTTGTAGCATGCCTCTTAATAAATGTCATGACATCTGTACTCTCAAATTTTTCTGCGTTCTTGTCTATTACTTTAGGTTTCCCTTTTTAATTGTTAAGCTAATGTCTGTCTCTATTTGTGTTTCTTTCTTCTATTGCCCATCTATACTTGCTCTCTTTGGGTTTTGTCTCAAGTCTTTGATAGTCATGTTTTCACAAAACCACCGTATAAAAAGTAATATATGTTACAAGACAAATAATTTACTGTTTTGTTTTAATTTGTTCTGGGACAAATACTTATAGACAAAAATAGTGATCCAGTTTAGTTCACACGCCATCTGAGCCTACTTAACAGCAGAGAAAGTATAACAGAACATAGTTCATTCGTTACAAGTTATCACTTGCCACCCCAAGCTAGCAAACATGAGAAACATTTTGCCTCTAGTAAAATATTCTGAATTGTTTTCTCCTTGTTCATTTCAGAAAGTCAGAATTCCATCACCAACCTCTTAACTCTAATCTGTTTCCTTTGGGTGAGTGGCTGGAGGAAAATAGGACAAATATTTTCTTTGCATTGACATTTAGCGAAGTCCCAACAGAGATTATTTTATATTCTTGCCCCTCTCTCTTTGGACACCAGATTGGCTTGCCATTCCACTAGACCCGTGGTTCTCAACCTGTGGGTCGGGACCCCATTTGGGGTCGAACGACCATTTCACAGGGGTCGCCAAACAAGGCTGTCCGCCATTTTTTCCCCCTTTGGCCACGCCCCTGGCACCCGGTGATGTATAAGTGGTTGGGGGTCACCACAACATGGGGAACTGTATTATGGGGTCGCGGCATTAGAAAGGTTGAGAACCACTGCACTAGACTAAAGTCATGCTATTGTATTTGCTGTACACCAATGCTGTGTTGTTAAAGCACACAAGAATAGCTGATTAACTTACTATATGAATATTCCAAAGGTCATGAAAGCATTTGCAAAACTGTTAACAGCAGTGACAAGCTAGCTAGGAATTTATCAAATGCCATTGCATTATCCAGCTGTGGTCACAGGAGACTGCAATGGTGACATATGTGGAGTGATATCGTGCAAATGCAGCAATGACATAAATCTCTCCCATTTCTCCTTTGTCCTCCAGCGCATCCTATTATCTCTTTTCTCAACATTTTTATGTGTCCAAACTCTTGCACACAGACCCTGATCGCCATTTAAAAGTACCCTGTGCTACAAATGTGTTTGATGCTTATTTCTTATCTTGAAATTACTAGGTAACCTGGTTTAGAGTCTTTGCTCATTCTACCTCAGAGGCTGACTAAGGATGACATCAGAAAGGGCTTTTTATAGCATCCCTGTGAGGGAGATGGGCAATTCAAAAATGTGATAAAATAATCCTGAGCTCTTTGGAGGACGGTGAAAGGTATGATATAAATATCAAGAACTGGAAATTCAGAGTTGTGCTGAAGCATGTTCGTTCCCAGCTCTTGCACTCCTGATGTTAACTTTGCAATAAAAAAAGTTAGGGATGGGGAAAAAAGCTGAAGCACAATGGGGCAATAATTACACTGCACAAGGGGTTCTTGATGAGAACTGCAGTGATGTAACAATTGCATCCTGCTTTCATAAGCTGCCCAGTTACAGTATGTTCCAGCTCCTTTAACTTATGGGAAAGCTGTGGAAGTTTTGCAAAGTGTAAAAGAAAAAAGAATAGACCTCTATTTTCCTTTTGTCAACGTTCTATGACTAAGGTCCCTAAATAACCTCCAACGGTATACTGGATATATGAAAATGGGGACTGGGATTAAATTGCAATGTTGGATCATCCAGTTAGAATGCATCCACTATTCTTCTGCTAATTCTGGAGTAGTAATGTTAACTTTAATGTTAGCCGCCCACAATTCACACACACCTACAAGCACCCTTCTTTCTTGGCTTCTCTGTGCTTGTGGGCCCTTCATTCACATGCACCCTATATCATACTTGATAAGCTTCCCTTCACTTGAATATACATCCACCAGCACCTTCCTTTCTGGGCCTTTCTGCACTCCCATGCATCCTGTGCTTTCTTCCCCCAGTCGCCTTGCACTCCCACACATGTACAGATCCACCTGCAACCCTCCTTGCTGCCCTTCCTGTGCTCACAAGCAACATGTCCCTTCTTTCCCAACATGCACCACAGCACCCCCTCCGCCAATTTGAGCACTGCCTCCCTCCATTCTCCCCCCGAACAGAGCTATCTGCACACCATACCAGCACACCATACCAAGCCCAATTTAAGGGCAGAATACAGATATGATTTAAAACAAAGCGGGTATGTGCCAGAGAGAAAGGGACTTATGCCACTTAAGGGCATATATTACATATTTATAATATACATACATATACATATGTGTGTGTGTGTATATATATATATGTGTGTGTGTGTGTGTGTATTTTTATATAAAAATAAATAAACCCATGTTTTCCTGTTTAGGTAAAGAAATATCTCTGAAATGATGACCCAAAAGGTCACAGGTTGTTTAGTAGTCAATTGGAGATTTTCAAGTGCATCAGTAGATACTGGAGCCTTTTTCTGAGTGACCTTGGCTGAGGTGGTAGAAAATAAGAGGAGACAACTGGGCACTTGTGCAATACAGCCCTTGTTCTGGCAATAGCTGAATTGATACACACCATTTTTTGAGAAGAGGACAAAACCATGGTTTCTCCTTTTAGTTCAGTTGTTCTAGCCTTCATAAATTATTATACAAGTTTTGGCACTTTCCATACATTTACAAGTCAAATATTGGAAGGTAAAACTGATGAATTATCTTCTTTTTGCACACGTGCTTTTTGACCCAACATCACTCTGAAAAACTTCCAGAGAGACAAGGCATTCTCTGTGAGAAAGTCGAATAAGGGATATTTCTGTATTTATCATGATTGATTGCCTCTATTGAGAGCTAGTTTGGTCTAGTGGTTAAGGCACCAGGCTAGAAAGTGGGAGGCCATGAGTTGGTCCAGTCATTCTCTCTCAGCCCAACCCACCTCACAGGGTTGTTGTGGGGAAAATAGGAGGAGGAAGGTGTGTTGGATATGTTTGCTGCCTTGAACTATTTGCAGGATACAAATAAATAAATAAATAGAAGCCATCCCAACTTGGTTTGTAAGAAAAGAAAGCCTCTCAACTCTGTTGTTAGTGAAAGTGCACTTTACTAAAGCAGAGTAGCAGAGCAGGATCTGACATTTTGCACCCAAAGCATCTAGTGAACTTTTCCTTCCTCCCAACCTTTCCCTTGGTCAAACAAATTGTTTTGGTAACAGATCCTGGTTTTGAGGGCTAAATGGAGGCACATTCCATTCCATGACCTTGGAACGCCCAGTGGCTCTCACAGGACGGAAGAACTGTGGTTTTGATTCCCCTTATTCCAACTCAGCTTCACCTCTCCCGCAACTCCCTCCCCCTATGATTTATGGCAGACTGGCATCTGCATGGCTGATGCGGCAGGATGGCAGCCCTGACACCATGTGTCTGTCATTCCGGAAGTCCGCTCTGGGACTGGGCAACAAAATATTAGCTACCAGTTCTGCCAAACTGGTGCAAACTGGCTGAATTCCCACCACTGTATGTAACTGTTCTAGAGAGCAGCATTTCCTAGACTGGCTAAATTTCAACTTACAGAATTTCCATCTGTTTGAAAGGATTCCAAAGCAGCTTACGATGTAACAAACAGCCAGCAATTTCTGCTATGGGGCTTCTAATTTAAAAAAAAAAAAAATTACACAAGAGGAATGAAGATGAAGAGGGAAAAGGAAAACTGAAGGGTCAATCGTTAGTGTTTCATAATTTATTTTTTAAATTAATGTTTAAGCTAAACTAAGAGTATAAAAATACAAGCAATCCCCAATGTATGGCCAGAATTTCCCCTGCTAAGTGAGTTGTGCCCAATTTTATGAACTTTTTTTTTGCCGTGGTCGTTAAGGGAATCATTGCAGTTGTTAAGTAAATCCAGCTTTCTCTTTGTTTGTTGGAAGTTGGCCGGAAGCGCGAAGAGCAGTTTTAAGTCACTTTTTTGGGGTGCCATTGTAACTTTGAACGGTTGCTAAACAAATAGTTGTCAGTGGAGGACTACCTGTGCAGATGTATATTGCTGCATTAAAATATAATATGCCTTTAAAAATAACGATAGTAAAAAAGGAGAGTAACTGTCTGAGGCTTAGGTGACTGAAGTATATCTTCAGAACAGACACTGGGGTCCCACAGATAGCAGGCATAACGAGGGAAATGACCATTTCTTGCTTTTAATTCTAAAGGCTGAAACAATAGATGTTAAGGGAGCCTATTAGAGGTCTCTATAGTTACAGTTCCTGCATCAGCATCATTAAAAAAAAAAAAAACCTCACCAGGCTCTGGGAGAGAGAGAGGAAGAACTCTGGTGAAAACAGGAGGAAATTTGAAATGCGCTTACAGAATGCTATGTCCAGCTGTCCCAGGTTTTTTATTGGACGTGGTGTGTTTAGATACTAACTTTAGCCATGTATCCTTGTCTTAGACTGTGAGGGAAGGTTCTTAATAGCTTTGCTGTTGTGTCTGGCTTTGCTTAATATTCCTATATACTGTAGCATCACTAGCTTCCTTTTTCCTGTAGTAGTGTGCTGGCTTCACTTGACGGCTATTTGTACAGTTTAAGTTAAATGTAGCACAACAATTGCATGCTAAGCAATAAACTCTGTCCATGGAACAGAGATGTTGCTTAACATCATAAGGTTTGCCCTATTCCCTTTTCAGTCAATGTTATTACAGGAAAAATGCTCAAGCATCACAATAACCACTGAAGCATTTGGATGGGAACCGAGACTCCAGCCGGTTCCCTCCCCCCCCTTTCACACACATACACACACACACACACACACACACACACTTTTTCATTTCTATCTGCTCCAGCACACTTTATTGCTTATGCTTGCCTGGTTGTCTAATCAGCAAACCAGGAGGCAATTGTTAATTAATCTGATTACAACCAAGCCAGAAGGACAGTATTTGCTCTTTATTTCATGTGCACAATAGCAGTCCTCTCATCATGCTCCACTGTTCTCATCTCAGCCCTTCAGCAGGAAGCAAATGACAGCAAAGCGTATAAAAATAAATGTTAAGTTCCATTGTGAATGGGTAATCTGTATTCACTGGGGCTCTGGGCTCACTTCCATTTATCTGAGTTAGAGAAGAATAATTTTTATTGCATTATTTTTTTTTAAGAAAAGGCAACTGCTGCCCAAACCATTCATGTCTTTCATATTTATTTGGTAGCTTGCAGTGTAGAGATTTATGCCTTTTTTTTTTTGGTTTAGTTTTGTTATTTTTGTTTTTGCTTGGAAGAATGTAAAATGTTGAAGGGCACAAGAGATATTGTTAACTTGTATTATCCTTTTAAAGACAAGACTGTAATGTTTGAACAAAAGGTTTTCTGCAGATTTCAGTGCCAAAGCTTTCCTAAGACTGATTTCAAAATGACCAGTGTTTATTGGTGGGGACATCATAGGGACATTTCAGCAAACTGAGAGTAAACCCCACTCCTTACTAGCACTGATGACGTTCCCTAGCTTGGATCGACATCTACAAGAAAACAACCAAGTTCAGAGAGCACCAAGGGATCTGTCTACCTGCGTCTCAGATGGAAGATTAGATTGAATCTTTCACTGGCCAGACATTTGTGTTAATTGAGGGAGTGGCACATACAGGTACCCCCAAATTAGCATTAGCAAAGTCAAATAATTCTGCTCCAGTGCAATATGTCACGACACAACACAAGAGGGTTGTTGTTTCATTTCTAACAGTGTTGATGAAGGATATGAAGGCTTTATGGAATGTTCTACTGAAACTGGGGAGGTTAGCTGGTAGAAAAATAAAAGGAAAATAGAGTTCTCTCAAAGTTCTTTAAAAAAAAACAAACCGCCCCCAAGCAAAATATTCCCATCCACTCCCTACCAGTGATACCATATCACTACTTTGCCATCTATATCCCCTTGTTTCTGGCTTGTAAAAAAGAGCCCATTCAGGAACTTCTCGCCAGGATGGGGCTGCAAAAGCCATTAGTTAGTTTTCAGTATGTAGAATTTATAATTCTTTACCAGGTGAAATAAAAAACCTTGAGGGGACAATATCAGATTCATAACAACCAATTTTAACCATCAAGATCAGTTTTATGGCCATTTCCTGTCATTACATGTACCTCCTAATGTTCCTAAATTGTCACACTCAACATCTCTTAATGGTAACTAGGTTGGCTGAGGCCGCTGTGAATTGTAGTTGAGTAACAGGGTAAGCCTTATTCCTCTCCTCCCCCCTGAACTGGTTCTTCTCCAATATGGAAATCAATCCTTCCATTTAGAACTTTAGACCTTGGAACTAATGGTTTTGTAAGAGCTTCTTCGGAAGCTTTATTTTGTTGCTTTTATTTTTAAGCACACTTGTAATGTTTTTCTTCTCTTTCTCCCCTTCCTCCATCCTAAATGTCACAACCACTTCTGTACTTGTGATGCAGAACAAATCAAAAACAATGATCAGAACGACAGGAGTAAAAGGGAGTCTGGTTATGCTTTCCAATGCTCACGGCGGAATAGCACTTGGGTTTAGAAAATAACTCAGTGAAATGTGAATCTGAAATCCATATTTTTCCCTGCACTAGTCTGTGAAAGCAAAAGTTGGACATTTGAAGAAACAGAATAGAAAGTGTGTTGATGCTTTTGGACCTTGGTGCTGGAGAACATTCCTGAGAATATCATGGCTAAGAAAGCACATCATTGAACAAATCACTCCATAGCTATCATACTTCAGAGGCCTCATATATCAGACATACTTGAAAAAGACCTACCTCTCTTGAAAAAATCTATTATGCTGGGAATGGTGAAAGAAAAGAGAGCAACCAAAAACAAAATGTATGGACTCAACTACAGTGGGGATAGGTGTACCATTCAAACCCCTGAAGGATAAGTTGGGGACGGATCGTCCTGGAGAGAAAAATCTATCCATGTGCTGACTAAGAATTGGCACTGACTTGATGGTACCTAAGCAAGAAAGCAAGCTGTAATTTATAGATTTATCTGGAACACTGTTCCAGATGACCACTTGACTAAAACATATTAATAATATTGGGGAGGCCATTTGTAACTGACTTGATGGTACCTAAGCAAGAAAGCAAGCTGTAATTTATAGATTTATCTGGAACACTGTTCCAGATGACCACTTGACTAAAACATATTAATAATATTGGGGAGGCCATTTGTAACTTCCTTGTCTCACACTTTATTGGACTACGTGGGGAATTCTTGAGTTTTGATACTCAGCAAAATCCTAGCTGCACCATTCAGGAAATGGCTGCATGACTCTGCAAAGATTGATTGTAGGCAGATCCTTCTTGGACAGCTACTCCTCAGGTACCTACCTGTAGAGAATAAGGGAGATAACCTTGACATAAATACGTAGGAACTGTTACGTAGTCAAGGGGGGGTGGAACATTTTTAAAAACCTGAGAAACAAAATAATATTCAGAAGTGATTTAGGCAAATGCCTCTCTGACTTCCTTCCCTCCCGGATTCCTGGAGGAGAGGTACAGCACAGACAGACTTGAAAATTCTGTCATCAAAGCTTACCTCCATAAAGTGTAATTCTACTCTAACTGTGGAGTTGATTTTCTGCTCTAGTCTATTGAGTGTAGTTAATGTCGCCTCTATCTTTACAGGTAAGATTGTCAACATAAGTTATATTTAGGTACTGATTGTAAACAGTAAATGCAAAAGCTGTTTCCACACTTGTAAAAGGAAAGGTTGCCAAAGGCAACACAAGAGATCCATGAGCAAATTACATTAGAAGTCTCAAAGCTGTTTATTTGTGTTACATCAGAATCCCCACTACCTTTCATTGGATTAGAACTGCACTATTGAAGGTGGTTTTTTTAACACACAAGGCAGCATGTGCTGCTTTCTTGCTCAATTTGAAAACTCTGCTCTAAATCATACTATTATCAGTTGCACCTTCTGGAGAAAGGGATAAGGAGGATAGAAATACTCCCCAAACCTTTAAGAAGTCCCTGACTGTATTAACATGTTTTTTTGAAGTGTGATTATCTGAAAAAGAAAAGGGATTACAGTACCTGCTAGAAAAAGAAATATCATACAGCAATGAAATGTATGAAATCATATAAGAAACCACTATACTATCTTCTTTCTGGCTGGTAGTTGAAAGTAACTACTCCCTTGTAAAGTCAACTGATACTCTTATCAGTACAGCCACTTGGATAGAATGACCCTATTGAAAAATAGTTCAGAACTGAAAGATCAAGATAACATATTTTGTTGTTTAAACCCTTAGCTGGTATCGGTGGGAGAGTTTACATAACAACGTATATTATATTTGCAACTTTCTTTTGGGGAGCTTCATCCTTATTTTTTCCAGCTGATTAATTCTGCTGAAAGGTGAGAATTTCCAATAGTCTCTGCTCCGACACTCTCACTTTAGAAACGGTATTGATGGACTCCTCAAAAGACTTTGGATCTCAAACACTTGGCAAATCGATCCTATTAAAAAAAATGAAAACAGTGCAGCCAGTTCCCAGCCTACTAATTTCACTTTCCCACTCCAGCCATGGGCAAAGTGGGGAATGTGTGTGTGTGTGTGTGGGGGGGGACCTTCCCAGGTCTTCAATTCTGCAAACTATAAAAGGCTTTTGCTGCAGACTCAAGGGCAATAGTTAAGCTCGTTGGGGGCTCACAGAAAAAGAAAGCCACAAAAGGGAGGCGGAAGAGGGGGTACTTGAGTGGCGATGGGGAGCAATTCAGATGCCAGGAGGCTCGGGGGTCTAAGGAGAGCACCCAATGGACGGGGCAGCAAAGATCGAGCCAAACAACTTCCCACGCTCGGCGGGACTGAGCGCTTCCTTCCTGCAACTCACAAAGGGTGATAAGCGACGGGAGGAAGGGGGCAAAGACAGATTGGAGCTGAGGGAGGAGGAAGTAGAAGGTGACCGCGCCTAGGCCGGGCTTCTCTCCTGCGCCAGGGCCTCCCGGAGCCGAGACGAATTGAGGCGGGAACCGGTCGCTGCAGGAGGCGACATGAACTCGTGGCCTGTTGGGGCCAGGCAGGGCCGTCCGCGTCCCGACTCCCTGCTGCTGGTCTTGTGGGCGCTGCTGCTTCTGACCCGCTATTCGGCGGAAGAGAAGAAACGGGGTAAGCGTTCACATTGAATCCAACACGTCGGCTCAGTTTAGCGTTTAATTCGGAGCACCGCTCCGGCTCCAAGATCTTGGCTTTTGAAGCAGCCGAGGCCGGATTCGGCGTAGGGTTGGGTAAATTACAGGCGGAGCCAAGGATAAATTTTGACGAAACATTTGCTGCTTCTCTCTCTCTCTCTCTCTCTCCTCCCTCTCTCCTAATTAATAGAAATATTACTCGTTATGGTTATGGCTTTTTTCAACTTGATGTAAAAAGGCTGAGGCAAGTTATCCCAAGGTGGCAAAATATTTTTTTCCTGACAGAACAACTCATAAGTGGAACGACTTGCCTCCAGAAGCTGTGAATGCTCTAACACTGGAGGTTTTTAAGAAGAGATTGGACAAGCATTTGTCTGAAATGGTATAGGGTTTCCTGCCTGAGCAGGGGTTGGACTAGAAGACCTCTAAGATCCCTTCCAACTCTGTTATTCTGTTATTAAGCAAGGCTGCATCAAGTCCCTAGAACAACATGATAAAGCAACCCAGATGTTGACTTCCAGATGTGAAGTCAAGGCCAGTCACCTGCTTACTCTTCTGCTGTCTGACTGAATAGTGCTGAGAGAGTATCTCTGGTCATGTGTAGAATGCACATGGATAAATGGCTCAAGAATGCATCAGGTGTCTGTTGTTTGGAGGGAAAACCTATCTGAGTAGTATATAACAATGATTTCTACTTTTTCATTACATTTTCCCGACATATTCTATTTTCCCCTAACTTTCAAGCATCCTTCTGTTCAGTGAGTAAAAGTACCCTTAAAAAAAATACAACAGTGTCTCCCTTTTCACAAGATGGGCCCTAATCTCGATAGAAAGAAACCCCAAATATAGCAGTGGCAAACTATGTGGAGAGAGAGAGATGTTTGTGAACCATTGAGCTTGCCCAACATCTCCAAAATGAGGATGTTGTCTTACATGCTAAAAAGTGGGTGGAAGCCACCTAGTACTTCATGCCAAATTGCAAAATTTTCTTCTAGATATGTTATGCAAAACTTCCCCAGTCTGCAAGATTTATATGGGGAGCTTCCAGCAAACCCAGCCAGTTTATCTAGTAGTGAAGGATGCTGGGAGTTGCAATTCATTAACAGAGGATGCCAAAATTCCCAGCCTCCCTTGTTTCTTTAGGTGATTCTAATGATTCCTAGTGTGCACACCTTTTAAGCTGATACTATTTCCAAATCTTGGTGATTTCTGGATGTGTAAACTTCAAGTCCCAGAATTCTCAGCAACAAATATGCTGGCTAGGGAATTCTGGGAGCTGGTCCACATATCTGGAAGTAATCCAGTCTGGGAAACACTGGTGTAGATCATCTTTCTTCCAAATGTGTTGCAGTACAGTTGAGCATGGATAGCCAGATAATCTTTTGGCATGCTGATTGCTGATTTTAGATTTAAGGATCATAATCCAGTGCATTGTATTGTTATTAACTGTCATTAACATGATATGATTTATTCTCACAACAGCCTTATGAAATAACTTAAACTGCGATAAAGCAACTGGCCCATGAGGGATTGAATCTAGGTCTCCTCATCTGACAATCCTAATCTGAGAATCCCTTGTGTGTCAGTATCCCCTGCTATTTACATATTGGGTGCATTTCTCTTACTGCTTTATTAAATTAAATCCTGCATTTCATTGAGCCCAAAGCAATGTACAGAACACTAAAAATTCTAACAATTTAAAATATTTTATTCTAATGCGTTTTAAAATATATGCCTGCTTTTTCTCTTCTTTCCTACTCTTTCCAAGTTTACCCTGTTTTTTTTAGGTTTTCAGGTTTACCCTATTTTTAGGGTACACTCAGTTAATTACTGCGCCTAGAAGTCTCTTATCAGGTCTCTTTTTTGGGATCCTAAGGTTCTGTGGAAAAGTTTGAAAAATGTGGTCTAGGTTACTAAACAGATTATCTTCCCATCTTAATTTACCCCCCCCCCCTTTTTTTTTTTGCAGAAAACACCAGAGATGTAATTTTTGATGTTTGTGCTACTTGCCATGCAAATGCCACATGTGTACAAAAAGATGGCAAAGATATCTGTGAGTGCAACTATGGATTTATTGGAAATGGGAGAACAATCTGTCATGGTAGGTGAATATTTGCAAACTGCATCCACCTTAGAGAGTTCTACAGCAATATGCTTTTAAATACATTGAAAATGAAAGTCAGATCATGGAGGCACAGACCACTGCCTTGCAACTAGGGACCACAATAACATAAGCCAAGGACTACCTGTACCCATTTTGTTATGTAGATTCCCAGCAAATAGTAAGAGTGAGATCAACCTGATCCATTGCTGTTTAAACATTGGAATCGATCCTTGTAAGTCTCTTCACCCATTTCCCCTTAACTCCCTCTCTCATTCGTTCCTAAGGCAAAAACAAGGGCTGTTTTTTTTTCTTTGTCCAGGCACTGGGGATTGTGAGGGTAATTTGTTTTCCATCTTTGATCTGAAAAGTTTTTCTAGCCTGGGCTATTATATTGGGGAAAATGGGTCCTTTTTCAGAGCATCTGCTCTACACTCACTGTAGGTAGTCCTCGACTTACAACAGTTCATTTAGTGACCTTCAAAGTTACAAAAGCAGTGAAAAACATTACTTAACCACCGTTGCAGCACACCCCCCCATGGTCACATGATCAAAATTCAGATGCTTGGCTACTGGTTCGTATTTATGACGGTCGCAGTGTCCCGGGATCATGTGATCAGCTTTTGAGATCTTCTGACAAGCAAAGTCACCGTGGAAGCCAGATTCACTTAACAAACGTGTTACTAACTTAACAGTTTCAGTGGTTCACTTAACAATAGTGGCAAGGAAAGTCATAAAATGGGGCAAAACTCACTTAACAAATGTCTCACTTAGCAACAGAAATTTTGGGCACAATTGTGGCCGTAAGTCGAGGACTACCTATATAAATCTTTGGCAGCCTCCATTCTCTGAGGAAGCTAGGAGGTAATGATGTGATTAGAGGGATGATTATATATCTGGCAAGTTCAATGTCTGCCTGCCTCCTAAGACGGCTTTGCAAATCCTTCCTAAGAAGCATCTCTCGGTATGCTTCTTTTAAAACTCCTAATAAAACTCCTCTCTTTCATTCATCAAAGCAGGCACCTTTATAGGTTTGCCTTTCTGCTTCAGGAGCTGCTCCCACAGATCTCTGCAGGCCTGTCCATGCACATTTTTGGATTTCCTTCCCCCCCCCCCCCGCCCTGTAGATCAGAGGCTATGCATGGCTGTGCAAGCAGAGACAGCTAGGAACAGCTTCTCAAGCTGCCACATGAACCTGGGAAGAAAGTGGCTACTTTAACCATTTGAAGAGAGGTGCTTTGCCTGTACTTTCTTGTGTCATGTCGTGAAGCCCTTTTGAAGATTTCTAAACTAATAATAATTTATTAAAGGTGTATGCTCCCAATTTTAATTGGGCAGTTCACAACAATAAAAAATTACATTAAAATCAGTAAAACGTAAAAGATAAAGGTAGAAGACAAACGATGCTAAGTGAAACAGATGGATGGAACGAAGGGAAGAGTCTCACTCACCTTAGCTTGATATATGTATATGTGACATATGTATATCTGTCCTTTGTGTCTTGATCAGTGCATGCTTGAGGACCTTAAGCGCGACACCACGCCATTAATGTTATTAGTTTCTGGGCAAGATTGTTTAACTTGTACATATTTTAATTTTGTATTTTATATTTTAAATTTTATATTGTATAGTAAGCCTTATTTTAATTGTGATGCTTCTGACATGAACACAGGTATTCCTCGACTTACAGCCACAATTGAACCCAAATATTTCTGTTGTTAGGTGAGAAATTTGTTAAGTGAATTTTGCCCTATTTTTCTTGCCACAGTTGTTAAGTGAATCACTGCGGTTGATAAGTTAGTAACCCGGTTGTTAAGTGAATCTGGCTTCCACATTGACTTTGCTTATTAGAAGGTTGCAAAAGAAGATCACCTGACCTTGGGACACAGCAACAGTCATAAGTATGAACCAGTTGCCAAGCATCTGAATTTTGATCACATGACCATGGGGATGCTGCCAAGGTCATAAGTGCGAAAAACGGTCATAAGTCACATTTTAGTGCCATTGTAACTTTGAATAATCATTAAATGAACTGTTGTAAGTCAAGGACCTCCTGTAAATGGACAAGCAAACTCAAGATTGGAACTTTAGTAGGGCTTTGATGATGGTGGGGGACATTTGTTCTTTTATTTACAGACCTTGTCGAGGACCACATTGCTGGTGTTTTCTCAGTTTCTCACATGTCCAGCACTAAAATGTTTTTTGCTGAACAAATTGCTCGGTAATCATTTCTAGCATGCAGTTTTCAGTTATTTATTTCACTATGTCATCACTTCCTAAAATTGCTGCTTCTTCTTAGAAAGATAGACAAGTTAATTCAATATGGATCTAAAAATAGAGTATAAGTCAGACTTTTGATGTGACAAAATTTCTGAACCATTTTTTCATGCATTGTGGTCAGGATTTTAAAGAGTCTCAAAGAGTCTCTAAGTTCAACGAATGGAGCTTATTGCTAGTGCCGATGCTATCCTCATACACACATAGAAACATTTATTCTCGCCAGCCTGAGACATAAGTTAGATTGAGAGACGATGAATTGTCTGGTATCATTTAGCTTATTAATCAAGAAGGGACTAGAATAGATGCCTCTTATCTGAACTGCAAGAGCCCAGTGACCACTAGATGGCAGCAAAGAGATGCCGAAAACTTTATTCCCTTGCTGCCATTTATGGTCAATAAGATCTTTGTAACCAAGTTCCTGTCAAACACAACTGCCTTCTGCTTTGATATATTTATTTTACTTGTATCATGCAAGCAATCTAATACTCAAGGGACCAATGTCCAAGGAGGAGAAGATTCCTGCTCTTTTATTCACATGGACAAACGGTCTATGGTTTGTATCAGAACAGATCTTCTGCTATCTTATCTTTTTTGATGCTTCCTGTGTAGCTGTGTTTGAAACAAACATTTTTTTTTTTTTAAGAACCAGTCACCTATCTTATCCTTGGGTCGTCAAACGTTTCCATACGTTTGCCTCACCTAACAATTTTTCTCTGGATCATATTTGTTAAGCATCTTACACAATTTTCCCCAAACTCATATCCGGTTCTTCCATTATCCACATTCACCAATCTGTAGATATGACAGCTCAGATGATGCTAGTTTATAATTTCTAACATACATAGTATCCCTTTCATTCATAATTAAGCCTATACTTTCACTTCCCTGAATGTGTTTATCAATTCCACTTCCAAAAATCAGACTCTTTATTCAGAACTATTGTATCCTCTCCTTTTCAGTTAGTTTTGCGCTCTCACAATATACATAGTTTTATTTCACTTGTTAATTCATGCTAATTGTAACAAAATAATATTGCCTACTTGGTCCAGATTAGATGTATATGTATTATACTGACACATATACATGGGATATTTTCATCCATTATTAGAGTGGTAGAACAATATTGGTCCTATTATATAATACGTTGTACTCTTTATTAATTTGATTAATCTCTATTATATATTCTAAATATATTGTCAGATAAAAATGAATGTCTTTCTGGCATTTGTGGAGAGCACGCTGTATGTCATAATACACACGGAAGCTATTACTGTGTTTGCCATGTAGGCTTCCAGGCCTCCAATAAACATGGAACATTTATTCCCAATGATGGCACAACATGTATAGGTAAGTACCGCAACAATAAATCATTCATATGTTTTTCTGTTTTCATTTAATTTAAAGAGCACTTGGTGCAATTAGTTTTTGTTTTCAGTTATGGATTGTTTTCACTGTGTATATTTTAAACTTTGTGAGCAAAATACATTTGTGTCTGATTCTCTTAAAGTCTCATATAATTAATAGATTAAACAGTGAACGTAGTGCAAGTTAAATTTACATCTGCCATATTTAGCAGAAACAGTAAAATATACTTGTATAGTATTGGCACTGCATGGATCCTCCTTACGGAACACTACTTAGCTCTGCTAAAATTAATATATTACTTATTTATTCTTTGGATGTGTCAGAATAAACCACACTAAGTGTATTCATTTCTTTTTCCCTTATTAGTTCATCTTTCTGTTCTTAAGGTTTGCATTCCTCATCTGTCAATAACACATTTCTTACATTTACTGATTATCAGTTATCTAAACATATCAAGATAGAATATATTGGTTTAAAACTGCAGAAGGTGCTCAATGTCTTAAAACTCCATTTAATTTAATTTTTAATTTATTTTTTCTTATATTACCAAGGAAAGCAGTATTTTTTTCACAATAAGTCTGAGTCTGCTACAGATCTGAACCCTGTAGGGGAAAGAACTATTCACATGGGAAGAGAATGCCATTTCCTTCAAAGTTGCTTTTCTTCTTAAGCAAGTGAAATTCTTCAAATTTTGTTCACTTGGTGGCGTTCCAAGGATTTGATTCTGAGGAAAATGAGACTTGGAGTTTTATATTTTCTCTCAGAGAACGCCAGTTGATAGATCTCGGGAAGTCAAAGGAATTGGGGAGAAGCATCTCAAATTTTATTTTTCCTTTCACTTTACTGCAGTTGTGGATTGTGGACCTCCACCTTATATTCCAAATGCTCTGTCAGCTCCTGTGGATAGAACCACTTATGGAAACCAAGCCCTTTATACCTGTCAGCCGAATTATGTCCTTGAAAGTGGGAACTCAACTGCGGTTTGCAATGCCAAAGGAAAATGGGAAGGTGCAGATATGGTGTGTAAAGGTAAAGAGAGCATCTGAAAAATCCATTGATAAATCTAATTATTCCCATGAGAGTATCACTTGTCAGTCCATTTGAAAAAAAAAAATGGTTCCTTTAAACCTCACAGAAATTTATATAATTCCAAGATTTTCTATGTTGTACCTGCCCAGGAAAACCATACAATGCTTCCCAGGTCCTCTAGATTTTTTAAAAAATTACCTGTTATTATTGGGTTTTTACCCGTCCTGTTTAATATGTAATTTAAAGCAGTGAACTTACCTCCTGCCTCTTATATTATTCTTAATTTATAATAGAGGTAGAGATTATAAACAAAACCATGCATTCAGTACTAGAAACACAACTTTTTCCCCTTGTTGTTTTAAAATAGGGATGTCCAACTTTGTAACTTTAAGACTTGTGGACTTCAATTCCCAGAATTCCCTAGCCAGGAGGGCTGGCTGGAGAATTGTGGGAATTGAAGTTCACAAATCTTAAAGTCGCCAAGGTTGGACAGCCCTATTTTAATCTTGGCTGATTGTTGTTGTTTGATTGCCTGTTGCTTAGGCTAGCCTAAGACTGTAATGCGAAGGAGAGAGTTCCCCAAAAATTTTTCCTAGAGAAGCAAAATGATTTGGCAGTTGACTTTTAGTTCAGCATCTCTCTGTGATGTAATGATAATTGAGGCTTTTACCTTTCCTATAGGAGACAATCCTTCCCCATTAGCAGGGTTGAAACTGTGCTGTCTCTGTAGGTCAGAGATAGCATTTTATGATCATTCCTTTTCTTTCTTCTCCTGGCATCAGCCAGCTGAGGCAAACACCTTACTGTGCCTAATGATAGCATCAGCTCTATTTATTTATCTTTATTTCTAAAAACAACTTTTACTATGTTATTTTAAAATTAATTTTAATGAATATATCGTGATGTACTCTTTGGCTCTGACATACTGATCCAGGCTTGTTTGTTTACATACTATTTTCATATTGTGCTTCAGTTATATTCTCACAGTGGTTTTCATAAAGTAGAAAAAAAATTAAATGTATATTAAAAAATCCCTAAACCTATAAAGCACAAAAGCTGTATAAAATAGTTAATAGGATTAAAACTGTATCAAAAAAGCTTAAGGGAAAAATGCCCTTTCCTGAGGCATTTAAAATATTAAATATTAAAATAGCTGTTTTGATTTTTTTAATATACTACAGATTAAAAAAAGCAAATAAATATGCATAAAGCATACCTTCTCATATTGGTTATTATTGTTACATAAACTACGGCCTTTTTGGAATTTGTTTTTACTGATAGACCCAGGATGTTGTCAACTCATAATCTCTACAAAATGATTTTATGTGCAGCTCAGTTAAAATTTAGATGCTGCCTTTGTTTTAATAAGTAATAATTCACAACATTAACTTTTTAACAATAGTTAATGGTTTATTGTTCCAAATATGCCTGATTGCATGAACTGAAAATGATTCTTTTCCAAACATAATTCTCAGAGTTCACTTAGCAATAAAAGGAATAGGGATATAGGAATTCCAGCAAGAGAACTAATTTTTCAATGTGGAACCAATTTCTTTCTGTGTATATCAGGACAAAGACTTGTTGAATCTCTTTCTCGTAGCCTTATTGTGAACTGAAGGCATGGTGGCTCCCTTTCTTGATAACAGAGAAGTCTACAGCTAGCTGTTTACATAACAGTCAATTGAATCTTTATCAGTCTGAGAACCAATTTTTACACAATCTGTGGTTAATCACCACAGAAATGAATTTCCCCAATACCTAATTATAACTATAATAGAAGAGAGAGGACTGATAAAATATAAAAGGTATTTCATAACATGGTATCTGAATATGGCTAGTGCTAAGCTACTTTCAGAATATTTCATGCAGCTTTCTGAAACTCTTTATACCATTTATATTGAAGTAATGGGTATAACAGCATAACTGAGCTTTTTGAATCGAATTTCCTCTTTTGGAAACCTTCTGAGACTTCGCATCCTAGCCCAGCTTTCAGCCTTCAGTTACTTGGTAGTTCACGCTGCCACCATTTCTACTCTATTGTGTGCCTATCCTGGCAACTTCTCTCTAAACCTACTGGGTGTGACAATTAGAGCTCTGTGTTTCTATGCTGCCTGTTATGGTGACTAAAAGGTAAACATGAGGGGGGGAAAAACAAGATTAGAAGAGACACAGCTTCTAGATTATATAAGAACTTTGGTGGTGCAATGGTTAGAATGCAGTATTGCAGGCTGACTGCCTACAACCTGGAGTTCGATCCTGACTGGCTCAAGGTTGACTCAGCCTTCCATCCTTCCGAGGTCAGTAAAATGAAGACCCAGATTGTTGGAGGCAATATAGTAACATTGTAAACTGCTCAGAGAGTGCTGTAAAGCACTATAGAGCAGTATATAAGTCTATTGCTATTGCTATATTTCAGGCCACAAGATATTAATGAAGAAAACAATAAATCATCTTGGTCACAGCCTGAGGGAGGAATAGAAAGGAACACTGAGTTGACCTAAAATATCTTATTTCTATAAGAAATAATCAGAAGAGACAATAAGGGCTAAGAAGCAACAGATAAAGAGGTACATCCTAACACAATTTTCTGCCTAGATTTCTGCTTATTTCCCTGTACTTTAATCAAAATCTCAGAAAAACTGTGTTAGTTATGTCTTTTTCCTAGCCCTGATATTCAACTCCTCACTTTGTTCTCTCTCTGATTCTGCCTCAAGATTTAAAATAATCAGTGAGATTCCTAGGTGAGGTTCTGTGGTGGACCTTTTGTCTCTGAAGTAGCAGATCAGTGAAGTGAACACTGGCCAACACTGATTTCTGATCAGTGAAAGTCTTTCCCAATGAAGGAGAGAAGGAGAGATCGCCCATCTGAGTTCCAAGCAGCTGCTCCTCAGGAAGATATTGAAGAATGGAGGTCTTGTGGTTTCTCATGAGTAGAGCAGCTACTGGGGTCCATGGGAGAAACACCACACTCACACTTGCAGTGCACAAGAGGGAGAAGAGGGAGGAGTTGAAAGCTGACTCCTTGTGCACTGGCCATGTGCACTAGCTATGCTTCACTTGTGGATGTGGATTGAGAATGTCTGTAATCTGTTTAAGAAGATGGAAATTCTGTGCCTGAGCTAGCAGCTTGTGCAAACTGCAGACAGAACATGTAGCCTATTTAAAAGAGATATAATAGGACAACTAGCTTGATGTCATTTAGGAGTACTTGTGAAGTAGACAATCATGCTTAACCTTGACATGCACACATTATTCAGTGAATATGCCAATAAAGGAACATATATCCATGTGTGGTAGACACTGTCCTGCATTACTGAATCCACTTTGCCTCAGGGTTTCTATGGATCACTGGCGTCTTTAAAAGGTCTCTGAAAATGCATCACACCTTGCTTACTGTCCCTTAAACATCCTTGAAGTTGTACTGCAGTGCATCTAGACCATCTGTCCTCCCCTCCACACATGCACCCCATAGTGGCAAGTCCTTTAAAAATTTAGAGAGCTCTGAGAGTACTGTATTGAATTAGTTGTAGTAGAAGACACTCAGCAACTTAGCCTCTTCCTCTCTAACTGTTAAGCGTGCTGCTTATTCTCTCTCTGTCTATACCCAGTCTTTTAAATTCTAGTTTCATTTCTCCTCCTCTTTCCCAATTAATTTTTTTTTAAGATCTCCAGTTCCAATTTTTAAACGTTTTCTTCCATGTGTTCTTTTAAGTTCTATTTTTAAGTTCTGGAACTCAAACAGGACTGTGGTTCCCACTGACTATGTGATAGTCTCAGTCTGACATGTTGTCCTTCAAGATATCTCCTGCTGGCTGAAGAAAAGGACTTTGTCTCAACACTGATCTGGTTATGTCACTGAACCCAGAAGCTAGAAATAAAAGCAACTTCTGAATATTATCTTTGTTAAAAAAGAATTTTTAAAAAAGAGGAAAAAATGTGGGGGGTTTTTGGTTGTGATAGATAGAACAATGGCCCAAAGTTGTATTCAGGATTATGATAAATGATACATTCATCAGTTGAAAAGCAGCTATGATAGTCCTCGACTTAGGGCCACAACTGAGCCCAACATTTCAATTGTTAAATGAGTTTTGACCCATTTTGTGACCTTTCCCCCACACAATTGTTAAGCGAATTATTGCAGTTGTTAAGTGAATTATACAGTCATTAAGCAAATCTGACTTCTTCCATTGGCTGGGAAGATTCCAAATGGTGATCACATGATCCCAGTATAGTGCAACTGTCATAAACACATATCAGTTATCAAGTGCCCAAATTTTGATTATGTGACCATGGGGATGCTGCAAATACTGCAAAGGTCAGAAGTGTGAAAACTGGTCATAAGTCATTTTTTTCACAATAACCAAATAACAGAGTTGGAAGCAGGAAACCCTATACCATTTCAGAAAAATGGTTGTCCAATCTCTTCTTTAAAACCTCCAGTGTCGGAGCACTCAAAACTTCTGAGACCAATTCATTCCACTCATTAATTGTTCTAACTGTTAGGAAATTTCTCCTTAATTCTAGGTTGGTTCTCTCCCTGATTAGTTTCCATCCCTGCCTTCAGGCGCCTTGGAAATTAGCTTGACTCCCTCTTCTTTGTGGCAGCCCCTGAGATATTGGAAGACTGCTATCATGTCACCCCTAGTCCTTCTTTTCATTAAACTAGACATGCCCAATTCCAGCAACCATTCCTTATATGTTTTAGCCTCCAGTCCCCCTAATCAGCTTTGTTGCTCTTCTCTGTACTCTTCTCTTTGTTGCTTTTCAGCGCCATTGTACAGTCACTAAATAAATGGCCGTATGTCAAAGACTACGTGTACTGAATTTTCTTAAATGAAAACAATAGTTAAACAAAAGTTTATATCCATTGGTAATTGTTTATCAGTGGCATGGGTAATGTTGGTGAAATACCTCCCTTCAGCTCTCATAACTCAGATTTTGTGAACAGATTTGGGAAGCAAGAGATGGAAAACAGAAGTCCCATTGCAGTGGCAAGGGTCTATTTATCTGAAGTCAATTATATAAATCAATGTGACAGGTAGTTTCTTATTAAACTATTTGATATGCATTCCATTTTTAATACTCATATTTTTGTTTTATCTTCTTTAGAAATAGACTGTGGAAAACCACCGAGGCTGCCAAATGCAGACATTATCTGGGATAATAGCACAACTTTAGGGAGCACCATATACTATAAATGCAAAGATGGATTTCAGTCTTTTGGAGAACATAATTTTTCAGAATGTAAAATATCTCACAAATGGGAAAACATTACTTTTGAATGCAAAGGTAAATATATTATCTGTTACTTTTGTTTAAATATTCTTTATGGGTGAATAAAATCAAATGTCAGCCCCAAGTCTAGGGTCATACTTGATTCCTCTTCTGCAGCCTCTGGAGCAGCTTCTTACCATACGGTCCAAAATTGGTGACACAATCTTAAGAGAGTAATGCTGAAAACTGCATATACCCTAACAAAGGTTAATATTTTGAATGTATAAAAACACTCCCCTCCTCAATAGGAAAAAACAGAAAATTCATTTCCCACGACATAGTGACGTGACCTTGCCCACATCCTGTCCATTGTCATGGTACCAGGAGGCTGCTTTTACATCATAAATAAAATTTTCTTTCTGGGGGAAAAATTCTCATGATTATTGTCAAGTTGTTCATGTCTGATAACTTGACCAGAAACTAGTTTAGAATCAGAATGGTTGCATGAAAAGTACATTTTCGGCAGATGACTCTCATCCCATCCATTCCAATGGCTGATTCATAGTTTCCATTTTATCTTTGGTTGTAGGCAGATGTTCCTTATCCAGACAACCATATTTTCCTGCCAACATTACATTAATTGTTTAACTGTTAAGCATTAACTGCTGCAATCATCTACCCACTGAATGTAAGTGTTTGCAACATGGAAGCCTTCACGTATACAAGTGTTCATACACTGTTTTCTCTGTCACTTCACATGAAACCCAATGTAGCTTCATGCTGCAAACATTTATGCCGAATGTACGTATCTCTGTGGCCAGTGCCACTGAAATGCTACTGGTTGCAGGGGAGTTTTATTTGATGTTTTTGAAGACTCCAGATAACAAATGTCTAAATGAGGCTAATATTAGGGTCACCAGATCAAGGCTGTAAAATTACAGACAATGGTGCGCCTTTCATAGATATTATTCATTTTACTTATTGTCTTATTTCCACTTTATCCTTAAAAACCAATCCCCAAAGTAGGAAGCTTATTCTTGTCCAAAGCTGATTATAGTCCATTGACTGGGAATTAGAAGGGAGTTTTATAGTAGCGGTTTCTCCACCTTACCCTGCTTGCCACAGTTAGTGGGAATTCGAGACAAATTATAGAACATAGTCCAAATATTGGACTGTTAAAAAGAATCCATTTTAAAAAAAGGAATAAACCCTCATGATGTAGTACAGTATTGCCAAGTGTATTTCTTAATAAAAATTCCTCCTCATCCCACTTAGAAATCACCTGTGGCCAACCTCCTGTATTGTCTTTCTCAAACATGATATGGGATGGGTCTACTCATCCAGGAAGCACCGTAAAATACAACTGCGTGAAAGGTTTCTATTCCACAGGGACAAAAAGTCATTCTGTTTGCACCAGAAATGGATCTTGGGAAATGTTGGATTTAAGCTGTAAAAGTAAGTGCCTAATGAAATCCTTAGTATGATTGTTTTAGAAGTTGTGTACATGATTTATTTTATTTCCTTGTTACATTCACAATGTTACAGTGGGAATATCACTCTGAAAACAGAAGGAGAACAATATTACAGGTATTTCCTGATCTATGAACAGAAGCAATTTGTTTGAATTCCCAAATATCTGAGCTACAATTTCAATTTTTTCTAAGAGATCTTCCAGTTCCCCAGAATTCATTTAGAGTCACTGTGTGTGTGTGTGTGTGTGTGTGTGTGTGGCAGCTGGCAGCCCTTGACTGATCTTTTTAGATTCAGAAGCTAAGCTAGGTTAGACCTGGTTAGTGTTTTGATGGAAAATCACCAGAGAATTCTAGGATTTTGGAGCCCAGATTGTGAAATAGAAAAGACATCCTGAAAAGGAAATGCATGGATGAGTCCATATTAATTGTCAAAAATTGAGCTTGACTTAAGGCTAAATCTGTCTTTTCTTTTGAACATCCTCAATCAGCCAGTTTAGGAAAGGCAGGTCTACACAGTCTCAAATTAAGATGCATAAGGACATAGTCATTTATATGTGTAATTCTAACAAAAAGGTTCTGGACAAAAATAGTAGACCTAGAGCTGAATATTTAGAACAATCCTCCCCATAGCCTGATACTATATAATATTTTAAATTATAAGACCAGCTATCAGATTAGGTCATAATTAGTTTTTAAAAAAATCTATTTAGTAGTTAATTATAGCACTGACTCTCAAATTTTAAATAACAATATCCTAAGGACAGGGTTAATATTAATTTACTAGATTACTTTACACTGTGATATACTGTAGGGGGACCACTAAGTTAAACTACAGTGAAATGAAGTGTATTATCAATGACACATTTGCCATCCCAAGTTTTTCCCCCAATAATTTTATTAAAAATTACATTTAAGAAATAAAGGAAATACAAAAAGCTAATGCAGAAATACATACACACATGCATACAGAGAGAGCAAAAATTGGAAGAAAAATTTCCCCCCTTCATCTCTAGCAACATTAATATCTTATCACTCTCTCTTAAAATACAAAATACTTCTACATTCCATACCTGACCTGATTTTGTATAAACCCATCTCTAAATTTTTAATTACCCTTATTAATCAGGAAAAGTCCACTAAGACTTAACAGAAATGATAACTTAAATATTTATATTTCTCCACTTAAGCAAATTTGCCCCAACTATCTCTTCCAATACTCAAAATACAACCCCAATTAACAATTAAATATTGTAATAGATAGTTTTACAAACGAACCCATTCCACTCTATTAAACATTACCAAAACTAAGAATCATCATCCAATCCCTATGAAAAAAAACCCATTAAAGATCACCAGGGATAACAAGCCATTATTTTAATGCCAATCAGGTAAAACCAATTTTGCATTTTTATTTCTTTCCACCAGTGATCTTTAAGTCTCACCAACACAATTCCAACAACTACTTTCTTGTAGTATCTTTGCCTCTTTCAGAATTCTTGTCATCTTTATTAAAATCCTTTTGCAGTCCCATTGAAACTGCTCCCACAAAGTCCAATCTAAAAAATAATGCACATCCTTCTTTTGGTTTATTATTTGTGTATCTTTTAACATTTTAAATTCATAATTCAATTTCATTTGTAAATCCAGTATTTCCATCTCTTTCTTATAAGGTGTAGTTTTTAAATCCACCTTAAAGTCCATTTCAATTTCATTCAATAGGGTTTCTTCCTCTTCAATAGTACTTTTTATTTCCATTGTAAACTTCAAGAACTTCTTGGACCCAAACATAACATTTCCATTAAAATTTCACTTAAAACCATCTAAACTTTTTGATTTTCTCACCCAGTCACTCTTCCTCTTAATCTCTTTATAAGACTGGTTTGAAAAGAAGGATTGTTTAGTTTTTAAATGGTACAGTTTTGTGCTTTTGCATTTTAATAGAACAATACTGGCATCCAGTGGCCTTCTTTATTAACAGCACGCATATGATATTACAGATTGAAACTAAACAGGGCACAGACATAATGTGAAGTTAAGAGAATATGATTCTTCTGGAGCTCCAATATCTTGCAAGAGCTTCATTTTCAATAATTCACAGAGGAAACCTTTTGGTTCACATTCATTGTGGTGGGGAAAAGTGAAGCTTATTATTTTGCCATATATCTGTGCCTATTGGAACTTCTTTTTTGATCTGGAAGAAATAGTGATGTTTGATATCATGCTTTAGATTAGTGATTTGAAAGATAAGAATTAATTACTTATTTATAAACTGAAGCAGAATGTGCTTTTAAGTTATGTATTTAATGCATGTTGCATTTAAATACTACTGATTGGCATTATAACTTCATCTTTACTGATTTTTTTTGTTTAATCAATTTAATTACTGTTTGATTTGCAGTAAAGTATACTTGAACTTTATATTCCTAAATATGGAAATAGTTTGAAGTGATTTCCAAACTCTTGCAGTATCTAAGACATATTTCTTCTGTGTGCATGTGAGTGGTGAAGGGAGAAGGAAAATTCTATACAGGTAATCCCCGAGTTACGAGCATTCACTTAGCGCTTGTTCAAAGTTACGCAATAAGCACCCCCTAGTGTTTACGAGCAACTCCCAAAATTATGAATGTTGCAGCACCACAGCAGTTTTTCGCCCTTACGAATGGCTGCAGAGGCTCTGCAACATTCACCCTAGTCCCCCCATACTCTCCACAACTACTTCCCCCTCCCATTCTGCCGTGCCGTATTCACTTACCTTGCAAAAGTCCTCTTGGCTGCTGTTTCTCCTCTCTGCCTCTTTGAGGGAGAGGAGAGTCCATGGAAACTCCTGGGTGCCATAATAATTGCGTGAGTTCAGGCACCCATCTTCTTTTGAAGAGAACCGGTGCCTGAACTCTCACAAGATCACAGAGCCCAGAAACCTTGATTTTCAGGGCAAAAAGTGTTTGGGATGCCTGTCTCCTGCTCCCCCCAAACTTCTTTCCGCCATCGCCAGAACACGTTATAACTTACGCTGTGCTGCAGTCATGTGATTTGTGATGTTTTTTGACCAGCTTCTGGCATTTTTTGCCAATTTCAGCAAAAAGCATTCGTTCAAATTAATGGGTTCACTTAATCATCACAGCATTTGCTTAATAATCACCAAGAAAAAGGCCAGAAAATTATTTTCAGTCATGATGGAAGAAATGGTGAATTGAAGACTGCTTGATGAAAAACTAACTGAAAACTGCAGTGGAATAAAAAGCCAGCATGTAGATCGGCTCTTTGTAATTCCTCCCCAGACAAAGAAAGAACTTGAGATCACTCACAAGTGCTCCAAACAGCTTCTTCTTCTGGGGAGACTGTAAGACAACCATCTCCAGAACTCTTGGAGACAAGGGAATAGCTATCTTGCTATCCTGCAGTCTGCACCTTTGAACAGACACTGGGTTCACCTACTTTTTGTTCTAATCACTTTCAATGATTGTTTGTTAACTGCTTTTCATCTGTTAGGAAACTTTAGATTGACAAGTTTAACTGTGCTGGGATTGTTAAGTTTCCTTCAGTCCTTAGCAAAATAAGCTTTAAATACAGATTTAAGGACTATTTTTTTTTCTGGAATAAATAGCAAAAGGATGATTGAAACGTTAATTTTAGAAAGTTACAAACAAGATTTTGGAATTAATTATAAAAAAAACACGTTCCATAGGAAAATGGTTTGTTTTGAATTCTTTAAAAAACATACTAAGATAAGGCTATAAAAACTCACACAATAGAGGGAACTAAAAGGAACTAAAGATTACAATTAAAGAAGAAGACTACTCAAACTTACAAATGCTGAATGAAGCAAAATATTTTAACATTGGACATAACTAAAGGAAATTTTTGAACAATGGAGCCAGAAATTAATTTTAAGAGTTTTCGCCTCTGTAGAAAGTTGTGATTAAAAGATGCTAGAGAAGAGGAACAAGTGTTACCTGAGATGATTGAGACTGATTTGAAAGTGGATTTAAAAATGTCAGACTACAAGGATGATATGGAAAAATGTTACACTGAACGTACAAAAGAAATCAGCTTATGTTTTAATCATTAAAAGGCATATACAGATAATAACTAAGAGAGTCACCTGGCTAATTTTCTTATATTGGATTAAAAAAAGAAGCTTGTTAAAGCTTTGAAGAATTTTGTGAAAACGGACAAAGAAAAAATTAAAAGATATTACATTATTTAAAGGGACAAAAGATCAAGATTCATATTTATGACAGTTGCAGTCTCCTGGGATCATGTGATCACCTTTTGCAACTCTGACAAGCAAAATCCATAGGGAAGCTAGATTCACCTAACTATGTTACTAGCTTAACAACTGTAGTGATTCACATAACAATTGGGGCAAGAAAGGTCATAAAATGTGGCAAAATTCACCGAGCAACAGAAATTTTAGGTTCAATTGTGGTTGTAAGTTGAGAACTATCTAACTTTTCAGCTTTTAATAGGCATTTGGTTGACCATCATGGAAGAGTTTAATTAATAATACTAATAACACTAATAATAACAATAATAACAATAACAATAATAATAGAATACTGAACGAATGGCGTGGTGGCCTAGTTGTGAAGACACTTGCTTCCCACTTGGAAGGTTGATTGTTTAAACCTAGGTAGCAGCAGATGTTTCTCTCTTAGGGTGCAAAGAAAAAAATATCCAATCAATAAATGCTCAGCTCCATCCAATCGCCCTGACTCTACCCTGAATTAAAGGACTACAGGGTCATAAAAAGAAGAAAAAAATAACAATACTGGACAAGATAAGGCAGTGGTGGCGAACCACTGGCACGGGTGCCAGAAGCGGCACTCGGAGCCCTCTCTGTGGGCACACGTGCTGTTGCCTTAGCCTTGCCTCCCCCCGTGACCCTCTCCTCTCCAGCAGCCCCCCTGAAGGAGAGTTGCCCTCAAGGATGGCCCACACGGAGCAGCATAGCCAAGGACATGGCAGCCAGGCAGCGTAGACAGGATTCTGCCCTCACACCCCATCGTGCAGTTGATGCTGCAGGGCGCGGGCAGAGAGTGTGGTCGCCATAGTGCTGCTGGGCTGCCTGGGCGATCTGCAGCAGGCCCTAGAGGCGATGAGTGGTCCTGTGGGCAGGTGGGGCAGGGGATGGAGGGCAGAGCAGGGGCGGAACAGGGAAGTGGAGTGGGGCCGGGGCCAGTTTTTGGCCACTCGGTTTCTAAAAGGTTCGCCATCACTGAGATAAGGCTTTGATTGCTCTTCTTACATTCTTGCCATTTTAATTTACAATTGGTTAGCAGTACATGATCAAAATAAGACATTGGTTTGATAAATGACTTTTTCATAAAAGTTTTCTAAGTAATGTATATGCTTTTTTTTGGTCTTGTAGAAGTGCAAGACTTTGTTAATGTTACATGGAAAGATCCTTGTGTGTCATGGAAGAGACATTACGGAAGTGCTGGAGTAAATGAAACCTATCAAGTTCGTGAGACATTTGATATTTTCTGTCTTGAAAAGATAAAATTGTCTTTGTTACTTATTAACACTTTATACACTCATACCCACAGACTTTCTACATACAATATAAACATTTATTAAAATACTGGTTATAAAGGCAAGTCATTTTTGAAATGGAACTATTTGGATGGCTATAGTTTTCTCTAGCTGGGCAATGGATAGCATCGTTCTGCATTCATTGTAAATATTCTGGAGACAATTATACTTCTACTTCTAAACTGGGAGGCTTTCTAAACTGGGAGGCTTTGGTAAAACAAAAACCATTTTTAATGCAGATTTACTATCTTGGTCTAGTTTCTTGCTGTCTTCAGAGTTATAAAAATATATCTACATTATAAAAACCTTTAATTTTTTGCCAATTTAATTGCCATGCCCTCCCAGAGGATTACCATGTGGACAGAGACAGCCAACTTGCAGCGGCCAACTCACCACAGCCAACTCGCTACGGGCAGCTTGCTACAAGACAACTCGCTGCGGGATAAGAGTTACACTAATATCAAAGACATCAGGTCTTCTTGCTATGTGACCAGCCCATTTCCATTTCAATTCTTTTACTTTCCCGATGATATCATATACTTCTGTTTGTTCTCTAATCCATATGCAGGTCTTTCGATCTTTTTTAATGCACGCATGTATCTTTCCATGACTCTTTGCGCAACTCGTAGCTTTTGTATTGATTGTGAGGTTAGTATCCATGTTTCACCGGCATATGTTAGAACATGTAGTAAACACTGATTGAAATTTTTTCTCTTTGGGCTTAGGGGGAGGTTGTTCTTGAAAATTATGCTTAGCTTGTTGAATGCCTGCCAGCCACATTTAAACGTCATTCAATTTCCTTTATTGTATCACTTTCCATTGAGATTCATTGGTCAAGTTATATGTAGTGGTCTACTATGTCTAATTCTTCTCCAGATATAATTTTTTTTCTTTCTTTGGTGAATTTATTAAACATAACCTGGCTGTTTTTCAGGTTTATTTTTAAGCCAAATGATTCTCCTGCTTTGTACAGTTCTTGTATGTGTCTTTGTAGCTCTTCTGGGTCCTGTGAGAAGAGAACAACATCACACAAATCTGAAGTGATTTAAATAGGCACCATTAATTTTTAATCCATCTTTTGCCCAGTCTAATTTGCGAAATACTTCTTCAAGGCAGGCTGAGAAAAGGATAGGTGATATTGTATCACTTTGTCATACACTTTGTTCCACGTTGATTTCCACTTTAGGATCATTAAGGCAAATTGTTGCCAGTATTTTTTCATATATTGATTGTAGTAATTTTTTTATAAGCAGTGTCCACGCCTTGGTTGAGCAATGCATTAATTATTGCTTGCTGGAATACTGAATCAAACAACTTTTTGTAGTCGATGAAAGCCATGCACAGAGACATGGTGTACGTGCCTTTCAATGACTTGCTAAACAATCTGGATGTGATCCATTGTGCTGTAGCCACTTCTAAACCCTGTCTGCTCCTTTGGTTGTGCATCATTTAATCTTCTCAATATTCTTTTTGCTATTAAATTGATGAAAACCTTAGAGATGACTGAAAGAAGGCTTATTGGGCTATAGTTCTTTAAATCATCTTAGGCCCATTTCTTGTGTATAAGAATCACTTCAGTATTTTTCCATGCATCGAGTATTTTTTCTTCTCTGAGGCATCTCAAGTACAATTTTGCTAGTATCATATAAATTGTGATCACCAGTTTTCAGCATTTCAACCGTAACACAGTCATTTCCTGAAGCTTTGCCATTTTTCATTGATTTTATGGCACTTGATACTTCCTTCACCAGGATAGGTGGCATTTCCTCTTTCATGGGTATTGTTAGTTTTGAGTGATCTTGATCTTTGTATAGCTGTGCATAGAATTTTTCAGTTATTTTTAACATTTCCTGTCTTGTTCTGCACACAAAGCCATCTTCACGTTTTAATGCAAAAAGCCTTCTTTCATATATTTATAGTCTTGCATTTTGCTCTGTTGATCTCTTTGTTTTCTTCAATTGCCTTTTTCACAAGCTTTCACACGTTGCTTCTTGGATACGTTTTCTTATGGTCTTGCAAAATGAAATTTCCAGTATTCTACATTGTCTGTCATTTTTTTCAGTAAATCAATAGTTTAAATCAATATTTTTAAAAAAAATTATTTTAAATAATTAAATTGAATTGTTAACTTGTCCCATGGTGAGTTGTCCCGTGGCAAGTTGTCCCGCAGCGAGTTGACTGTGATGAGTTGGCCACAGCGAGTTGGCTGCGGGCGAGTTGTCCCATTCCGTGGTGAGAGGGTTCAATGTCATAAGGGTAGCTCTGGGAGTGATGCCAGCAGGAGTCTGAGCTTCTGATACAGTTACCCTTGCTTGTAGGAGCAAAAAAAGGAAGGCATGAAGCAAACCCCATGGTGGGATTCAGCTGGTTCGCACCACTTTAGCAGAACCGGTAGCTAATTTTTTGTTGCCCAGGCCTAGAACAGACTTCCGGAAGCAGTATCCACACAGAGAACCATTGTTCACATTTTGAATCCCTCCACTGAGCAAACCCATAGTGATCTTTTGGGCAGATGGTGTGAAAATAGTAACTATGCTTGACAAGGCTGAGAGAATTTGAGAAAGGGAAAGATAGCAAGTGGATGGGGTTAAGCAGATTACAGAAAGAGATGATGAGCCTTCATCCATGTATGTACCAAAAGTTGAGCCCAACTCAGTGTCACGCAGTTTAACCACTTGCCGTAACTTTTCTCTTCAAATAACTTTGGGAACCTGTATTGTGATGCTAGTTTTGCAGAACTACAATCTCTAGAATTTCTCTGGAGATTTGGAATTGAAAATTTAAAAATATTACATTATAGAGATAGACCGCAGACTCCTGCTTTTTAGAATTTATTTCTCTTTTTTTCTTGCTAACAGGTTACTGTGTTGATGCTAGGAAATGAATCAAAGGAAATGACAGATATGTTGATCAAACCTCCTGCCACTGAGCTGGCTGTAAATGTGTGTTTGCAATTACAGCAACACACAAATTACACTGTGGAAATTATTGCAGACTCCATTAATTTGCTTTTACGGTTGAGAATAGCACATCCAGTAATTCATCCAGTGGCTGGTAGGTTCTGTACTCCTAGAAAATATTAACATTAGTAATAAATAGAAAATTTGCCTTAAATTATTATTGTGGTACACAAACTACTCTTCCAGATCTAGTGATAATAAGAAAGAAAAGGAAGTTCAATTTTTTTCCCCAGTATATTGCACTGATGTTGATACTTCTCTCAGGGGGAAAAAATGTTTGTATTGTATAGAAATGTGATTCTGAAATGTACATATAATGACACAAAGTGGTTTAGAAGCAAATAAGTAAAGGGAGCAGCCTGGGAGGGAGCAGAACCCAGGCTCTTAAAATTGTATGTAAAAAATGATCCCATATTTGATTTTTTATATACCTGTGCAATTTGGGACAGTTTTAAATAATTAATTGCCTTGGAAAATTGAAATCTGTGTCTCTTAGAGAGCTTTAGATTCTACTTCTAAGGCTATAATTTCTAGAGTTCTTTGGGAAATGGTAGCAACTATTCCATCCATTCATTTGGAGTATGAATATTTCCTAAGATAATTTTGAAGAAAAAAAAGCATTCTTTGTGACTTAAAATTACAATGAACATGACAAGAACAGGGTTTATTAATATAGTATTTCCAAATAACCCAGATATCGTTGTGCAATTCTATCACTTTTGGAGGATAGCAAATAAGATTTAGCAAGCAACATTGTTTCTGTTTAAAGAACATGAACACTTTTTACTAACAAAATTAAAAGGTAAATGTAATGTTTTCATTTAATCGTTATGCTTTACTCCTGTGATTTGCCATTGACTTTGATGTTTTTTTCAACTTTCCAATGCACTCTATAGTCCTGGTACATCTTAGTAATCTCCTATCCTGGTATTAATCATGTCCAGTGCTTTTCAAGATCAACCAAGATTAATTAGCTAGGTGGTACTTAATTTGGCTGAAATATACTGTAGAATTTACAGTGCAAAATTGGATAGTGAATTGTGGAGTTCTTGGTGTTCTCTGAAACTGGTTGTTTGTTTGCAGATATTTTATTATCCAGCTAGGTAACATCTTCAGTAAGTATGGGCTTTGCTCTCTATTTAGATATTTATGCAAAAAGAATAGATGTTCCTTGATGCAAATTTGCTTACATGCAAATTTCTCTCATTTGCATGCTTTCTGAAGCATTTGATGCCCATATGTGGTTCCAAGAAAAGAGAATATCTAATTCAATATTAAACTGTGCAATCCTTGATATTGTCTAAACCTGCAAGGTTGTTTGCTTGCAGAAAATGTGCAAATAGGAGAAATTATCTCTTCTCTTCTCTCCTTTCCTCTCCTCTCCTCTCCTCTTGAATGGTGAATTGTTACTCAGTGATTAATTTAATGCATTCACTTAATGCATTAAATCAATCCATTAATGTAAGAACAAAAATTTGTGGTCAACTTTCAATGAATGAATGGAACTAGAATTAAAATGTTACTTGGAATGCTGTGGATTGAAAAGAAATCTTGAGAAATTGCAAAGTTAAAGCACTATGCACAACAATAATGAAGTAATGACGCTTCAATGAAGTTAGAATTGGGACTTGAACAAGAAGAGGTTCATGTAAGAGATTTACTAAAAAAACAAGTACTACTTCTGATCAGGAACCAAATATTCAGAATATGATTCAGAGAGGGAAAAGAGCATTTCAAATACTGGATCAAAACATACATTCACAGGCTGAGAAAACCGTAGAGCAAAAGAGCAAATAGACTGGAGGATAAGTATACTGTATGTGGTATTTAGAGACAGGAAGGGCAGTTTCTTTTGATTAGAAGTAATCAGGCAAGATAAGCAGCCAATAGGGAATGTCTTGGCTAGAATTTTGGGAATTATATTTCAGTAACATCTTCTCTGCACTTCAGTGTTTTGATCTGAAAAGACATATGAGAATCAAGAAAAGTAGCTCTAACTTACCAGTTGTTTTGGCCTCAGGCCTATGCTTTTATATATTAATGCTATATCTTTATTAATAAATAATTCCAATAAAAATAATATTTGTATTTAGTTTCAGTGTCTTCTCCTTCCCTTTTTCTTTCCAGAAAAGACAGTATTCAACAACATTTCCATATTTAATGACACCTGTATTAAATGGCAGAGAGTCCCAAGAAGAACACAGACTGAGGAAACCTACCTAGTAAGTTAGGCACAGTTGTAACTGAATGGAAAATAATGGAAAAACTTTGAGAAATACTTTTTTTCACACATCTTTTGATGGTGACGTTGTTGTCTGAAATACACAGACTGGCCCATTATCTCTTCAGAGTCATAGGCTTTGTTGATTTTGGTAGCTGTTTAGCTGCCACTTCAGAAGTTGAAGTGGAAATACAGGTAGTCCTTGACATACAACTGTAATGGAACCTGCCCGTTATGGTTGTATGTTGTTACAGTCATAAATTGGGTTATCATGTGTGATCAACCCTGCTGCAAATACCAAGCAGAAGTAATGATGCTTCAATGAAGTTAGAATTGGGACTTGAATAAGAAGAGGAGATGGGGGAGATGGGGGCAACCATCAGTATCAAGTTAGAACTTCCTTTTTCTAGGTTCGTCAAAACTTCAAAGAGTTGCTAAGTGACCAGTCATAAGTTGAGAACTTGTAGGAGTAATGTAGATTTATGTAAGGAAAGATGTTTCATTTTGACTGAAGTCCTTTTGTCTGATAGCATAGAATTACAAGTATTCTTATACCTATTATGAAAAACTATTATGTTATGCCTTTTTCCTTCGTAGATTGTGATAAACTGTATCAAGATTTGCATAGGCCTGTAAGGTATAAAGCAAGGACCCTTCAGATGTTGCAGAACTACAGATCCCAATAGCCAGCCTTTAAAGAACAAGACAATCTATCTCTTGACACAGAAACATGTGAAGGGGGGAATGGAGTGGCCTTGTGTGCTTCCTGGGTCTGGTGAATGATTTGCACATGCAGCCTTTAACTTGCTCATGCATGCATATCATGGATTGTGAAATTGATTTTTTTACTTTTTCCTCTCTACCTGGTGGATTGTTCTTGCCATAAGTCTGAACAAATCACTTTCAAGAATTTTGAAATAAGGCCCAAGGCATGGATTATTTATCAAGAGCCATGGTGGTGCAGTAGTTAGAGTACAGTATTGCAGGCTAACTCTGCCCACTGCCAGGAGTTTGATCCTGACCGGCTCAAGGTTGACTTAGCCTTCCATTCTTCCAAGGTCGGTAAAATGAGGACCTAGATTGTTTGGGGCAATATGTTAACTCTATAAACCTGTTAGAGAGGGCTGTACAGCACTAAGAAGAGGTATATAAGTCGAAGTGCTATTGCTATTGCTATTTAGTTTGGCACTTTCTGGGTTTTTTCCCCTGTCTTCCTCAATCCATACCTTCCAGATGATTTGGAATGATCCATGTTGGCTGGGGATTGTAGTCCCAATTGATCAAGAAGCATCAGGTTACGAAAAACTGCTTATCCATCATTTTTTCTCTATTAAATTAGACATTTTTTCAGTACACTTATATTTAGACTGTCCATTAGTGTCATACCTGTTTGATTCACAGCATAATCCACGGTGTCAGATATGTTTAATTATGCATTTCTTGTTATAGATTCACCTAGTGGGTCTACGCTGGTATCAGGAGGAATTCAGTCATAAAATGATTCTTAACTTTACCACAAATTCATGGAATCCAGAATTGTGCCTCAATTTATCTTCAGGCAGCAATTACACTGTAAATATCTCCACTGCTGACCTAAATCATAATGTCCCCCTCCATTTGAGCATCCCATTAGCAGGTAATGCCTTGATTTACACTTTTTTTCTTGTTTTTCTTATCCCAAGGTGGTTCCTTCAGTATGAGAATCTATAGCAGTGTTTCTCAACCTTGACACTTTTAAGGCATGTGGACTTCAACTCCCAGAATTCCACAGCCAGCATTGCTGGCTGTGGAATTCTGAGAGTTGAAGTCCAGATGCCTTAAAATTGCCAAGGTTGAGAGACATTGATCTATAGCAACTGAATATACTTGACATTCTCCAGAGCCCTGCTTCCATGTTTGATTAAATAATTTTATATACAGTCAATTTTTCAATATTTCTGCAAAAATAAGACCTCAAACATGGCCTGTTCTCACCAGGAATCTTATTTGTACATAAGAAGCAAGGTAGAAGATCTTTAAAAGTTAATAAAAGTGGAGCGTTATTGCTGAACAGTCCTTCCTCCAGTGGCTCTTCATCCCTTATTAATGAGCATGCTTGCCATACAGAAAGCAGCCTGGGCATAGTTGTGAAGCAGGCCCGTTTCCAGCAAAAAAACATTGCAAATTATGGTCATGTGGGATGCTGCAAACAGTCGTAAATGCGGCCCGGTTGCCAAGCACCCCAAATTCAATCATTGGTTGTGGGAAGAGCAGCTTTTGGAACTTTGACACTGGGTCATAAGTAGCTCTGGGGAGGTCTGTTGTAGCATCAAACTATCTGTCCTGTTTCTTCTCTTTCCAAAATTCCCATCCCAAATTATATAAACTGAATTTGAAAATATCCAGAAGACCAAAGGTTGGGCAAACTACTAGTGATTCAGAAGGAGTTCAGATTGGTCCAGAAGGGAAACAGAGCATGCCAGAGTTCTGCACAATATTTTATTTTTGAATCAGTGAGTTTTTTTTATTGAAAATTTTTAAAAGTTTTTACAAATAAGGAGAAAAAAAAAAAAAAAAAAACAACCCTACCCAACCACCCCAACCCTCCCAGTCCATCCCCCCCACCTTCCCAGAGCTGAATATAGGCTTGATTAAAATTTCTAAAAATCTTAAAAAAAATTAAAAAAATATAAACCATTAATATATCTAAATACATTACCTAAGCTTATAAGATAATTAACAATAATATATATGTAAAAAAAAACAAAACATAGGTATTAAAAAAAAGAGAAAAAAAATTACTTAAAAAGAAAGAGAATAAAAGAGAAAAGAAAGAAGAAAAGATATATATATATAAAAAAGAAGTAAAATAAGATGAGATAAAAATAAAAAATATAAGGAAAGAGAAGAAAAAAAATACAATCTATAAAATATTAAAATTTATATATAGGTTATTGAAAAACTAAGTAATATTTTTTTATATCCAACTTATGTTGTATAAAATCTATCCATTTTTCCCATACCGCAAAAAACTTCTCTTGCGATTGATCCTTTAAAAAAGCCGAAATCTTTGCCATTTCCGCCAAATAAGAAACTTTAAAAAACCATTCTTGCAAGGTAGGCAAAGATTCCTTCTTCCAGTATTGCCCTACTAACAACCTTGCGGCTGTGATTAAATTTAACATCAGTATAACCTCCTTAACATCACAATCAGTAACAATACCCAACAAAAACAATTGTGGGGTAAATTTTACCCTCCTTCTAAAAATTCTTTGAATATTCCACCATATCTTAATCCAAAAAGCTTTTATATTTTTACACGACCACCAAATATGATAATAAGTAGCATCCAAACAACCACATCTCCAACATTTAGGCTGTAAGTCAGGATACATACGAGACATTTTTTGTGGATCAAGGTGCCATCTATAAAACATTTTGTAAAAATTCTCCCTTAAGTTCTGGGCTTGTGTAAATTTAACATTCCTCACCCAGATGGTTTCCCAAGTGTCTAGTAGAACTGGTTCACCAAAATTTTGTGCCCATTTAATCGAATCAGTCAGTTTTATTCATCCCTATCATATATCAGGTACCAAAAACAATTTAAAATTAAAATAATATTCCCCCAGGTCACTGGGAAACTCTTCGAGTGCCATCTGTAATCTTGCTGAATCCATCAGGTATATTGAGTCTTTCTAGAGTGCCCTGTGGATATAATTATTAACGCATAACAGAATTAATGGTGGTCAGTGGTTTATTTATAGGACAAGGACCAAATAATGATAAAATGCATACTGGCAGCATTTTATGTACTAAGAAAGGTATATAAAATATTACTGATTGCTCTCTCCCAATAACAACATGCTGTTAAATGTAATTTACGTCTGTTTGGGTTTTTTAAAGCTTTGAGACAATGGGAAAACTTCTGGTCGATGAGAAATATTCGTCATTTTTTTCCTTCATATAGAGTTTAAGGACTGAGGTTTGGGGCCCGTATGAGGAGATGGGCATTTTGGGAGAATAGACAGTAGTTGCCAAAAGTACTGGCAGGCTAGGCTTTTTCAGCCAACAGATAAAAAAATCTTTTGGTGTAGACCAGTGGTTCTCAACCTTTCTAATGCCACGACCCCATAATACAGTTCCCCATGTTGTGGTGACCCCCAACCACTTATACATCACCGGGTGCCAGGGGCGTGGCCAAAGAAAAGGGGGAAAAAATGGCGGACAGCCTTGTTTGGCGACCCCCGTGAAATGGTCGTTCGACCCCAAATGGGGTCCCGACCCACAGATTGAGAACCACTGGTGTAGACTAAGCTCATTTTTATAAATAAAGCTGAATTTTCTGTTAACAGTATTTTTGTTCTATTTTATTGTTGCCAGATCTGTTATGATTTAATTTTGCTGCTTGCAAGTTGCTTTGGATTCCTAATGAAGAAGAGTATGAAATTTTAAAAAGAATGAATGAATCAGTGCTGAATGAATAATTTTTTAAAAATGTTATAATAATAAGGACCGTGTATTTTTTTTTTAGATCCACCATTGCCACAAGTAGAATTCAGATCAGCACAAGGCTTTATACCATTATTGAGCTTTCTGAAAGCTGAAGGAAGAAATGGTCCAATCAGGTCTCTGACTTTTACGCTACATATTTCAGACACCCAACAACACTTACTTTCATGTAATTGTTTTGGTTTTTTTTTAATGTTACTGGCTCTGATTATTTTGTTTCCTCTCCTTTCAAATATCAGTATTATTCAAGGAAGTGTTAAGTCCTCAGCTTAACAACCATTCATTTAATGACCTTTTGAATTTACAATGGCACTGAGAAAAGTGACCTGGTTTTCACATTTACAACCATTGCAGCTTTCCTATGTTTACGTGACCAAAATTTGGGTTTCGGGCAACTGGCCTGTATTTTTGACCGTTGCCCTGTCCCAGGGTTCTGTGATCACCATTGGTAAGCTTCCGACAAGCAAAGTCAGTGGGGGAAATCAGATTCGCTAAACATCTGTGTTACTAACTTAACAAGCACAATGATTCACTTGACAACTGTGGCAAGAAAGGCCATAAAGTGGGAGAAAAGTCACTTCACAACAGCCTTGCTTAACAGTAGAAATTTTGGGCTCAATTGTGGTCATAAGCCAAGGACTACCTGCACCTCAGCGTAATTGCATGAAGTCTGGGCAGCATTCAAAAAGAAGGGCTGTTTTCTGTGAGACTGTTGTTGAAATGGGTAAGCTGGTATGATTGTCTCAGAATGCTTCTTAGCGGTGCTAGCTACCGGATTAAGGGCAAATTTGCTTCTTTGCAAAAGTGGATTTAGGGAATTTAATCTTGTTCATCGAAATAACCCAGTGAGGTTCATAATTGATTTGATCCTTCCATTTTTAATCTTTTATATTTATTCAATATATAAAATACAAAGAAAAATAGAAATAAGAAATTAGGGGAAGGAAAAAGAGAGGGGGAGAGAAAAAAGGTGAGATATAAAGGAAAAAAGAAAAAAAAATACATTGACTTCCAACTCTTTTTAGCACAATGTAAGATAAAAATACTCCAGCGTCAACTTTTTGCTTTTACATATTGGTACAGAGATCCCCAGCCTTTTGGACACAGGGACCGGTTATGTGGAGAGAGATTTTTCCATGGACTGGAGGGGACATAGTTTTGTGTGCTGCTTGATTGTGCGGCCCGGTTGCTGGCATGCCAGTGCCTGCTACCGGTCCATGGACTGGGGGTTGGGGACCCCTGCATTAGTATATAACTAGCCATTTCTATAACAACAAAGCTATCTGATCGACAAAACTAAAGTCAAAATTTCATTTTTTTTCATCACAATCCCAAAATCCAGAAGTGATATACAAGTGAAAAAAGTACTTAAATATATTCTCCTCTTTGAATAAAATGAACAGTGTACTCATTCCTGCTTTATCTTCCTTGCTATGGAAATAGTGTGTATTTCTATTTGCACCTAATAATCTTCGTGAACTATCACCATTTTTATTAACAAGGTTCACTGTATTCTTTCAGATTCGTTGACCTTACAGGGAAAAATACTCTTTTTTCTTTTTACCCTGCTAAACTTTTCTTTAAACACATTTCTAAAATCAAAACTTTCTAATGCAACTTTTTCTTTAGCTTCTTAATTGATTTGATGCTTAATCTCCTCAGTCTAGGTCCAAAATTGTAGCCACTGCATGTAAGCATCACTGAGGGACCCAAGTATTCCAGCCTTCAGTTAAGATTAGGCCTTCAGAACAGAGAGATGGCTCGTATTTCCATTTGGACAACATAGAAATGCATTATGAAAAATAGATATCCAGTAATATGTGAGCTTCTTCTGTAGCACAAGTGATAGTTCTACAGTTATTTGTTCTTTGCAAATCCTTAACTGGCTTTCATTAGTACAGACAGTCCTTGACTTACAACAGTTCATTTAGTAACCATTCAAAGTTATAACTGAAAAATGTGACTTACGACCATTTCTTTCACAGTTATGACCTTTGCAGCTTTCCCATAATCACGTGATCAAAATTCAGATGCTTGGCAACTGGTTCATACTTACGACCGTTGCTGTGTCCCAAGGTCATGTGATCACCTTTTGCGACCTTCGGATAAGCAAAGTTAAGGGGGAAGCCAGATTCACTTAACAACCGTGTTACTAACTTTTTTTTTTTTTATTGAAAATTTTTAAATTTTTACAAAAACAAATCCCCTTCCCATACCCCCCCCAACCCTACCTCACCCCCCTCCTCCCCAACCTCCCAAACCCTCCCCTAGACTTCCCAGAGCTGAATACAGGCTTAATTGAGAAAAAAACTTAAAACACTTTTAAAACCTAAACAAATTTAAATACAATCATCATTCTATATAAACTCCCTCCAAAAACGCAAATTTAAACATTACTTTCTTTGAATATCTATAGCTATAATGTAAAATCTAATTTCTCCCTCTTTCTTTATCCTAATACAAAAAGATAAACATATAAACCTTTGTTGTACCATTAAAACTAAATACTCTTAGAAAACTTAAAGTAAATACATATTTCCTTCAATCTTCATCATCTTCTCACCTATCCAAAAAAAAAAAAAAAAACTTAAAAATCCTAAACAAATCTAGACACATTTAGTTAAACAAATTATTTTCTCTTAAAAATATTAATAATAATATTTAAAAGCTTGAAACACTTTTAAATCCTAAACAAATCTAAATACAATCATCATTCTATATAAACTTTCTCCAAAAACACAGATTTAAGCATTACTTTCTTTCCTAAACAAATCTAGACATTTAATTAAGCAAATTATTTTCTCTTAGAAATATTAATAATAATATTTAAAAACCAAATTTAAGCATTACTTGAAACTTAAACAAATTATACTCCCTTCGAAACACAAATTTATTAGAATCCCCTCACTGAAATAAACAAATTATAATCCCTTCAAAACACAGGTTTAAACAATATTATCATTAAAGGTTTAAAACTTAAAACTGAAATATATTATTATCCCAAAACACATATTTAGACATTACATAAGACATTTTCCAAAAACGATATAAGTTTTACTTCTCCCACAATCTCAATAGTAAACTTCTTGTCTAAAGTTCTCATTCAATGTCCATAATTTTCTGTCCAATAACCAGTTGCACCCACTATAAACACAAACTTCTTATCTAAAATTTTCATTCAATATCCATAATCTTCTGTCTAATAGCCAGTTGCATCTACTATAAGCACAATCCATATTGGTCTCTCTTGCCCGCAAGCATCGAAAAAAATGCGTGGAATTCTGCCCTTGAAGATCGCTCCAAAGAGTTTGTAAGTCCTGGTTGACCCACCAGCTCAGGAATCAGTACCTGTGAAACTTCCTCAACCTCCTTCTTCTGTTGGTCTTTCTCTTTACATTTATATGTTACTTTTTCTTTACATTTATATGTTGCACAAGTCTCAGGGACCGATACCTGTAAAACTTCCTCAGTAAATTCCTCCTTGTGTTGATCTTCACAGTTGTAAGTTGTACAAGTTATCCTCTGCCCGTTCCTCTCTTGTTGGTGCCCCTCAAGCTGAAATTTCCCAATTTCGATTTCAGGCAGCAATTCCACCCTTGAAGATTGCTCCAAAGACTTTGTAGGTCTAACTTCTCCCAGAGCTACCCTTGAAGATTGCTCCAAAGACTTTGTAAGTCCAACATCTCCCAGAGATTCAGAGACCGCTGAATATGAAACTTCCTTAACCTTCTTCTGTTGCTGCTTTTCTTTGGAGTTATGTGCTACACAAGTTGTCTTCTGCTCCTCAATCTGGACTTGTTGAGACCTAATAGATGGCGATGCACATACCCCCAGGACCGAAGTATAAAAATCTTTTGCTTGAGAAACAGTATTAAGTCTATGACATGTCCCCAGGTAGTTCACCACCATTCCAGTCGGAATATCCCATCTGAATAGAATTTTTCTCTTTTTAAGTTCATTTACTAGAAAAGCAAACTCCTTTCTTCTTCTTAAAATTTTAGATGGGATCTCCTTAAAAATTATGACATCTTGTGAAGCAATTTGAAATCTCTTCTTATAATAGGCTTGCACAATTTGATTGCGTAAGGATCTTTTACCAAAGTAAATTACCACATCTCTTGGCAGATTCTTCTGTGCTGCCACCACAGAGTTAACCCTAAATAATTTTTCAATTTCACTAAGTATTCCCTCTTTTTCTTTATTCAAAATCAATGCAAAGTCCTTTGCAACCATTTCTTTCAAATCTTCTTGCAAAGACTCTTCCAGGCCTCTGATTCTTAAGGCATATTCCATTTGTCCATATTGAAGCATAAGAATCTCATTTTCCATTTCTTTTTCCATACTTTCAATTTTCCCCTCCATTATGTCCACTTTTTCAGCTACCTCTTCCACATGGGAGTTCACCTTTTCAAGAACAGAAGCAACTCCTTCTAAAGCCAAAACAAAATCTTGTCTCAAAATCTTATTATTTTCCTCTAAAATCTTTTTCATTTCTGCCCTAATTTGAATTATAACATCTCCCATCATGTTTTGCAAATCCTTCATAGTTATTAGCTGACCCCCAGAAGAGGGTGAAACTGTTGATTTAGAAGCTGTAGAAATCCCTGGACGCTTTGGAGCCATCTTAAAGAAAAACCTTTAGCCCTTCTTAAAAAATTATAAAAATTCCTTCAAAAATCATAACTCCCTCCAAAGAAGGTCATTATAATAAAAAGAAAAAAGGGAAAAGAAAAAAAAAAGGAAGAGAAAAAGAATTAAAAAAAGCTTTACTCCTTCTTAAAAATTGCAAAAAATTAAACAGAAAAAAGTCCTTCAAAAAAGAGTCATTACAATATAAAGAAGGGAGAAGAATAATAATAATAATAATAATAATTAAATAGAAAAAGTCCATTCCAAAAAAAAAATACTTAGAGATACCAAAAACAACCATTCCAATCATAAGAAAATAAAAAGGGAAAGGGAAAGGAAAGAAAAAGAAACACCAAAAAGCCTGCCGGTCAGCATTCTAACTTCAAAAAAAAAAAAAAACACCGAGAGATTTGCCGATCGCCATTTTACTTTCCCTTTCAACAGAGAAAAAAAAAAATAAAATAAAATAAAAAGAGAGAATAAAAATAGAAGCAAGTCTTAAAACTTAAAATCCAAATAAATCAAAGAAAGCAAAAACTAAATCCTCTACTCAGCTCTGTCCGTTTATAAAAAAAAAAACTCACCAGTTCTCTTTAAGCACGGAGGTGTTTGCAGCGGCTCGTTTTGTCCCTGAGGACAAAAACAGCTGGGAAGCGGAGACAAGTCCGAACTCCGTGGGAGCACTCCTTTCACCCCCCCCCAAAAAAACTTGGGGGGTGCAAAAGAGGCTCTACCACTATTCGGACACTCTCTACCCCCCCCCTTTGCCCGGGAGGGGGATTTTGAACCGCTGAACAGCTGGTGTCTGCTGTTCATAGCGGTTCTTACACTTGCCCAGGAAAGACAACCGTGTTACTAACTTATCAACCACAGTGATTCACTTAACAACTGTAGCAAGAAAGGTCGTAAAATGGAGGAAATTCGCTTAACAAATGTCTCATTTAACAACAGTAATTTTGGGCTCAATTGTGATAGTAAGTTTTGGACTACATGTATCGGTCAGGTGCTTAGGATTTTAGATTGCTTTACTATAATATTATCTACTGTTCTATTACTTGCAGTTTTATATATCCACACTTAAAAAAAGAGAATGCAACCTGATATCTACAAAAGAGGTTTTCGTATGTTCATAAGTTTTGGCTTGTTTTTGTTACTTTGCACATGCACAAAAAGCAGATAGATGACTTTTGTTTGTGCAGGAAGTACATTTATTGCCTCTTGTGGCTAGGGCTGCAAATAAGATGGATCAGGTGTACACAAATCATTTAATGTTGGTCATCTGAGCAACGACATTGAAAGCAGCATCTTGAAGAAAGTCAGGCTAGGCTGCAAAATTCAGTAGCAATAAAAACAGTTCTTAGCATGACTTGATGCTTTTATCTTCCTATTTCTAGTTCATACCAAGTGATTGTCATTCCTGGGATTCCACTCTGCAACTTTAATTGCAACTCCTTGACCAACCTCTCCTACTTCAGCAAAGGTTCAGAATCTGATAGCTATGTGACAGCTGAATTCTTGGCCAAGAGCATTCCTGAGAACAGGTTAAGCTTTGTTCCTGGAGACCGACTATATTATGGAGGATTTTATAACGCTCCCTTGAAACCAAGTAAAGCATACTGTATTGTACTTAAGACTGTCAGCAAGTGGAACAGGGTAAGAATACTGTTAAAATTCTTCCCATTCTTTTGCTTCATTTATATTTCCATTTCAACAGATTCCTGGGCAGCTTGCAAAATAGATGTTGGTAATAAAATAAATTGAAAACAAACAATTTCATACATGACCATGCCAAAAAGTATAATATTTAGAAGAATGCAAAACAATTGAAACAATTTACGGAGAATTAATTTTTTTAGAAAACTACAGAAATTAAACATAGATATAATTTGTTTGTAAGAGACATATAGAAAGACAATATTACAATGTTGGAATACCCAAAAATTGGGACACTTTACCATGCATCAGTGCAGCAGAAAAAAAGAGGTGTAGCCATATATATTAAAGAGACAACAGACTCTAAAATGAAGGAAGAATTGTGATGGTAGAAATATTTCTACATCAAAAACAAACATTGTTGGTAGCAATATGTGCACCAAATAATAAACAGGAAGAATTTTATCAAAATCTCCATAGAAAAATAATAGAAATAGAGTATCAAAATATTTGCTTAGTAGGAGATTTCAATGCAATAGTGGATGGGACATTAGACTACAAAAGTAGCAAAACAGGAAAAGTCGAAGAAAAAGATTACCTAAGACTTTTTTTAATACGATAGAGGAAACTGGAGTACAAGATGTCTGGAGGGAAATTAATCCAGGAAAATTACAATACACATTCTATTCAAATAGTCATAAATCCTGGTCCAGAATTGACATGATTTGGATGACATCTGAATTGAGGACAAGTATGCAGGAGATTGAGATAGAACCAGGTACATGGGCAGACCACAACCCCTTAAAAATGACATGGAGAAGAATACCCAAAAAAGTTAAGATGGACTTTGAATCAATCTATATTAAAAGAAAAAGAATTTATAGAACTAGCAACAAAAGAAATGGAGTTTTTATTTAAAGAAAACAAAAAAGAAGATACAACATTACAAAACGTATGGGATACAGCCAAAGCAATAACATATATGGCGAAAAAAAATAAACAGAAAAGACAACAATACATATTATTAAGGGAAGAATTTCCAAAATTAGAATCAGAACTGCAAATGAATCCGCAAAAGAAGATTCTGAAAATTGAAATGGAAACAATAAAACATAAATTAAATTTGTTGGATTCAGAAAAATTGGCACAGCAAATAAAAAGAGCAAAACAAAACTTTTTTGAAAATGCAAACAAACCAGGAAAATGGCTAACTTAAAAAACAGAAAAAGAAATTGATAAATAATTTAGTAGATGAAAAAGGTTGCCTACAATTTAAAAACGAAGAAATAAAAAAGATAAGAATATTATAAGAAACTGTATGATATAGAAGAAATTCCAAGGGAGAAAGTGATTCAATATCTGGAAGAAAATAATCTTCCAAAAATTTCAGAAACTTTTAAACCAATCCTAGAGGAAAAAATAGCACTAATGGAAATAGCAGGCTATAAGAAGACAAAAAAGGAGAAAACACCTGGGCCAGATGGACTACCAACAGAGCTATATAAATCTTTACAAGATATATTAAGTGAACCGTTGAAAGACATGTGCAATGAACTTTTGTTGGAAGCTAAACTCCCAAATACATGGACAGAAGCAAATATTTCCTTAATACCAAAAGAAAATTCAGACTTGACACAGATAAAAAATTACAGACCGATATCATTATTAAATGTGGATTATAAATTTTTTCTTCAATAATAGCAGAGAGACTGAAAAGATTTTTAACTGAATTTATACATTTAGACCAAAATGGTTTTTTACCAAAGAGACAAAAATAATTTAAGAGTGATAATGGACATATTGGAATATTATGAATTGCATCTTTATTCTTATATTGTAATGGCTCCTCTCTAATTTTTCTCAGTATTTTATCTCTTGTTGTTTTCTTTATGAATCTTACATAAACTTCTCTGGGTAGTTTATATTTCTTTGCATAGCTTGAGTTCATTCAAAATATTTCATCTATCTCCATTTGTATCTCTGCTCGGTCTGCTTTCAAAGCCTCTGCCAGTAAATCAATAATCACAACTGCTATATCTTCTTCTCTGTCTTCAGGAATATTTTGAAATCTTAAATAGTGTTCCACTTTCTCCATTTCTAAAACTGTCACCGCTTCTTCTAGGTTTTGATTTGCTTGTTCTAATTTTTCATTTTCTTGCATTAGTACTTCCATTTTTTTATCAATATCATCTGATTTATTTTCCATTTTCTGAATTCTTTGTTCATTTTTAACAATCATTTGCTGATGAGCTTCAAATTGTGTCTTTATATCCAACATTTGTTTATTTAATTTATCAAAATTACTTTTTGTCTCTTCATGGTTTCTCTGTATTGATTCTTGAATTAACTTTAATGTGATTTGCATCTCAGTTTGAGCAGTTCTTTTTTTCTCACGCTGCATCATTGTTTCAATAGTTCCCTGGCTTGTTGGGCTAGATGTTCCAACAGAAGATGCAGAGGAAGTTTTTTTCATAAGTCTAGTGAGATTTGATGGACTCATTTTTTGAGCCAACTATCTTAGGCTAAAATCCAAACCGTGAAAAGAGCCAACTACTTTAGGCTAGATCCAAATTGTCAATGAGAAAAAAACAAGAGAAAAAAAGAGAAAAACGCCAACTGTCTTAGGCTAAAATCCAACCATAAAATTGAGCCAACTACTTTAGGCTAAATCCAAATCCTCCAGTCAAATCACAAATGTAAAATGCCCACTGTCTCCAAATAATTCCTGTTTTGGTTATATCCAGAGTCAACAGATATAATTGTAGAGAGTCTTTTCTCATGCAAAGTCATACAAAGGCACTTTGTTTACACCAGGTGTTGTTTCAAGGTCAAACACTTTTCAAATTCTTTTATTGTTTAGTATTATTGTAGTATCTCCTTTCACTACTAGATGTCCTCATACACTGTATTGTCTATATCCAGCTTTAGAAGAATTTTACAAAGTTTTCTTTTAAAGTTCTTTGTAAGTTATTTACTCTAGAAATTAAATCCAAAAAGATTTTCCACATCCTGGAGCTTAAACTGTCTTTCTTTAAGTTGATCTAAGTTCCATTTTTAAGTATTCTTTTATATTCCTTAAATTCCTTTCCCCTCTTGTAATTTCTTGCCTCTTTTAACTGTCTTCTCCCATAGTCCTTCTGGGGTCTTTACTTCATAGTTTTTTCCCAATCAGGGGGTCAGTATTTCTGAGTCCATAAGGAAAAGGAATAAAAAACAGGCTCACCCAGCTTCAGCACGCTGTTGACAATCAGCTGTTTGGCGGAGCACCGTAGCTTCTCGCTTTCCCCCCCGGCTGACGATGACTTGGGCTGCCTGTGCTTACCAGGCAGCCTTTCTTTCGTACTTTAGAAAGGTTTCTTCAGTCTGTCTGGACCGACCACCATCTGGTCCAGACTCCTGAAGGTTCCCTTCTTCGTTGCCCCTCCAGGGCAACTTTCCGACCCCTTGGGGTTGCCGGACCGAACGAAATCAGGCTAAGAAGCCAGAGCCCCTGTTTCTTCCACACATAGCGTCAGACCGGAATCGCAACTGGCACACTTTTACTATGATCTCAGCAACCTATGGTCAGGTGGAACTAAAGATCAGATCAATTCTAATTTTTGTTTTAATGAATATTTATTGTATACTAAGAAAAACTGCATACCAAAAGATGGAGAAATGAATATGTAAAAATAGTTTTTTATTGCTTTATTTGCATATTATGGCAGAGTGCCATGCAAAAATGTAGAAATTCTGTGAAATGCATGCAAATATATATATATATATATATATATATATATATATATATATATATATATATATATATATATATAAAAGTTTTAAATTTAAATTGTGAGACTGGGTAGAAAAATGTAAAATGATATATAAGAAAGTGAGGAGCGCCTGTGTTCTAAAATTTAAAGATCTGCCCATCCTTATTGAGAATTAGAGTTTTTATGTATTGAGAAAAAAATAATGTAAATTTATGTGTGTCTTTTTCCCTCAGATGAGAACACAGTCCTGTGTAATATGGGCCCATATTAGAGGTAGGTTTTCTGCTGAAAAAATAGTGCTGCACTGTTGAGGCAAGGAGACAAAATGATAGGGAAAAAAAATTGTCAAGTGAACTACTATTAAATTTATTATCACCCCACACTGTTGCAAATCTAGATTTAAGAGCTAGACACATTAACATCAATAACTCCATAACAAATTTCTAAACAAGCTACATTCCTATGAGGGAAGTGTGTAGTGGGGTGCCCCAGTGCTCTGCTCTGGGCCCAGTGCTCATCGAAATCTTCATCAATGATTTGGATGAGGGGATAGATGGGGAAGTCATCAAATTTGCAGACAACACCAAGCTGGCAGGAATAGCCAACACTCTGGAAGATACAAAAGGATCTTGACAGACTTGAACATTGGGCGCTATCTAACAAAATGGTGAAAAAAGTAAGGGCCCAATTGGCAAAAGGTTGGAAACATGCGGAAGGAGCCTTCACCCTGCAGTGGATAGACAATGGCTAAAATGATGACATGCAAATCACATTCAACTGAACACTGAGGCCTAGGCCTACACAACACATTAAGTCAGTGGTTCTCAACCTTTTTAATGCTGCGACCCCCCAACCGGTCGTAAGTCGAGGACTACTCAACCAGACGTAAGTCGAGGACTACTCAACTGGTGCAGCACCATTTGCAGAATGGGACTTTTGGCGGGCTCAGCAGGGCAGAGACAGCCTGGACAATTCCTATTGGCTTTTGAAAGCCAATAGAATTAGACTCTATTCAAGAAAGTCTATTCTATTGGCTTTCAAAAGCCAATAGAATAAAAGGGAGTAGCACAGCTAAGGAACAGGGGGAAAAAATTGGCGGACTGCGTTGTTTGGTGACCCCCGTGAAATGGTCGTTCGACCCCAAATGGGGTCCCGACCCACAGGTTGAGAACCACTGCATTAAGTGAAAATGTGGTTTGCTAATTTAGGATGTAGTGTATAGCATAACGTAAAGTGTTTTACGAATGATGCTTTGTAATTGAAATGTCTTGAATGATCCCAGTCAACAGAAATCTATTCTGAAAACTGGTTCCCTCATCCTCAAAGGTTTCCCTCTCAGTCTCTTAAATATGGGCCATGATGTGTCACATTTAATTGTAGGAGGAAAGCTACAAGCCTGTCATATCCCAAAATTAGGAGTCTGATGGCATCTTTTTCCAACTAACAAATGTTATTAAAAGGCATAGCTCGCTTTATCAGATGCAGTGGAGTGGCTCAATTGATATAAGATTGAAATTGCGATGAGGATGAAATTGTCAGTGGGCAGATCTTTTGTGGATTGCTGGAATGTTTTTTTCTTTATGGAGGACCATTTGCAGTTATAAGTTGTAATTTGGTCGTGGTTGCAAATGTTGAAATTCATTTGCTTATCTCTTCATGAACTTTCCTGCCCATCCCCCCCCCAGAAACAGTTCAGATTTTTGACTCATTGTTGTTTTTTGTTTGTTTTTGGAGGTAATTGCATCTAATCTTTGTATGTAAGAGAAGGCCTTCATGTCAGAACAAGGAGCCTCTCAATTTAGCTTTGCCTCCATCTCTGATATTCTTCCTATTTTTTTAAATAACAACTAAAGAGCTACACGCAGATCTGATGATGGTTTTTTTGCTTGTACTTGACTTGTACAGCTTGTTCAGTGCAAATTGCAGCGCAAATTGCAGATCAAATTTCTGGGCAATTCTCACTGCAAAGTATGGGAAAACAAAGAATAAGGTGTGTGTGTGTTTCAAATGGTTACTGACTCTTATTTTCTGAGTTCCTTTATTACATGTTTTACAATTGGTAAATGCTGTTTTATTTTTTCTTTCTTTCAGATATATCATTCCCAATACAGCATTTGGATATTGTTATTTTAAGCTCAGTTGCTGCTATCAGTACCATCTTTTTATTATTACTCTGCCTAGCATGGTAGGTAACATTACGTGACTTACTTGAAATTCTACTTTATTTAAAGTCAAAGACCAGTTGTTCCTTTCACAATGCATTCAATCAGATAAGCAATAATTGATTTATAAAGATAAAATTCTCTACCAGTCATATAATTAAACCCTGTGAGCAAAAAATGCAAAAGCTGATTTATATATTTTCCTTAGAAAAATGTTCTAGGAGTAGTATATTGGCCATGTCACTGATGCTTTTCACCACTCAAATTATTAAAAAGAAGAAAGAACAATTTATAGTTTACTAAGTCTCCTTGCTGCAAAATGAATAAGACTCTAGCTAGGGAATAGTTGGGGAAAGGTAGGAAACTGAAAAGTTTTTTTGCCTGCTTATTAACAATGGAATTAGTGGAAAGCTATTTTTTTCACATCTTTAACTGTCTTGGATTTCGCTGCCCCTTTTGTCTATTTTTTTCTCAATACTTTTGTAAATGTTGCTAATATTTTATAGAATAGAATAGAATAAATACTTTATTTGGCAAATGTGATTAGACAGACAAGGAATTTGTCTCCAATGCGGAAGCTCTCAGTCTACATGCAAAGCAATAGAATCATCATCATCATCATCTCAATAACAGGGTGGAATAAAGAAGATAATAATAAGACTAAATGATAATACTATAGCCATACTACATGTGTAACTATAGCACTAACAATAGCACTTAGTCTTATATACTGCTTCATAGGACTTTACAGCTTCGCTAAGCGGTTTACAGAGCCAGCCTATGGCCCCCACAATCTGGGTCCTTATTTTATTGACTTCAGAAGGTTGGAAGGCTGAGTCAATCTTGAGCCGGTCAAGATTGAACTGCTGGCAGTCAGGAGAGTTAACCTGCAATACTGCACTCTAACCACTGTGCCACCACAATTATGCATAGACATTAGACAGCACTATGAGAATTAGGTGCTCATCAGATTGATGGTCTGAGGGGAAAAACCTGTCCCTGTTGTTTTGGCATGCAGTGCCCTGTAGCGCCATCCCAAAGGGAAGAGTCAAAGCACTTTAAGACCAAGATGTGAGGGTTCTGTAAATAACTTCTCAGTTCTCGTTCTGACCTGTGCAATATATAGTATACGTGCAATATACAATATATGCAATATACTACTGTATATCTATCTATCTATCTATCTATCTATCTATCTATCTATCTATCTATCTATCTATCTTATCTATCTAATCTATAAAATTATAATATTATATGACTACTCTGAAGCGATATAAATAATAACTTTATAAAAATTCACCTATTGGTTTTTCTAGTGTATTATAAAAGTATATATTCATGTAAAACTCTTAATAGGATCTGCCTGTATGTTTGACTTTTTCAAAATTATTACTTGTGTGAATCTTGTAAAACCTTATCGCTAGAAATATTATATTCTGCCGCTTTATAAGGCATTCAGACAGATTATATATTTGTCAACCAAACAAACATGGCAAATTTTGCTGCTGAGAAAGCTAAGCTGCTCAAAATATCAGTTAACTACATTTCCATTTAACTAAATGACTGCCCTAGTTACTTTGTCTTATTTTCTGTATTTCTGTGCTTCAACTGGTTTAACTGTGTTTAACTCTTTTCAATCTTTCCCCAATGTTTTTCTGCAGCAGCACATTCAACTCCAGCTGAACCACTAAGGAAATGTTTTTGATAGACTGGATATTTATCAACTGCTATCAATACTGCCCAGGAAAGCAATGCATTCTGCAAACGAATTCTGCAAATGCTTTTATCTAATGGGTACAACTCCTGATCATTTGGAAGAGAATAAAAACAAGCCACAGAAATATGGACAATCCTTCAGTACTCAAGAGGAGGAAATCCATATGCAAAATACTATCTCCCGCCTTCCCGTTTAGAAAATGGATTTTGATATCTTGTTTTCTTCATGTAGTTTTCAGTCTTGAAGCTTGTTATATTTGTTTACACACATACCCATTTTACATCCATAGCAAACTTGTGTACGTTCTGTTTCAGTTCATGTTAAGACACTGAATTTATTTTTGGATGGGGAGTTACTGAATATTTTTAAATAAGAACCTTTAGTAACTCTTCTTTCAAAAATAAAATAGAACATTTATATTAGAGGCCCAAGTTAAAACCAGAAATACACATTTCCGAAAATCATGTAAAGTTGAATTTGTTTTCTTTTGAAATCAAGAGGACTTTTCCCTTTATTTCAGTAGAATCTATCCTTACTTTTGTAATTTGGATCCACTCAGTAGGTGTTCATTTCTACTGAATTGTTTAATGGGACCAAGCTAAAAAGTTAGAGGATTTTTTTTTTACCATTTCTCATGATTTTCGGAAAATTTTACTACTTTCATAATTTGCAACTTCTCACATTACACTTAAAATTATGATGGAATGTTTTTCAAAGGGTTTTTTAGATTAGATGTTTTGTAGCTTTGTGCTGCAAATAGCTCACCCCTGGTGTTCAATGATCTGTCAAAAAAATAATAATTGCATTTTCTTTTCAAAAGTAAAATTATTTCAAAACAAAAAAACCCAAAAGAATTTTACAAGCAAAATGCAAGAGAAAAGACAAGCCTCTTCCATGGAAGAAAACGTTGGGCAAATTGGAAGCTATATTTCAACCCACTCTCAAATCCAGGGAATTTCTAATTGAGATGCATTTGTCATTAGAATTTTTTTTTAAATGTAGTTTTTGATGTACGATTTTAAGAAATAACTGATAGAAAGCAGTTAAGCAGAAATGTTTACAGAACTTTGATGATCACTTAATTATTAAAGAAAAGCATTTATTTTTCACTGCGTTATCCTTTTCTTCCTTATTTTGAAATGTATTGTCATTTTAGTAATGTTCCACATCATACAGCTTTCCTTCCTGAAGTAACCAGGCCTCTGTATGACCTGTTAGAACAGTAAGAATATGTATACATTCAAAATGATTCCAGTTACAAGTAACTTACATTATTTTATAAAATGTACTTTTTTTTTCTCGCTCACTCGCTTTCCAACCAAGTTCATTAGCTATTGTATATTACACTCCTTGGCGCTTTGATAAATTTTGGAGCCCTCTCAGGCTCTTAGTATCACTAATGTCTAGATATAAATCACCTCTGGTGAATCTATTGATTATTTTCATCTGTAAGATGGTACAATTCTGCAAAGAAATCTAGAACTTTATTGCTATTTTGTCCTAATTTTCCGTCACGGCACCCACATCCCTACTGCAGGCATCAGGAATTTTCTTCCCTGGGCACCTGATAGGATCAATTTTTAAAAACACCGAGCACCATTTTTAAGCATGTGACACTGGCATTCATTGGAACTTGAATAAAAAAGAAAGTGCTCAAGGAGAAAATCAATCATATATTCATGTTATTTTTTTCTTTGGGAAATTGGAATTACAAACCACAATTTGTCAGTGCTGTATAGCTTATTAATGCTGGACAGCAATAGCAATATCACTTAGACTTATATACCGCTTTGTAGTACTTTACAGCCCTCTGAGCAGTTTACAGAGTCAGCGTATTGCCCCCAACAAACTGAGTCCTCATTTTACCTTCCATCGGAAGGATAGAAGGCTGAGTCAATCTTGAGCCAGTTAGTAGAATTAGCCTGCAATGCTGTACTGAGCTACCACAGCTCCTAGCAGCACCTTTATCCTGATTTATCCACCTTTATTCACCTGGGTAAAGTAGTACCTTAATTCAGACTTTCTTCCCACCTACAATACAACTTTTCGCTTTTTCTACCACTAAAGTAATCTTTAGATAAAGCCTGATTCACTTATAGTTCCCTTCATCCCAGCAATTACTTTGTGGGTATGACAAGGCTGTAATCATTTAGGATACATATCAAGCAAAAGGTTGAGGCTGGCTGCTTAAAGACATTTCTGAGCCAAATTGAGTTTACAGAACTGATTGTGCTGGCATAATAAGGCAAAATAAATCACTCTGAGCAGGATGTGGCCTTGTTAAAAGTTATTTTAGACAAATGTATTAACAAAGCCATCCACAGGCCCCAACCAGAGGGTCATATCAGCAAGGTGTACATATTAGGTTGACAGGATGCCTGCTTGTTTTGCGAGATAACAGGAACTTTTTAACTGGAAAAGCTTGGTTCCTTTTGGCCTCTTCTATTTTATGCTAGGGACTAATAGGTTTATGGAAATTCTCAATCATCAAGGTCATGTTTTTCCCAATGGTGCTTTTTCAAAAGGCAACTGGGCTTTCTTGTTTTTCTTTGAAGACATTTCCCTTCTCATCCAAGAAGCTTCTTCAGCTCTGACTGGATGGTAGGGAATGGCAACTTTAAGACTCGTGGACTCCCCACCATCCAGTCAGAGCTGAAGAAGCTTCTTGGATGAGAAGGGAAATATATTCAAAGAAAAACAAGAAAGTCCAATTGCCTCTTGAAAAAGCACTTTTGGGATTCCTAGTAATGGGATATTTGCAATAACCCTTGAGTATCACTCAGTAAACATAGGATGGCAGACATAAATATCTAAACACTCCAGTTTCAATGTGAAGAGAGTGATTTTCATAAGAGAACATTCCCTGATTCACATATGACAACTGTAATTCCATCACTTGCGAATAGTGATGGAAACCCGCAGGCTTATAGTTACAGCAGAAGTCCTGTCTTAACTTTGGAGGATAATTGAAAAGTTATTTATGCATGGTGGGCTCCATCAAGATAGCAGCACCATCTCAAGGTATCATCTCTCAAGATCAGGGAGGCATAATATCTTTTGTCAGGGTTGCACTTTCCCAGGGCTGCAGGTAAAAGATATTAGATGGGCACAACACTTGAGAGGTCAGGGGCCTCATTTTGGCCTCCTTGCCTTCTGAAGATGTGCAATTGATCTTCTGCTGTTACTATGAAGTTACCCATACCCAACTGGAGTAATATCGCATTTATGGCATGTTTTTATTTTAGGGTGGGGGAGTAGCAATATGGGAGTGGGGCTGGGTGAGCTCTAGGAAATAAACTGTTCTCATCACCCTTAAAGACTTCATATCCCTCCAGACAGGAACCCCACTGCAGTTTGACAGTTTAATGTTGGATTTGATGGTGCAACATGGAAGCACTGACGAAGCAAAATCAGGGAGGTGGAAGGTGGGTTGTGGATGGCCCTTTCTATTGCACATGATCTTTCTGAAGGAATGTAGCTCTAAAGCAGGGGTGGGGAATGATGGCCTGTTTATAATTTGTGGATTTCAACTCCCAGAATTCCTGAGCCAGCAGGAATTAAAGTGTCGAGAGAGAGCTCTTTTCCCTCAGCAAAGCATCCCACAGACATATTGTAAGAGAACACAGTGCTTATGGAATTTATTTGAAAAGGTTTGTTAAACTTTTCTGGTTTCTTGGTTTGTTTTTACAGAGAAGGAAAGGCATTGGGTCTGCCTTTAATTTCAATACAACATACATTTCAATTTCATTGATGTATACAATGGCATTTTATAATGAGAGGCTCCTATATGTTGGTAGGTGTGACAGGTTTTCAAACTAACAACACGTGTCCATACTTAATTCCACTTTTTTGAATTCTCCCAACTCAAAACTCAGGGCATTTTCTGATCATAGTCCACGCTGTTGGGCTTTGGAGAATTTGCCTCCTTGGGTTACTTTGTTTTCCCCTTAAAGCAGTGGTTCTCAACCTGTGGGTCAGGACCCCATTTGGGGTCAAATGACCATTTCAAGGGGGTCGCCAAACCACGCTGTCCACCATTTTTTTCCCTTTTCCCTAGCTGTCCTACTCCCTCTTATTGGTGGCCACACCCACTTGGGGGTCACCACAACATGGGGAACTGTATTATGGGGTCACGGCATTAGAAAGGTTAAGAACCACTGCCTTAAAGTATTGTTTGTATTGTAAACATTGGGCTTCCTCCAAGCAAGCTGATGCTCACTTTGTATAGAATATTGCTGTTTTCTTACAGAGTGATCCATATTAATATTTACATTTTAAAACAGAAGTCCCCAACCCCAGTCTGAGGCCTGGTACTCGGCCTCAGACCATTTGGAACCAGGCCGCAGAAGTGGTATGTGAGGGTGTGTATGCTTGTGCGCATGAAGCTGCATTTGTGACAATGGTGTGTGCATACAAAACCATCCCCTCTCTCCCCCCCCCCCTGCTGCCGACATTGCTTCCCCTAGTCCACCAAGCCAGAAAGGTTACATACCGCTGTTTTAGATGGGAACGATATTTATGCTTCCCCTTCCTATGTGTATTGATTGATTGATTATCTGCTGTAAAGTTGTTTTCAACTCCTGGAAACCATATAGATAGATTTTCTTCAAGATAATCTATCCCTTATCTGGTCTTTCAGGTCTCCCATTAATAGACTCGTTTCCACGGTAACTGAGTCCATCCATCTTGTTGATAGTTCAGGAGTAGGCAACTTTGGCTCTTTTATGGCTCAACTCTTTCTGGGAGTTGAAGTCCATGAGTCATAAAAGAGCCAAGGTTGCCTGCTCCTGTGCTAGTCATTGTCATCTTCTCATTCCTTGCACCTTTCCCAGCTTTAGGGGCTTTTTCAGAGTGCTGGTTCTTCATATAGATGTAGTCCTCAACTTACAAAGCCTAACTGAGCCCAAAATTCCTGTTGGCAAGTGAGACGGTTATTAAATGAGTTTTACCTCACTTTACAACCTTTCTTGCCACAATTATTAAGTGAATCACTGCAGTTGTTAAGTTAGTAACACGGTTATTAAATGAATCTAGCTCCCCGCAATGACTTTGCTTGTCAGAAAGACAGGACAGTGCAATCGTTATAAATATATCCCAGTTGCCAAGCATCTGAATTTTGATCACATGACGATGGGGATGATGCCACGGTTGTAAGTGGGAAAAACAGCCATAATACTTGTTATGGTTCGGCTAATGAAACACTTCAAAGAACTTCCAGGCATTGATTTTCCTAAAAGTCATTTATTGTTACAAAATGTCGGCACAGGTACAACGGAGGCTTTATGCTAAGATCTAAGTTCTCTTCCTCTGAGCAGTTAAATTATCAGCATGTTCCCTCCCTAAATTAGCTGTCATATATCACATTATCCAATTAGTGTGAAGGTCAAAGGTTTCCTTCCTCTTTCTTTCCCCTGGCTTTGCCCCCACCCCCTTCTGCTCTGTATTAACCTCAAAAATACCAGACAGTTCTGCATATTGTCAAAGCAAGAATATACAATATTTGCAGCGTTGACAATACTATTGTAACTTTGAACGGTCACTAAATGAATGGTTATAAGTTGATGCTTATCTGCAATGTGCATGAAGTAGGATAATTTGAGCCTGATCATTTGTGGCTTGAATGAGAACTCAACCTGGATGATTTCTTTGACAATCCATTGGTTTGTTTTCTTGTCTGCCCACAGCATTCTCAGTCTCGTCAATGCCAAATTCCAAAGCTATCAATGCTGTTTCTATCCTGATTCTTTAAAGTCCAACTTTCACTTCCATGGAGAGTCACAGGAAATACCACTGCTTGCATGATTCTGATTTTTGTTAAGTACGAACACGTAACACATTAATAAGAATTAACAGAAAGGTCGTTGTTTCCTTCCACAAGTAAAAAAACCTTGTTTGCATTGCCTCCGCCTCACAATATTCATCTACAGCTCTCTTTGGGTCTCCATATTACAGGTAGTCCTCGATTTATGACCACAATTGAGCCAGAATTTTCTGTTGTTAAGTGAGGCATTTGTTAAGTGAGATTTCTCTATTTTATGACCTTTCTTGCCACAGTTGTTAAATGAATTACTGCAGGTGTTAAGTTAGTAACACAGCTGTTAAGTGAATC